ACTTAGTTACTTACCAGCGCATGGCAGTTTAGTTAACTCTAATATTCTGAAAAAACGGCAATCTTGACCTCCGCTTTCAGCTGCTACATTTCCGAGCTTGTGTCGAACAGCTAACATGGTCGGGTCCAAGCAAAGATGCACTCGGGTCCTACGGAACACGGCAACCCCGTGCTTTATCGTTGCTAGTTGTTGGCGGCATTCGACCAGGTATGTTGTAGTAGTTTAACCACCCTCGACTGGTGAAGCAGAGAAACCACTGGGCAAGGGCAAAGCCAACGGACTGTCGCATTGTAAATAACCTTATCCAGCCCTGCAGCACGTTATACATACGTCTAAGCAGTAAGCCTACGTAAAAAGTCAAGTTTCATCGCCTAACAAGGTATTCGAGACTCTGAGGTCTAGGCCGGCTGCCCGATAAATCATAGAGCTATCTAGATCCCGTATGCTACTGTTTAGTAGATATATGACACCATTACTGATTGAAAATGCGCAATAAATACGTATCTGCGTACGTTATGTGGACTTAATCTGTAAATATATAGCTAAGCATGTAACTAAATCGGAAGGGCTGAGTACAGCCTGCTTGAGAAAGTTAAGCCTGGCAATTTCACCATCCGTCAGAAAGGAAACCTTCGAGAAGTAGCATGAAATGCATCACTGCCACCAGAAACTGGCTTTAATGGGCTATCATGCAAAAAACAAGAACGGCGCATAGAAAATTTTTAAAACCGGACGCAGCAAAGGTGAGGGCATGGAGATACCGGTGCAGCACTTAAGAATACGCCCAACCTAGCTTAGAGAGCTCGTTGGCGTCAGATTGCAATCAAGAAATAACCTCAATACTTTTCCAGTAGGCTAAATATTGTTGCATTATCTCCTTTGTAACAGTTCCGGCTTTTCTCAAAGTCGGAGAGTATCTTTGTGAAGTCTCCGTACCGAGCATCAAACTACCGCCCGACATACGTTCGAAGTCCTCTTTAAAGAAACTCGCCAACTGCTTGGCTCGGTTCCCTTTATCTGGGGCAGATTCCACAGCGTCAATCCATTCATGGAAGGAGAGGCGGTCGTCTTTGCCTAGATTCAATCCAACAGCCAAAGTGTCTAAGACTTCACGCCACGATTGTCGAAATGGATTTTCAAGATGATACACCAGCTGCATAGGCTCCGAGCTGAGAAGGATATCAGATATGACGGCGGCAGCCACATCGACAGGGAGCCACGAAAGAGTCTGTACCTTAGTAAATAAAAGCTCGACCTTTCTTGTGAAAAGGAAAATAACGACATACCCCATTTAAATTAGGGAGCTTTCCAATTTTTTGGGACGACGCCACAAGGGCCACGAAATGTTCCTCCTTATTCCAATACCCCATGCTAGAGCCGGCAATTTGGCCAGCCCTTACATAGGCCAACTCAATCTCGGGATAACATGCCCGAGTTCGTTCGATGATCTGTTCACATACCAGTTTAGCCTTCGCGTACCCAAGATGCAAAGAGGCATTGAAGTCGCGTATGGGCGCTTCCGGTACTATAGCTTCATTGTATACCTCTCCATATCGACCTACTACCGAGATGGAAGATATGAATAGAACTCTCAAGTTCAAAGACGGGTTACTTGAATGCGCTCCTCGAGCAAGGAGCAGAAGATTTTGTAACGTTCTGAACTGAGGTTCGAACGATGATAACCCCATTTTGAAATTCATCGGCCAAGCGTTGTGGATAATGTGTGTAACGTCCTCCTGAAGGGTCATATAGTCCTTTTCTGGCAACCCTAACTGCGGGAGGCTGGAATTAGATTGATAAATTCTGATCTTTTCCCACTCACGCTCTGATAGGCTTAGGCCCTTGGACCGTAGAGACTGCTGCTGTCTCTCGTATGGATCTTGCACTGAAGGGCGGTTAAGGCAGATAATATGGAAGACGCTAGGATCCTTAGCTAGGTGAGCGAGGAGATGGGCTCCCAAGCTGCCGTTGCTGCCTGTTAACAGTACAGTAAGATCCTTCCTCCGTTGCAAGCCAAATTGGTCGATGAAAGCCTCAAGCGTTTCGTTGGAAACATCAGTAGTTTTCTCGATAAATGACGCATCGGACTTTCTCAATGCTCTCGCCAATTTTGAAATTGAGGAATGCCGGTATAGAAAATCACGATCCATGCTTCGGAATGACGCCAAGTCATCCGGAAGAGCTGCAATCACGAACCTACGCAGCATTGTCGCTTGCAAACTGTCCATTCCTAACTCAAAGAAATCGGTATCATCGTTCCAGCCGGCATCACTAACTTTCCACGTGAGATTCTCGCGTATCAACGCGCGAAGTCCAGATTCAAGACATGTCGTTTCCAACGTAGCAGCACAGAAATTGGCACCAGTGGTCTCCAAACTATCGTAGGCTTTCAAAATCTCTTTTTCAAATTGCTGATGCGCCTCGCGCCGGATAATTGTTCCCTTGTCAGAACGAGGCAGGCTCCCCGGCGCCACAATCACCAGTGCAGTAGGCGACGAAATGCGGGCATGAGAATCCATTTGCTGGTTAGCTTTCTCTATCGTTGGCCATAGAGAGGACTTAAACTGATCAAATTCCCCTTCGGCGACTGGAAACACCGGCTCTACCAAAACGCCTATTTCAAATCGCCCATCTCCAAAGGCTAGAGCGGCCTTGACCGTTGGGCTTTCAAGCAAAGCGGTTTCTAAAATCGTGGGACGAACCTTCTCTCCCGTCGCAAGGCAGATTAAGTCATCGCTCCGACCCAGAATGCTGAATTCCGTTTCCGAGTTAGGTTTTTTTACCAGAATATCCTGCACATGAAACCTATCCAGCCATCCAAGTGGCTGTAGGCTAAGTTGCAAATGGTTGCCGCTTTGAACATTGTCTGTACAGCAATTACTGAATTGGACTCGTAGTGATTTTCGGATATCCGTTCGAAACTTGAAGTAATGCCAATCGTAGCCCGGTGGGGGAACGTATAGCGGTGCTAAGGGTCCCGTCTCCGTTGTACCGTAGTGGTTAACCAGCCTGACCCCCGCGGCGGATAGTGTATGACAAACCGTTTCCTTTGGTAGACCGCCCCCAAAAGCAACGAAATGGAGACTTTGAAGTATCCGTAATCCCTTGTCTTCAGGGAGCGAAGCAATTTCCTCAAGGATTGACGGGACAGTAAGAAGTGACTTTGCACCACTAGAGTGGAGTAATTGTACGGCGGACAGACCAGTCGGAATGCCTTCAGAAGGTGGAAGGCAAAATGGCTTTCCTATTCCCAATGAAAGGCATGGAGGAAGTAATCCGAAACCCTCATCAAGAAAGTCAGCCCTGACCGAGTCTTAGCGCTGATTAATGCTGAAGCGAACAAGACAAAGACTTACATGGAATAGCGGGGATGTGGACATTGTAGGGGATAATATTTCCTCATGAGTGCTTAGCTCGTGGCAGAGTGCGAAGCTGAAGTAGTGCCGGTGAGATGTATATATCGGTTTTGGCAGGCCTGTGCTTCCAGAAGAATGGAGAACCAGGACATTGCAGTCTGCTTCGGAGATGTAATGGAGAGGATGAATAATTGTTCCTGATCTAGGTTCTCGGCTCACTTCTTCTCGGATTTCATCAAAACTGGGAGGATTGTACTGGCTCGGAAATGCAACAGTATGCTTCTTCGGGGGTAGGGACACATGGTCACTCTGTCCGTCGTCTCGTGTCATCTTCTGGGTGATATGCAACACAGCAGCTTCTTGAACCACCGGATTCAGTCGTGGTGATACAAGGATCGCCTCGGATGCCGTCCGCCCAAGGAGATGGTTGATAGCCATCGGGCTAAGCCGCGTAGACAATAATACCACTGGCACGCCCATCCCCATCAGCGCGAAAATATATATAACCAAGGTGACATGACTACTCATGAAGAGCGCAATCGGTGGGCCTCGAATAATGGTGTAGTTCTCATTCTCGCAGGGGAATTGTAATTCGGCGACGGTAGCACGAAGCCATTCCTGACAGTTGAGGATGGCTTGTTTCAGCAAGGAGTAATCAACATTGACAAATTCATAATCTGAAGAGTTTGAATCCTCCTTCCGGGCCTGTCTGCAGAACATGTGGCCCGGGTTGAACCTGGCATGAAATTCCACCAGCTCTGGAAGTGACCGAGCAACCCCCTCAACATCATATTGATTGTCTAGGTTGATTGATGGTCGAGTGAAAGGTGGCTGTCCTCTAGTGACGGCAGAAGAAATGTCAATTGGCGGCATGCTATTTGCATAGTCAGTTAGGTGTGTATCAGCAGCTAAGAGATATATGCACGTACGGTGCACAACTGCATACATACGCAGTAAAATGTTAACATCGAGTTATTGATCAGTAGCTACACGATAAATAAGTCCTAGGATTTTCGTAAGCACAGCCTACATAATGTTCAATTTGCTTAAGGGAATATATCGCAGAGCATGCCCTGAGCTTGGTCATGAGATTGGTGATTCCTAACATCGGGGTCCCCGTTACTCGGGGCCCTAAGGAATACGGGAGCTCGGGAGATTACTCCTATTGAGTGGAGCAGCTGGGGTTCTTCTGTTGAACGTAACCCGGTGGCTCGCGGTCGGCTGAACAGCTGCCTCGGGGTCCGTAGTTTTGCTGTTAGTTAACTCTGGAGCACGGAGGACATAGTTGCTTCGTAGCTGTGTACCTTCAACTAACCTACGATAAGAGGTCTAACTCGACAATAGCACAGCAGGAAATGAGCATCTCTGAGTCACGACGATGAATGTCTGAATACAAAATGTTGGAGCGAGACAAAGAAGAGCAAGATCTTAAAGGAGTATCATGTCAATAGAGCGCGGAGTGGATGGATTGTTTTCTGCCTCGAATCATGCAAGGGGAATCTTACATGGGACCTCCATGACTCGCTAGTTAACTGAGTTATTAGTTACATAATAGCCAAGCATGCAACTTCACCAGATGTGCTGCAACTTGGACAAACCAGGTTAATACATATGACCAGTAAGCGGTAAAAACCAGCCATTTTTCCCTCATGTGACCTTCAAGCAGTCTCGGCCGAACCTCTCGCAACCACAGGCCTATTAGAAGCTTCATGGCAACGACAAGCATCGCAGTGGTTGTCCGTTCCGGTCCAGATTCCAACGCTGATCGGATCAGCTCTGATCAATTTATTTATAGAGCCTCTCTGAATTCAGCCTGTTAAGAGAAAATGTTAGCTTATATTTTTTTAAGCAATGCTGGCTTGGAAAATGGTGGGCACGGGCGAATCTTGCGCCGATGCATTCCAGGATTCCAATATATCAACCATATGCTCACTGTAAAGCGAGCATCGCGAGTAGACACCCACCTGTTAGTCTGATTGATTCTCTAATTGATTTTTGTAGGAATATGGGGCATTTGAGTCTGAGAGAAGGGGAAGAAACCGACTAGAGAACCAGACCAGGAACACATAAAAATGCAGAGACTGCCAAGAGCACCTAATTGTTGTCAATCCGCATCCGGAAGCGGGAATTGCTGCCCAAGAGCGTGCTGAGCACAAGTGTTACAGTCTGCGGCTCCATCTCCTCCAGAACCAAGGTGCTAGTGCAAGATTGCGATCCTGTATCTGTTTCTGTCGGATTTGTTGATGCGATGTGGCTGGAATCAGGCCACTCCCCGTTGTTCGCGTGGTTGGTCTCTTCTCTCCCAAAGCCCCCCCGTGTGACTGCTCTGAGATGGCTATCTGCGTCCCAATTGCCCCCATCAAAATCTGCAGCTTGGGAAGGGTCAAAATGATGCAGGAACTTCCTGAAGTCGGGATCGGGGTCCGCCATGGCGTCCTTCGACGTAACATCCTCATAGGGCGAGATGGAGGTGTTACTAAGGCCATTCATCTCTGACAGTTGCGCAATATCGGTATTCTCTAAAAGATAGTCGATACTGACGGGTGTTTCAGAACTGGAATCTAACGAGGGGGTGGTGCCAACATCAAGGAGTGCGTTCCTGGGCGGTTCTGGAAGTGTGCCGGACTCTGGCCAGCCGAGATCTGAATGATTCTCATCGTCGATTTGGGATGCCACCGTGTTGCTGACGGATGTGTTTCGTTTCCTTCGCTGAAGGGTGAAATATCTAAAGCACGGGATGGTTTAGTACATGTGGCTACACACGGAACTTACCCTGGTGTCTCTCCTGAAATGATTGTCAAAGGACTGTGTCTGTGTGATCCCATACCTGTTTTTGATATCAGATGTAGATCTGTCTCCGAACGCTGTACTGCTGATTTTGCTCCAGTTGTGCCCAAATTTGTTAACAACCATCAGGAGAAGCTGATCTTGCTCCTCTGTCCATGGGGTGTGACTCAAGCTCGGATCTAGTGCATACGCCCACCGTTTAGAACATTCTAAAATTGTAACCAATATGCTGGTTAGCAGTGTTTGATCACATTGCATTCATTCATGCAAGGCTGAATATACACAGATACACTTGTTCAGGAGAGGATATGCACTGCTTGATTCAGCATATCAACTTACGATCAGCGTTGCGAGATCCCACAAACTCTGCAACACGGGTCCACCTGCCAAAAAGTCTGTCAGACGTATCCAAGGGATGAATAACAAGAGAGTACAGACAAGCTTGCGGACAAGAGAGTTGACTCACTTTAAGCCAAACAAACTGACTGCCTCCTGCAGCCGGGCATCTTCTTCAGGAGTCCAAACTCCTTTTTTGATATTGGGACCAATTTTGTGCCATCGTTTGCGACAGTCTTTATTCGTCCGGCCAGGGAGCTTTTCTGCAATGGCATTCCAATTTTTAGTTCCTCCCTCTGTTCCTATATGAAGTGAATTAGCGATAGATACTAGTTAAAACTTTGGTACATTCAGATGGCCAGTTAAAGGCGACTGTACGCTGGAGCTCCGCTTCCTGGAGCAAAATCCTGTCCTCATCCCCAGTCCACCATCGTCGCTCTTGCAATGGCGCAGCCATTACTTCTGCCTCGCGGCGAGCTTGGGGAGAAAAACCCAAAAAGGAAAAGAGAGAAAGGCGGAAGTACGCGGTGTGTAAAGCTTACCCAGGAGAAGAATGGACAGAGCAACCGTCTCCTTTGCAATCAACCAGCCAGTTAGCCTTTAATCTGCAAGTGGCATGAGATGGCAATCAGATATATAATTCCTCCGTACTCCGTACTCCGCGTTATTATCTGTTTTCCGTTGCTGAGAATAAGAGAAAAGAACGTTCCGCGTTTTCTTGGCCGCGAGACAGCTCATGCAAGAATGCATGTAGATATGTATGGGTGCCATCATTCAGTCAACACTGCAACAACCAGTGGTTTCCGAAGTATATGTTGGATAATAGGGCGCCTGAAGAACGCGCACGCGCTAGACTCGTTCAGGCTGCCGTAGGCATACATAGCTGACTCCTAGGTCCTTGAGCAGCGAAATCGCCCCTGATATCCAATTTGTAAGCTGGCAGCCGTACCGGCCGAGGAATCCTTATTCCTCTCTTTTCTTCTCGATATCCAGCATTCTGTGGTTCTGGGTACCGTCGTCGTGGATCTTGCCCCGTCTCCCTTATAACTACCTCATAGCAATGGTTGTGCCTAGGGCGGAGCAGCGAGATTGCATTCCACCGTGCATTGAGCAGGTTCTAATGATTCTAACCGCCTTGACTAACCCCCACCGGAAAGTCCAACCCTCCCGCTACCCCCCAGCAAGTTTTTGGCATTTCCGGCGTCCCCGAACCTGGTGAAGCAGACATCGCCAGGTTGAGGGTTGATAGACAGCACTTGGGGGTTCAAAAGGCTTGTGGGGGAGCTGTAGCTGTGGGCGGCAGCTGTAGCTGTGGGGAGGGTTTGTGTAAGGAATTGTGGCTTTGTACTTACCGGGTTCCTCTTTTGGACTCCATTGTCTTCTTCTGGCTTTATCCCGGTAACTCCGAAATAGTTCCCCGTCCTTATGCAGCTTACTCAGCCGGTTGTCATTCGCCGTGTAACTACGGAGTACGGAGCTCTAGTTAGCTCTATTAACCAAGGCCTTGTTGTATGGCTGATTTTTGAGATAGCCAGCCAAGTCGTCTCAGGAATGGATGCACGGTCAGCTAAAGCAGGTTCCGTGGACGCTCTGGCTATCACCTCTGTCTTTGAGCCCTCAAAACCGGATAACTTCGAAACGATGCCCTGCTCTACAACCTTTGCGCCAACGTTGACATTTCCGGCCAAAGGTGATACACAATGAGCTGATATTTACGCTGTAGCCGGCGCACTGGAGAGAGACTGGCTGCAAAGGTTGCCGACGTACAATTTCGCCGAAACAAGCGGCCTATATACACAACTACACTCAACCCCTCTCTTTTCTACCAAAACACCCCAAAAAAAAAAAAAAAAAAAAAAAAAAAAAAAGGAAAAACGAAAAGAAAAGAAAAGAAAAGCCAAATCTGGGCTTCAAAGTGTGTGAAAGAATCAAATGATCCATTTCCGCATAAAGGTGGCGCCTCCAGGACTACTCTAGTCGGCCAGTAGAGCAAACACTCCACGACCTCGCGTATATGAGCTGCTGCATAGGCTCCGGCCTGGAAGGGCTGTTGGTATTGGACGGGCTACACTATGCCGGATCCTTGTTTTGACACGTAACTCCTGGCTGCGTACGGAGTACTCCGTACGGAGTATTCCAATTTGCTGTGAATTGTTTTGAACCTCACCAATGTTGCTCTTACATGGTTTTGACCAACAATTCCGCTTGTACTCCCGCTTCCGCAGAAAAGAAGCTGTCAGAATAACCTAATATCTGATGGTTCTGTTGGGGTTAGTGCATCGAGAGTTACAAGCCTGCCATACCCTGCACTTGAAGAGTTTGAAACAAGCTCTTAAGTTTTGATCCGCGCACGCCTTGACAGCCTTCGTAAGTCACTATGCAAGGCGGCCGTACCCCGGCGGGACCCGAGTCTACTAGTCGGACATTCCATATTGCTTTTTATTGTGTCCGTAAAGGCCTACCTCCGCGGCGGCGGCGTCGCCCTCGATTTCATAGTCACAACCCCTGGGGCCAGAGACGAGTTATTAAGGCCTTGGGGGGTGTGTCTCCATGCGGAGCAACAAGCTTGATAATCTTCGCGGCTTTTTGTGTTGCATGTAGCATACGCGAACACTACGGATTGTTAAATATAACCTATGCCCTCCTGTTATTTACCTGTAGCGCAGGGACAACTATTGGCGTGCCCAATTGACGACAACACACCGCGCGGGAATCAAAGTTGATCGAACCTTATCACTCAACGCTACTATGTCATCCTCTACCCCAACTCCCAACCTTGGACTGAATTTCACGCCGACAATACGACGTGACACCTATTCTGCGATAGATCCGGTAGCGAACAAACCGGGATGCCGCGGTAAGGCTGTGCTCATCACTGGTGCCACCAAAGGGATCGGTCAAGCAATAGCAATCGCCTATGGTAAAGCTGGCGCCTCATGTCTTGCAATTGGTGCGCGGAACATCGCCGATGCGTCTGCTGTGTGTGCGATGGTTAGTGAAGAGGCAAAAAGTGCGGGTGTCTCGGAACCGCCCGACATGCTCCCTCTTCGGATAGATGTTTGCGAACGTGGCAGTATCGATGCCGCAGTGACAGCCATCAGGAACTCATGGGGGCGGCTTGATGTGCTAATAAACAACGCAGGATTCCTTGCACCTTTTGTACCAATGGGAGTCGGGGATGAAACGGAATGGTGGCAGACATGGGAGGTCAATGTTCGAGGCGTATATTGGGTTATCAAGGCCATTCTGCCACTCATGCTTCAGGGTGGCGATAAAACCATCGTCAACGTGGCATCTGTTGGCGCATTGGCTCTTTCCCCTGGAGCCAGCGCGTATCAATCCTCCAAGTTGGCGGTGATGAGGCTTACTGAATACCTGATGGTTGACTACAAGGACCAGGTAAGATCTCCATGGTCAAAATTTAACGGGACATACTGACCGTTACTGTCCCATATCAGGGCCTGCTTAGCTATTGTGTTCACCCAGGCTCCGTCCCCACAAATTTAGCTATGCGGATGCCGAGCTCAATCGTCAAAGGTAAGTCTTCGGACGTCAAGAGTATATTAGTAACCCCTCTAATGGTTCATGTGCATCTAGCTTTCTGCATTGACAAGCCAGAGCTAGCCGCGGACACTATCACATGGCTGACTAGTGAGAGGAGAGAGTGGCTAGCTGGTAGGTACATCAGCTGCAACTGGGACATGTCTGAATTCATCTGTCGGCGAGATGAGATCGTGGAGAAAGACCTTCTGAAGTTGAAGCTAGCTCTATGACACGTTTAAATGTATTTATAACAGCCATACCGAGTACGTGGGTGCTCAGCTTGAGGACAAACTTAGGAATTATCATACATGGTCCCTAGTCCGTGGGTATTTGAGTTGCATCCCCTGGCATTTTATTAATAGTACCATCATTAGCGAGTCAGTTGTTAGTCACTGATGATTTTTCCTTCAAACGATAGCATATTTGAGAATAATTTGTCATAATATCTCCCCTAAATTGTGTCATCTGCCGAATTCTACCCCAACCGAACCGTCCGTCTGTTCAAAAGATAGTTTGGCTCAGGATCAGGGTATCAAATAAGCCATACCAGATTTGAACAGCTAACTTACGCTGTGATAGCCATTTGCACGTCATCCACGAGGCTTTGAAAGTCCTAAGGAACAGCCACAATGTAAGCAAGGCTCCCAACGCTCTAGGGCTATGAGAGTTTTGTTATCCATCTTAATAAATTAGAAGTATTGCTATTCTCGGAAAATACTCGGGGTCTTTCGCCGCCACTCAGGTCCTGTGTGGCGGCGAAAGACCCTTGCACTTGTTAGTTGAATGGACACGCAGTAATCCGCGAGATGGATGATTTGATGTATTGAAGGCAGCCATCTAACACTTAACACCCTCGAGTTCATCGTTAAACAGTTGGAGATTGGGTTAGAGAATAGGGGGTAATGGACCTGCTGGTGATCACGATGACAGTGCTGAAAACGCTGTCTCTATTGACCATAAATAAGTTGACGCTGGTCCCCATGACTCTAGAGGAATGTTCAGCATATTCAATCGATCATTCTTTCACACCAAACACCGTTCGTTCCCGAAATCATGGTTGCCCTCAAATTTGTGCAATATATTTTGGCGTTTTCGTCAGCCCCTTTAATAGTTTCCGGTGCTGTTGCACCCCTCGAAAAACGATGGCCTCTAGAAATTGTTGAATCCATTCATAGCCCTTCATGGCCGGAGTTTATCAGCACAACCACACGGTGGTCTAACTACCATGCCCCCACTTTCGATTGGGCCTTTGTTCCCAAGTCCGAGAAAGAATTGTCTGTTGGTGTAAGTTGAGTCCAGGTAAGCCAATTTAGATAAACAGGTGGGCTGACAGTATCGGCGACAGCTTAATTTTTTCTCAAGGAAAAATATGACATGGCTCGCCAAATCGGGGGGCCATGGATACTCTGCAACTCTTGGTAGTGTCAAAGACACGATCATGATAAACATGAAAGGTTTCAAGTACGCCAAAATGAATCCCGACAACACGGTAACTGTGGGGAGTGGAGCAACCTTCCAGGATGTAGCAGACGCCGTTGGAGCTGCCGGTAGAGAACTTAGTAAGTTTCGGTCAACTACCAGCAAATGAAAGTTGATAGGAACTGACCCTTCATCTAGCCATCGGATCATGTCCCTGCGTAGGAGCTACCGGCGCCATGCTCGGTGGCGGTATTGGACGGCTTCAAGGCAAGCATGGTCTGACGAGTGATGCAGTTCGTAAAGTTCGCATGGTGCTCTGGGACGGCACTGTCGTCGAAGCTTCTGAAAATTCTCACCAGGGCCTCTTTTGGGGTGTACGCGGTGGTGGTCAGAACTTCGGTATAGTGATCGAGACGACTTTAGAGACATTTCCCCAATCGAACGGCGGTCTCCACTACATGGCAGACATGCAGTTCGATGGCGAGTCTCTGGAGTCTATCATTGACATTATCAACGGCTTGTTCCCGGTTGACCCTGCTTTGTCTTTGGTAATCATTATCGCAGTCGATCCTGAATCATTCAAGGTAAGTTAGTTCACCCTTTGACCACGAGACGCACCACTGACACCCTTCCTCGTCATTTGAAGCCTTTGGTGGCGATGAATTTAGTATACGCTGGCGCCAAAGAAGACGGAGAAAAATACACGAGAATGTTTGCGCCATTCAGTATTTCCCGTAATGAGACGGTCATTCCGTGGGCACAATTGGGCTACGCCGCCGCTGGCGGCGCCGTCGCGATCAAGTGTGAGACGGGCCAGAGCCATAGCATGTATGGGTCTGTCGTTAAAACACTGGATGCGCCCACTTTCCGCCGCTTTTTCGATTCGTTTAGCTCATTTGTAGACACAAACAGAGCTCTCGTCAACAGTACGATCCTATTGGAGGTTTTTGGCCTGGACGGAATCGAACGCCGTCCTGCTAGTTTCTCCGCGTTTCCGCACCGTGAAACATTCAACAACCTGGTGGAAATTGAAATGGCTTACACCGACAACACGATAGCTGACGCTGCTGACGATTGGGCTCGCGGATGGCGCGATACAATGTCTTCCCCTGATGTGTCTGGGTACGAGCAAATGGTTCAGTATCAAAACTATGCACATGGTGATGAACCTTTATCAGCCCTGTACGGATATGCAAAGTGGCGTCATGCACTTCTCACTGGGCTGAAGAGGAGGTATGATCCACATGGGTTCTTCAATGGGTATCACGCTGTCCCTGCAGACCTTGCGGGCTGGAGCTGAAAGTTCCATTGTCAGAACCGTTCTTTGTGACAGTGGACTTCCAACCCCTCTCATCATGTTTTGAGGTTGAAATGATTGCTTCATATGGACTGTATGGATTGCTGATGGGTATCTGAGTGGGGTCTCTCTTTTGTGTGTACATTAGTCAGTTTTGAGATAGAATAATGTGGTTCAGTTCCAAGTTGTTGTTGGAGCCCAGGGATCTGATCTGATTTTGAAGAAAGGATGATAGCCACAGATGTCTCACTTCTCATGAGGTTGAATATTCGTTAGTTAGCGGGAGGCTGTGTTGCTGTAGGTCAGCATCACATGATCGTCCCTGGGGTCCGCTGGTATCGAGCTCGGTTAAGTAGTTAACGAACACGCACTCCGCGTACGGAGTACTTAATAGTTCACACTGTCACCTACGTCACTATTTGGGAAGAATCAATCATCTTCTTTTATCTCAGAGAAGGTATCTATGACAACAGCGTTGTAAGTGATACCACAAGATTAAATAGGAAGCTCTGATCTATTCATATTCTGTCAGCTCGGTAAATTCAACTACTGCATCGGAATTTAATCCTCGAAGCCCTCGCGAACCACTGCTCAATTTGGGGCGGCGACAATCACGCAGTCTTCGAGTTCTTCTCTGTATTTCAAGATTTTCCGGATCCTGAATCCCGCTGCTTCCAAAAGCGCTCGCCATTCAGTTTCCGTACGCTGCATTGATGATAGAGCCACTGCCATAGTGAAATCCGCCTGAGTCGCCCGCCACGGGGCATTACGCTCGGAAATGACCATTTCGTCGATGAGAAGAGTCGAGTCCTGAGACATACCAGCTTTGATATTCTCTAGAATGACTTTGCACTTGTCATTCGGCCAGTCATGCAGAACCTGGCGGAGATAGTATGCGCGAGCCCCTAACCCCACGAATCAGACATTGTCTCATTGTCTAGACAGGTTGGACAATACAATACCCTTAATCGTTTGCGGTAAGAACATATCATAAACTTCCGCTTCGATACTCTCAAATCCTGAAAGTGGATTCTGTCTGGCTTCTGCAAGAACGTGCTCAAGGTCTTGCACGATGATGCGGCCGGGGAGGCCTGGGTATCGCTGTCGCAGTGCGATGCTTTGATGGCCCTTAGAGCCTCCAATATCCACAAATAAAACCGTTGAACTGTTCGTTCCTTGGCCTAGCTCCCCTTCAAAGTCCATCACGTCAAGGAAGATGGGACGACTTTCACGCTGAGCAGACATCCATATACCGAAATTTTCCGAGTCTTGCGGATGACTTTGGAGCCACTGGAAGAACGTTTGACTGGTATGCATACCCAGATGGAACGCAGTTTTGCTCGGGTCGATCGGGTTGCAGTAGCCGTTTTGCTGCAGGAATTTGGGGAATGCCATGATGGCTGGAGACAGCAGGTCAAACCTTACGAAGCCATGTCAGGGTGGCATTTTCAAAGATGACCCTGTCGGAGCTTACTGTATGTAAACACCGTAACGCCCGCCATCAGATGCTAAAGCCTCAGTGACATTGGTGGCGGTATACGTATCTTCGTCGAGTTGCAAAACCATTCCAACCGACTGATAATATCTTAACAATCGCTCTATTTATCGTGAGCCGTCTTCTTGAACCCGTAAGATGATCTTACCACTTACTCATCAGAACTATATCGACTTTTGTTTTTTTTGCAAGCTCCTCATGGGTGAAGCTAGAGCCATTGCCCTCCGACAGGATATCGAAAAGTCGAATATCAATCCCGACACGAGCAAGCGCAAGCTGCATTGGCTAAAGCGCAACATTATTTGAGGGTCCAAAGGCAAGGATATGATAGAATGGTCAATCTTACTGCGTAAGCTATCCTGTGGATGGTGTCTCCAGGTGCCTCCATGGCAAGGCTAAGTTTCCGCCCCGCATCGCGCAATCTGCGTCGGAGACCGTCATCCTGAAGGTCAGTGACCGCCTGTGGGTTGCTAAGGACGGTTTCGATCCGCTCTGAGAGAGCAACCACGTCATCCAGTTTTGCAGCCATCTTGACGGTATCTGGTTCAATGCCTATGTAAATAGTTTCGTGAACTACAAAGTAGAGGACGTGCTAAGACAATATATTTCTGACGACAATCTTACTTACCGAGTTACACATCTCTCTATTCCACTACGTACGTCCCCCTACCCGTTCCGGGCGCAGGACTCAGTGCAGCCGCCCTTTTATGAGTAGTAACTACTTGTTACATCAAACATACATACATGCAGATGCTCAAGCGCCCGGGTCTGCGGCTGGGATGTGCTAAGTCAGGTGCGAGGTGCTCCAAGGATCTAACTCTTGCATCCCATCCCCTTGTACTGGTTACTCGGCTCTAGATGCATGCCGGTCATGGATTAACTCCTACCCAAGACCATCCTTGGCCTGCGGTGTTCAGCTCTAAGAACTCGGGTCCTTACACAAAACCATGTAATGCAGAGTCGAGCTAACGCCGTCTTAACTGCAATGTCCGGCCCTAACTCCGAAACATTGCAGCACATTTCAGGGCATAAAAAGGGTATATTGATATCGATGAATCTCGAAGGTAATGCAAGGTTGGACAAAACTCCCCCAAATCCCGAGCCAAATACGTTAATTTTCTCTTGCACACTAAAACTATCTCTTAATATGGCAACACGCAAATCACTACCTGTCACCGGCTTCGGCCTGCTCGGAATGACCTGGCGCCCAAAAGTCACTCCTGATGAACGTGCCTTTCCTGCAATGAAGGCTGCCATCGCAAATGGAGCTACAATCTGGTCCTCATCGTCAATCTACGGTATGGCTCCAGAGGAGCCAACAGCTGGTCTATCCTTATTGCGCCGGTACTTCATGAAATATCCCGAGGATGCGGAAAAGGTCACCCTTTTCATTCGGGCGTGTATGGATGGCAAGACTTTGACCCAGGCCTGCACTCGGGATGGTGTACGTGCTAGTGCTGAGGAATGCAATCGTATGCTGGGTGGTGCTAAAAAGATTGATATTTTTGGACCCGCTCGAATGGACCCAAACGTCCCTGTGGAGGAAACTATCAGTGCTCTCAAAGAACTTGTGGAAGAGGGTCAAGTTGGTGCTGTGGGTTTGTCTGAAGTGGGTGCGCAGACGATTAGAAAAGCTCATGCTATCTGCCCACTGAGTGTTGTTGAGGTGGAATTCTCCCTGTGGAGTACTGACATCCTCACTAATGGAGTTGCCTCCGCTTGCAAGGAACTGGGTGTCCCCATTTTAACCTATGCGCCTCTCGGCTATGGATTCTTGACAGGACAGGTCAGAAAGCTAGAAGATATCCCAAAAGGTGACATCCGTCATATGTTTGGCCGCTTTCAACCAGAAGTAAGTATTATGAACTTCCGGCTCCCAAGAATAGATAATAGTAACCTTCTGGCTACGTAGCATTTCCCCAAGAATCTCGAATTAGTCGACAAGGTCAATGAATTTGCCAAGCAGAAAAGCATCACGCCGGCGCAGGTTGCTCTTGCTTGGATTCGCGCTCACTCAAACACGGAAAAATGTGGTACAATCATCCCAATTCCCGGGGCAACGGAGGCCAAGCGGGTTGACGAGAACTGCAAAGTGATAGAATTGTCTGCAGAGGAAAAGGCAAGGCTTGATAATATACTCGAGTCAATCCCAGTATCTGGAGGAAGACAGATTGCTGGGTTGGAGTCTCAGCTTTGGGGGTAAATCAGCCCGGCTACGTTGAAAACATGTTTCTTCATATGCTGCTTCTCTTCCTTTTGGATTATTGGCCTGTCCCATTTCAACTGAGTGAACGAAAGGGGAAATGAAAATAGGCCTAGACTAGTCAGTAATGCAGAGACGCTTAGGATGTTTTGCGAATATTCTGAATTAAATCAATCTTACTGCCTGTAAAATAGTGCGAGCACCCGTCACCACATAGCCATGCCCTATATGAAGGCTTGCCGACTGGACCAACAACCGCTTAGCCTCGCAAATATTAGCTGCCTTCTAGCCCAGATAGACCCAGAAATTGACAATGCTGCACCACTCGCAAATGTTTGAAGTTTCCCAAGCCGGAACGACTTTGGCCATTGTAAGTTAGTCTGAGTTCAGACTACCCATATGCACTCAGGCTGCTTGATGGTCGGGGTAGATTCAGGTAACTCGGGTCCTACCAGTGAGAACAGTACATTTCATCCCTTTGTTGGGACACGGGGTTTACGCTGTTTGAAGATCTGAGACTTTATTCATTCATCTCCCGCCCTATAACCGAAAACGCTGAAAGTTGCTGTCATTAGCAAGTGTCTTGGTTTTTGATAATAAGCAGTCGACAAAGCAACATGGAGCGCCGCCCTCGTACCTCCAGTGAAGCGGATAAACTCCTTGCCTTATCAGATCTCCTTCGTAGCACGGCGTTGACGATTAAGGAGGAATGGGCCAAAGAAGATTTCTCGAGGCCAGCCGGCGGGGACACGGCGCGACTCCTACCAAGTGCCCGACTATGGGAGGCGCAAAGGACCATCGAGGCAATTTCGGGGAGCGTGGTCGAACTTGTGTGCGACCCTAGCCAACGCATCCAACAGGTGCTTAGCTTGTTTTTCGAAAGCCGGGCACTGTTTATTGCGGCTGAGCGACGAATTCCTGACCTGCTGGCGGATGTGGGGGATCAAGGAATGGGAATCGATCGTCTGGCTGTGATAACTGGTATCGAGAACAGGAAACTTTGTAAGAAGATATAAACGGCGACTATGATAAGCTGCTTTTTTGCTGACGAATCGAATGCAGCTCGTATTATGCGAACTCTATGCGCAACCCATATTTTCAAAGAAGTTGGCGAGAATCAATTTGCCAACAACCGCATCTCCGAAGCTCTAGTTCAGAATGATGGGCTTCGCGCTTACGTGCAGTTATTGTAGGTCATATCCCGCTGAATTGGTGAGGGAGATGCCAGATTGATGCTGACAAGCTTTGATTTCAAGCAACTTACATGTTTTCCGTGCCTCTGAGTATTTGCCGAAGTACCTCCTTGGGGGTAAGGGCGCTTCATATGACGTGTGCGAGACAGCACTCCAGGATGCACTCGGTATCGAGGTCCCCCTGTGGGAGTGGATGGCAAAAAAGGTGCCGATACGTCAAGTTCAGTGTGACGGGCCGGGATACCCCAGTGTCCCTGACATTTCAAACTGTGGTATCACTCCAGACGATCAGGGGCTGGTTTACCGCCCCGAACTGAGCAATTTTGCCTTGGCTATGGCTGGCGGTGGGAATGCCTCAGGTGCCGCTCATGCTTTCGGTGAGGAGGACTTACCTCGATTTCACATAGTAGTCCCCTCGACTAATCAAGTTTTGTATAGATTTCCCTTGGGGAGACCTAGGCGATGGTCTCGTGGTCGATGTCGGAGGAGGCGTTGGTGCGTATACCGTCCATGACAACTGATGTTATAACATGGTTATTTCTAATTGAATCAGGTGGTTTCGTTCTTCAACTTTTGCCTGTGTACCCGAAGCTCAGATTTGTGGTTCAAGACCGCTTGGAGAATGTCGAACAGGGAAAGACGGAGATCTTTCCTCGCGAGGCCCCAGACGCAATCCGCAATGGAAGGGTCAAGTTCATGGCCCACGACTTCTTTCAAGAGAACCCGGTCAAGAACGCTGATGTGTACTGGCTGCGCGGCATCTTGTGAGGAGCACAGCTTTCCCGGCCCATCTGATTGTTTAGCCAGCTTTCTGACACTGTCCCAGGCACGATTGGTCAGACGAGTATTGTATCCGTATTCTGAAGGGCCTCAAGGCATCGATGGGCCCTAAATCCAAGATACTCATCTGCGATCCGGTCATGAACACGACGTTTGGTTGCACTGAGATCCCGCCTGCACCGTATCCTCTCCTCGCCAACTACGGGTACCACGTCCGGTACTGCCATAACAGGGACTTGGGCCTGATGTCCACTATCAATGGCATCGAACGGACTCCCACTCAGTTCAAAGATCTGGTTGACAAGTCAGGTCTCAGGCTGACGAAATTCTGGCCAGTCAGAAGCATGGTGGGTATCACCGAGGTTTGTCTTTGAAAAAAGATGTGATTAACTAGTTGATATTTTGCCCAATGAGCTTGAGTCGGAGAGCATGGTTAAATTCAGGATTATTTGCTGTATTTGCTCAGCGCTAGTTAACTAGTTGACAAGTTTAAACAGCTCCTAGTGAGATAACTGGATAAAACAACTACAGCCTCTGGTTAGCGGTTTAGCTACTCTTTACTCCGTACTCCGTACAAAGTTACTTAAAATAGAACAACAAGACCGACTTAACTCAGTAACCAACTAGTTAGTTAATGGAGTCACTATTTTTGAGATTAGTGTAAGGTGGCTCACCACTCAATGAGCCAAACCACTCAACAAGCCAAATTTTCACACCATCAAATTTCTTCAATGCTCAACTTCATTATGCAATAGCATGGTCAACAACAAAGCAATTAAGCTTGCAATTGAAGATCTTGAATTGCAAGAGACTCTAAATTACAGTACAACCACAAAAAAATATTCACTCAGCTGAGAGACTCTGTGCTGGTGGTATCAAGATCTACAAGTCAATCATCATGAAGCAATCTCCAAACATAAGAAGAAGCTCATTAATATACAGAAGAATGAGCTTCTAGAGTATATAAACAAGCTCTGCAACTGTGGTCTTGCTTCTATGTCTCAAATTCTTCAAAATATTATGCAAGAGATGACAGAAGAGAACATGGAAATTAACTAAGTAATATAATTTTGTGAGTGCCACAAGAACAAGATCAAGATTATTTATCTCAAGCTGCTTGACAAGAATAAACAGATAGCAGATAATTACTACTGCTTTCAGCACTTCTATAGTCTTATAATTTGATGCTTTTTTTTACTTCTTTGCAAGTACAGTTATTGAATTTGACTAACTTGTTAAATATTTGCACTGCTGTATTTAGTTAAGCAAGAAAATCAGTCAGTATAATATTATACTGGAAAATATATATAACTTTAATAAAAAAGAATTCCTTCTAGACTTCTGTTATATCTTGAAGTATCTTGTCTCTATTAAAGCTCTACAAGCTGGTAAAAGTATTGCAACTTAGAATGAAAGCTGGAAATTTCTCTCACTACTCTGTTCAGTCTCTGCAGATAGAATTGCATTATCTCCAGCTCTTATTTATCAGAGTAAATTCAGAGATCTTCAGAATATATAACTGAATAATTTTGACAGAAGTGAATATATCTACTTTGCAGTCTTAGTAAATGACTGGAGCAATAATAAATATAGCTTGAAGTAGTTGCAATGGATTTTTAATCTGTATACAAAAATAAAAGCAGATAGAGCAAGATGTCTGCTTCTACTAGATGGGCATTCTTTCTATATAAATATGAAATTTATTGAATATACAAACTGTAAAAGAATTCTGCTGTTGATTCTTTCACTACACTCTACTCACTGTTTGCAGTCTCTTGATATTGGTGTTTTTGAGCTGCTGGACAAGATGTATTTCAGCAAGCTGGAATTCCTACTACATTATGAACTGGACTATATTTAAATGACAAAAAGAGATTTCTGAAGACTATTCAATGCAGCATGGAAGAAGGCTTTGACAGATGATAATATATATACTGGCTTTGCAAAGACTGATATTTATTCTCTGGATCTTCAGTATTAACTAAGCTGATTTGAAACTGCTGATCAACAAGACCCTACATCACTAGTTAAGTCTTCCATTTCTACAAATATACAGAAGCTTTATCAAGAGATTAAAAGTATTTATCTTCAGCACAGCTTAAATTTACAGAGTATTAGATAGATTATTAAAGTCAGTAAGCAATTTACAATATAAAATGAACTGCTAAAGCATAAAAATCAGACTCTAAAATTAACTATTGTGATGAAGAAACAGTGCTGCAAGTAAGACAAGCCTCTAGATCTACTTAATTATAATAATCTGAGCCAGGTCTAGTTCTGAAGTTCTATAAAAGTTCTGCAGGCTTGAGAATGCTGAGATAAAATAGAGACTAAGAAAGCTTACAAAATTGCTTAAACACAAGAGATAAAGCTTCAATAGAAGCTTTAAAGAGAGTAGACAGCTAGAGAGACTGAAGAAAAACAGATTGAATAAGAGACTGTCTATATAAAGATCTGTAAGTAATAAGAGGCTGAAAAGCTTAAACATGCTATATAATAAGAGACTTAGTGTATTATCTGTAAGAAGAAAAAGACTTTATAACAAGCAGAGAAGAAGAAACAAGCTGTTGAATATGCTAGTAAATATCAGTAGTCAGAGCTTTAAGTACTGACTTTAAAGTGCTGTCAGTAGAATCTTTCTATAAAAGAATCTTGTTGCAGCAAGCCTATATAATCTTCCCAAAGCAGTAGTAAGAGCTCTACTAGTCTCTCTAACAAGTCTTTAGACTCTCTAGCTAAGAAATCTACTGCTGCCATTCCTTTACAATCTTTCCTATCCACCCTCTGTATCTCTCACTCTGGCTGCAATATCAGGCTGTCCACATGTTTATTTTCATAGCCACACTAATTTCTATGCTTTAAAGAACACACTCATTTAATATTTAATAGCTAGTTTAATAATAATAATTTGTTGTTGAGATAATTAATAAATTCATAGCGTGGAGCATTGGAAGGAATTTGGCTCATTGAGTGGTTTGGCTCGTTGAGTGGTTTGGCTCATTGAGTGGTTTGGCTTGTTGAGTGGTTTGGCTCGTTGAGTGGTGAGCCACCTTACATGGAGTCAGCGATGTTTGTGTTCATCATCCAATTCCTCTAAAGAGTGTGCTCTCTAACATTTACATTCTTTTGCCTCATCAGTTTGACATGTGGGCAGGATCTCACTCAGTCGCAGGCGGTTTGTTTCCGTCAAGCCTAACATCATCATGGCCCACACTATGTTGGTTATCCCACCTCTTGACATAATCAACACTTCGCTTTAGCCAGCTTTAACTATTCTGGATAGAGTATCTCCTCACGATGCCTGATGGTGGCTCTCTAAACAATACACCTGCCCCTGTTTGAATTTGCGACTTTGTGTTGCAACACATTCACCTGCTCAAGCAACTTCCCCTTCTGCGACCAAGCGGTGCATGGTGTCAATGGTCGCCTCGACTGCGAGCTTGGTCGTCTGAGAAGACCCATAGATATGCGAAATTAGTTTGGGATGACTCGACGCAAAATGCTCTGTCAAGCGACGCCTGCATACCTTCCAATCCGCTATCCTTTGCGCAGAAGCCTCGGGCGTACCTTCGGCAATCTCCGGGTGGTGCCACTCGAAGATATACGTGTAGTAAAATTCTTCATCACCGCCCGGTCCAACACTAACAGCATTGGTGATGGTACTTCCATCCGCGGCGACGAAATCCACGCGGCAAGGCTTGTACATGCGGCACGTTTCCACTGCCTCTGCTGCACCAGCCGGATGACCATGTGGTGCAAACGTCACTCTCCTGGTCACCTCCGTGGCGGACTCAGATAGAATCTCGGTATTGATGATGGCAGAGACAAACTGTTCAGCGTTTCGCACCTTGCGTTCGATACATTCCCAGATCTGGGAGGCTGTCAGTGATCGGCGGCCCTTTTGGTTGATGGGCGCCGTGTATGACATGTTGAATACAACCATTTTGGAGATGATGACATAGAAGGAATGTGCTCTCAAGGAGAACGAAAAAGGATGGCTTTGCCTCTTCTTCATACATTGCATGGAAATGTTAATACTCTACTAAGACGGATTGTGGGAGCCTATACGTGCGGACCCGAGTTCGCTAGGTAGGCAGGCTGTCGGACCCGAGCGTCAATGTACACAGCACTCAGATTAATGTGAGGAGTCCGAGAGCTGGAGATATCTCGCTTGCGTAAATTTCAACAGTACTGTGGGCGCTGCTAAACCGCTCTGCAACACAATCAGCTTTTTTCCTCCACATATCGTTATCTCATATGGATCATTCCCTCTTCAACGAGTTTGCTGGCCGAGCAGCAAAATGGAGTGGGAGTTTCGCTATCGCTGCCGTGATATTTATCGTTTTCCATTCCATGGTGTCGTATTTTAAACTGCGACACATTCCAGGGCCTCCCATTGCTGCTTTTACCAATGTCGTTCGTCGTGCATGGGTAGTGCGCGGCGACCTACACGAGAAACACACCCGTCTGCATCGCAAGTATGGGACAGTTGTTCGTGTTGGCCCGAGAGCCGTCTTGGTTTCACAGCCAAAAGCTATCGAAAAGATCTATGGATTCAAAGCCAAGTTCCTCAAGGTATGTATATCCTCCTCGAAAAAGTCTGCCTTCTGCCTAATTACATATCCACCATGTATAGTCTGAATTCTATGATTCCATCATCCCCCGCATCAAAGGGGGGAAGATTCCGGATGTTTTCGCAACTCGTGATGAGGATCTCCATCGACAGATGCGCAAACCAATCGCCAATTTATATTCGATTGCAAACTTGATCAGCTTTGAGCCGCTGGTCTTCTCGACAATGCGCTGCTTCTTTTCTCGCCTCGACGAGCTCTTCACTGATAAAAACAAGGATTTCGACCTTGGCCAGTGGCTGCAACTCTTCACCTTTGACGTCATGGGTGAGGTAACGTTTTCGCGACGGCTCGGGTTTCTCGAGAAAGGTGGTGATATAGAGAATGTTATGGAAAACAATTGGCAGTATTTTCAGGCGGCGGCACCTGTAAGTGTGCCCCGTGACTCTAGGATAGCATACTCCCTGTGGATGCTTGTGATTTGCTAATATCCAGAACAACAGAACACGCAGATGCCTTGGCTGGATTATTTCTGGAAAGACAATCCTTTGCTACCAACTATCTCCAAACGGAACCCACTCACTGACTTTGGTGCCGCTAGAATCAAAGAGCGCTTGGATATGACAGAAACGGAGCGTTCCTCCATCAACCAGAGAGATTTCCTATCTTGTTTTATCGAAGAGGCCCATAAAAATCCTGGTCTTCCAAAATTGTGCGTTCCTCCATGGTTGCATTAACTTGGAGCAAGATTTGTGGTTAATCATGAAATCGATGCTTCAGGGCCCTCCCAACGTGGACCAATTCCAATATTCAGGCTGGGGGTGACACGACAGCCATTATGGCCAGTGTTATCTTGTATTATTTGCTCAAGAACCCATCCACACTGGATGTTCTCCAGAGAGAGATCGATAAGGCCGCCCATGAAGGTCGCATATCAGAGTTTGTGACGTGGAAGGAATCACAGACCCTACCATACCTGGATGCATGCGTCAAGGAAGCCTCGAGATTGCATCCCCCGATTGGCTTCCCTTTGGAACGTATTGTACCTGAGTCTGGGCTCCAGGTAGACGGGTACCATATTCCCCCCGGCACTCGGGTTTCCATGAATCCATGGGCTGTGCATCGAGAAATTTCGCTCTATGGGGATGACGCAGAAATTTGGAAACCGGAACGCTGGATGTGTAGCGAGATGGAAAAGAAAGCTATGTATCATTCACTTCTAACCGTGAGCGCTCCTTGGAATTACTTGGTGGAAGGCATTTACCTAACTTTCTCGTTCCATTTCACAGTTTGGTGCGGGCCACCGTGTATGCCTCGGGAAGAACCTCTCTTACTTTGAGGTGTACAAGCTTGTTCCGTCATTACTACAAAAGTACCAGGTATGGATACTTCCCCTACGCTGATGAATTTATTCCGCAAGTTTCAAGAGAAAAGCCGCTGCGGCCACCCTTGATGAATGCGTTGAGCTGATATGTGGCCCTAGTTGGAACTTGTTGACCCTCAAAGAGAGTGGTCATTAGAGACAAAATGGTTTACGATGCCATCGGGATTCCGCGTCAGAATTAAGAGTCGCAATTCTACCAAGCGAAATCCCGGTAACCCCAATATTGGCTGAGCACGGGTCCAAATGGCCGGTACAAGGCTACCCCTATCGCTATGTAAACCATATCACAGAATAACAAAAATATTTCTCAGTTCCAGAATCTCCCATAGCCTACCATATTCATGTAACCCACAGAGCCCTAATAAGGCAAAATATTCGAATTCGTTCATCATGTGGTAACTTATCCTGTATTAAGAGAGGCTACCCACCCCTTCCAAAATCGCGGATTCACTTTAGCCCTATATGTCAGAGCCAAATGAAGAAGATTCAAGGGGATTTCGCTCGGCGGATTATTTATCCACGTTTCTTAGAGGCCACGGTTCCGTGACATTGCAAGTCGTGATTCTTCGTCATCATACTTGATGGTTGCAAATACAGTCGTATTAAGCCTCACTAAAGTGAGACAAAACATATCTAACTTGAGAAGGAACTGCTGAGCAAGAGACTAGCGCGTAAGTAACTGTGGCTGACCAGTGTAAAAACCGCGTCGCATCTTAATAACGGCCCGGGGCTTATCGTTTATCTCGCAGCTTAGGGATAGTCGGATCAAAAGACCCAAAGTCCAGCTGGGGCTGAGCTAGGCCCCGATGATACAAAGATCTTGGACCCGAGCAGGTGTTAGTATCCAGCAAGTTTCTCTCTTCCTCTGCCATTCTGAGGCTTTGAACCGCCATGATTATTTGTCAATCAGGCTTGGAATGGCCTGTAAACTTGCGCTCCCAGTAAAGACCTACTCCTAAGTACGGGATGAAACTGGCATACTTCCATTGCACAGTTAGTTATCATCTCTACGGGCCTCGCTGCTTCGCGGACTTGTCACAACCAGCCAAAGGTCGGCATATGGAGGTATTCACATATTACGTTGTTTATCGCTAATTAGCTCTTTACCTTGAACGATGGTAAGTGGTTCATTATCTATGACACTTAACCAACATCGCTAATTACACTCTAGGCCATCCCAACGCTGGAAGGACTTCCGACTGAGTTGCGGATCGTCATTCTGAGAAACATCACCGATTTGAGTACCCTGAGGAGCCTTATTCATGGTTCTATGATATACCAAGAAACCTTTCACAGCGCTCGCGAGGCTATCCTTGAAAATATAATTTACCATCAGTATGGTCATATGGGGCTCGCACAGGCAATTGCTGCGGTGCAATCAAAGGGAATGCACGCTTCAGAGGCGTCACACAAACCAGGAATTGCGACTATCTTGAACCGCTGTCGCCATTTTCGAAGCGGCTGCTCCTCAAGAACGCTCCGAGCTACTGTCTCAATAACCGCTGAAGAATGTGTTAAGTTACTAGATCTTCACGAGGAGTTCGTCTTCTTCTTACAAGACTTCTGTTTGACAGCGCCATGTCCACCATGGATGGATGCAGTAAAATGGCGAAGTGAAATGTTACCAGTGCGTTTGTCCGATGTTGAGGCGGCACGTATTCTTCGGGCTCTCTGTCGCCTTGAAACGTTTTGTAATATTTTTGGTGTAATGGACAGGGAGGTGGAGCTTAAGCCAGAAGGGAAGCAGCAGGCAAGTTGGATCGGTCATACTTATGACTGGGCAGAAGTGTGGGATATTTTCTTTGGCACGATGCCTCCTTGGGAAGTTGAGGAGATATTCTGTGTTCGGGCGTATCTGCGCAGAAAATATGCTGGGATTTTCGCAGAGATTGCAAATGATGTATCAAGACACATCCCAGGCCCGCATGGTGAGCATATTTGCAAACCAAACTGGAACTTTGGTCTTGCACGCGAACTAACCTGGGCTAATTAATCTGTGAACAGTTTATGAATGTCAGCTGCATCTCGAACACATGGCTGATATGGGTCCCAATTTTCTTTATAGGGTTCTCCATGAGCCACATAAAAGGCGCAGGGATATGGTTGAGAGGAATATCGACAGCGCAGCATGGTCGATCTTCGAACTAATGATATTCATGATCGAGCCTTGGGGCCCTGGTTCTCTTGCAACTAAGCACTGCGGGTATGGAATTCCCGTGTCTTCGCTCCCTCATGTCGAGCGACCAAATCTCAAGTATATCCGATATCGAGGCCGAGGCGGGTCAGTTGACGCCACCCATCTCGATGAATTGTTCAGACATCCAGGTATGGGGGATTACGACGGCTGGAATTGGTATTCGCTGATATGGGATGATGAAAGGTTGCTCAAGTTGAAGGCGCCTTTGTAGTGGATCCGGCCATCAGTGTCGGAATTGGAAGATTTTGACCTCTTAATATGTCTAACACAAGTGCTTTCACGTTTGAGAGTTGCTCTAAGCGCAGAATGTCGCAGACCTCGTCAGCATGAAAAGAATGCTAGCTCAAATCTCAACCTGGCACACAGTTTTAAGCAAATCCACACAAATGGCTAGTTATGGGTATAGGGAATACTATTTATACAGCTCGATGGATGGCAGCAGCCTATGTTAAAGAGCTCTCCATAAGATTCGGTTGTTCCGTCCCCTGAGGATTCTTCGGATCTTGTGTGGGTGAGCGCCAGGGGAGCTCGCTGCAGAGAAGTTACAGTCCGAACGTTGCTAGATAACACTACCCTGTACTATGTAGCCCCGAAACGGTTAGGCGGGAGCCAGGAGAAGCTTGCCGTGAACTTTAGTGAAGTTAGTTAGTTAGTAAAAAAGCAAACAAGACAAACAATTATGGGAACTCCTGAAACTCTTCTCACCTCTGAGCTCGAAGCAAAGGTTTTGGAAATTGAGGACAGGCCACAGATGTAGTTTGCATATTTTTCTTTTCTTCTTCTTCTTCTTTTTTTTTTTTTTTACTAGAGTTAAATTGTTTCACTAGCATTATGGAGTCTTTGCTTTTTGTGTGTGACTCTTGTTCATTGATTATTTCAGCCGAGCAGATTTCTGACTAATCTATATTGATATATTGAAATCCGAGTTTTATAACAGCTATTGTAAGCTTTAATGGTGATTCTTTGGAAAGCAGCAAGATTAGGCGTCTCACAACGACTTGTTGATAATAGGTGTTGGTTGCTTTTCTTAAGTCATCAGAGATGGTAACACGGATCCCGTCTTCAAGAGAAATCAGACTGACACAATGTGAAAGACCTCCAACCTGTGAAAAAGAAGGATCTACTATAACCGCAGTGGCCAGAGACCATTTATTTTGGCTACTATGGGAGCACCAGCACAGCCTTGGAAAACCAGACATTGTGTGCCCTGTGGGTTGGTGTTTCAGTGTATGCCCGGATGCAGGTTCTCAAACAACCTCCCACTCCTTAATGACACAGATAAGTAAGTGATGGACTCAAATCCACATTATGTTGTTCCTCATTTTTGTGCGGCGCCTGTACAGCAAAAAGTGATATACTTGCATTTAGAACAATGATGTACAAGATTACTGTTGAACACCAACCTTATGCTGGCAAATGAAGTGGGGATGTTTGAAGATTATAAAGGTGGAGAATGCCGCCAAGGTGGGAGGAACAATCTCAACGCAAATTGACACGGGAGTAACTATTGATATTTGTGGTAGATCAGCGGCGATATCAATTGAGTGTGACTCTCTTATTGACAATTGATGAGTGCCATTTCTACAGAATCTCCCCCCCCCCCCAAAGAAGGGGGGGGAGGGAGAGGAGAAGAACGGAGGTTTCCCAAAAACAAATGAAAAGGTTGGGCGAATCATCATCCATCCATTGCCCTTTTTTCAAAAGATCCAACTTGCTAGTCTATCAAGAGTTGGACTTCACAGCAAGTTGTACTGAATACTAGTCTGTTCGTTAGCAACCACTAAATAAAGTCACTAAGGTGAATACTTCATGGGCGGTCTTACCTACGCGTGAGTACCATGAAGCCAGTCCATCACACCCAAAATACCAAAGTTGATATTCCCTTTTTCATGATGAATATCGTGGTTTTCTACGCTTGGCAGACGGAACAAGGAATACCCGCTATGCGACACAGCAGCATCAAACACTGCTACAAACGCAAACAGCATCAGAGTCAGGAAATGTACCCTTTGAACAGCCATTGAGATATATATTGGCATCGCATTCACCAATACATGGTCTATTGTATGGGAATATATGGCGGCTAGCGCAATCGGAGCTCGAAATTCGTGGTGGATTCGATGTATCCTTCGATACAATATCTTTGTGTGCATCAAACGGTGCACATAATAAAGCACCACATCCCTCAGGATCGCACCCACGGCGCAGTTAATCACCACTTCAAGGATGCTTGGAAGTTGAGAATCCATCCGAAAGGGTGTGAGTTCGTAATTTGATATCCGCAGCAGGAAGAAATGAGACGCGATCAGGAATAACTGGTTTCCAAACACGAGGCCTAGACATGAGAGCATCTGTCGTTTGGAAGGTTGTTTGCATGGTTGCTGAATCTTTCGACTGGCAAAAGAAGCTGGCTTTAGTATATCAAACGCCAGGAATCCCAAGCCGGGCAAGATGAAGCCAAAGAACTGGACTGCCGCTGACCCAACTCCTTCGATCCATCCAGGGGTATAACGGGCACATATGCCTTCCCATGTCGACGTTGCAAAGGACATTCTCTCTGAGTATCGCTTTAGCTGCTTGTGCTCCGGTATAGGACACAATGGTACATATATCTCCGTCAATGTTGCATCGAAACAAACCGTCCGAGATATATAGCTCCGATCGCTCTTTGTGGGACTTATCAGCTGCAGTTCTTTTCCATAATGGTAGCAATCAATCGCCCTACGTAGTCTTCTTACCCAGTAAGGGAATATCCAAGGTCTCCAGTCCCAAATGAATGACCGCGTTGTAGCGGTTCGCTAATTCGCCTAATCCGACTATGAAAAGCATAACATTCCCTTTTTCGAAAGCAAACTTCTTCGGCCGCTTTTATATACATGTTAGCACAGCATCCTTGGATATGCTTCCGATTCACTTGGAAGCCATGCCCATGGCTCCGGATCACAGAGCTGCACGCCAGTTCCCCCGCGGCCCTATGCTGATGTAGACTGAATAAGTGTGCCTTAAGAGAAAGGCAGTCAGTGAAAGGTTTCTTTCTTTGTCTTGTTCTTTTTCTTTTTCTTGAAATTTGTCTTCAAGTTTGTCTTTATTCTCGATAAGTCTTCTTTGGAAATGAAGAATAGTGAACGTTACTGATATATGAATTTTCAATGAAGAAATTTGTGCTTCCGCACTGCATAGCCCAATGATGACATGATATCCCGCATTCCAAATTCAAAATTATCCAGATGCGTTGAAGTAAGACGCCAATGGCTAGTTTGGATGAGATTTTGCTGGTCCATCCCTGAAGTGTAGTGTTGGCATTGTAAGAATTCATCCACACGAACAAAGCAGCAAGCAGAAAGTTTCACCTGTTTAACTTGCATATATTGCATGTACATCGAGGTCTCTTGCTTAACATGCGTAAATTGAAAACCGACACTTTGAAAAGTTGGTGGGGTGCCGAGGTGCAAACGTTCTCGAGGGTCTGCAAGTACATCCTTGAGCTTCGGAAAAACGTGGTGATAACCGGAATAACACCAAAGCTCAGTGCTTGTGGGTTATCCTGTATCCTTCTGGTCAGATTGCCATGCAGAACCCCAGCTCAAATGATACTGTTGCTGGCCTGTTTATTGGCGCTAGCAAAAGATCAAAGAAGTCCTCATGTCCAACGGAATGGATCATCTTAATGGCATCAATCCAACCAGCCAAAGGTAATGTAACTCCATTTCAGGCTCGGTGAGTCTTTTAACCAACACTGAACTGAAAGGAAATTTCAGTGGCTGTCGGGGAGACCGATGCATGCTTGCATCAGTCTTTTGCCATGCGTCCACTCCCCAGATATAGTTGGATAGTTATGAAGGACTATTGAATGCATTGCTCAGCGCCAATGGACAATGCAGTCAACCATGGCATCCCCATACGCCAAAGCAGTGTTTGATGTGGAGATCATGAAAGGCCCTGCATATACCATGCATGCGAGTGGTACAGCAGTTGCGGCAGTAAGCAAACAAATCACATACAGAGTACATTTATGCAGTGTCAACGCCAGCTACTCCGTGCTTGCTATGCTGTTTCTCACAAAACACAGGGACGTACAACGAAATAGTTTAAAGCAGAGAGCAAAGTTTGTGACAGTTGAGCGACACTTGCAGATTCAAAAGGGTACCAAGAAGGCACAAAACTCGATAACAAATACATGACACAAGTCAAGGATGTTGACGCACTTATGAGACAGCATCCTTGATTCTTGTCGTCAGCTACGAGACGCCATGTGATGATTTCCCGGCTGCAAGCTTGCCCATGCCGGCATATCCAAAATAATTGTTTCGTTCCTTCTATCCACATTAGCTGGAAAGAAGTGCGCCGAGTTATGATGCTTGGGAAATGCTTTGCCTCATGTCCTGGCGAAATGCGGCTGACAGTCCCAAGAGCAGGGGTATACATAGGATTGAGACCGTGCTGAGAAAAGAACCTGGTCTTCCCGGTCCTGTTTTCGAGACCGTTGGCTTTATAACAAGGACCGGTGGGCTATAACTAGCACCAAGAAATTATACATGTTCGCCCGCGTTCGAGAAGGAACATGGAACAAAAAAGGCGACTATTATTGCGGCAGGCGACGTGGGTTTTGTGTTCTAGGTTTCTCTTTTAACGCGCTCGGGGCCCTATCAGCGTGTCTGGAGGCGGGATTAGAATCGTCGTATGTGTTTTGGGGGGCGAGAAAGCTCGCGTGTGTGTTTCTGCGTTTCCGGGGCGGCGGTTGAATGTTGCATTTGGCATAACCAGCACGGCGAGCAGCACGCCCCGTACGCCCCGTACGTAGCAAGGTTTAGACATCCCTGGAGGTGTCTAAGCCAGGAGGCGAATGGCGCTTCTCGCTCCACGCGAGGAGCAAAGATCGGTTTATAATTCCTCTTTACCTGTAGAGCCTGCACGGCATCCGAAGGGCGATTTTGCTGTCGGTACTCCGTACCTGGGGCGAATGGCTTTGTCCAGATCCAGCGTTGCCCCTCGTGCCATGTCGTTCGCGACACTTACCTTGGGTTGGCGGGCGGTTAGTGAGTTAATTTAGTGGATGTGTTGATTCCAGCGTTTGTTCTCTGTACAGTTCGAAATTCGGCTTTTGGCAGCCATAGCTAGCGCACGACCGCGTCTTTCTCACGTCTCGCGATAAAATGACACTCCCCGCCCACCAGAATTGCAATCTTTCATTCCGTCTCAACTGGTTCGTCGCGGACTCCAGAACGCGCATCGGGGCCGTGGGCTTTACGCTCCTTGGCTCAGCGAGGCGGGGGTCCTCCGAACACTTCCCCATCAACCCACTCAAACGATCTACGAACATGCAACCCTGCCAGGGGTTTGTACCATATTACGAGAATTCTGGAGGCAAAGCACGGGAATTTTCTTTTCCAGTATGCGACAGAGGAGCCCAAAGCCTCCTTGGGAGTCGGATCCGTTCTAAGCAACCGTGTGCCCATCATGATGAAGCTCAGCACCTGTCGAGGTGAGATCACGAGAGAGGCCTGGACTCTCACATCCCAATTTCAAGCTCCACTTCAAGGTAATGAGGATTTGCCGATGTGCGGTGTTGTGCTTTCAGACTAATGGCTTCGCTCGTCACTCTTGAGGTAATTTCTGCCCAAGCCCAGCTCCCTCGGCGCGTCGTCTGTCTGAGACTCTTAACATGTGGGTGTCGACTACGACCACCAGACCCTTTAGTGTAGCATCCGACTGTGGAGTTACCCGCTCCCAAATTCACATCCATAGTTTATTCTATTTCATCGGAATCGAATACAGTCCTCGTCGCGCTACGAATTCTGCTCGTGCCGCCACCTTTCGAAATAGAAGTTGCGCGCTCTCGCTCCGCCACCACCCCTCTACGGAGTACACGAATTACAAGTCAGATCACTTGGCCCAGGAGTGACCAATGTTGAATGGCAGCGATTTGGCAGTTGTGACTGGGTAGAGGAGTACCAAGGACAACCCTGACTGCCTGCGGTCGACCTGCTCTCAACGGTATTTCTATTGGCTTTGTAACGGAACCAAGTGATAACTGCGTTTCCTTGGATCTGGCTGTTAACTAATAACTCTGTTCCTGGGCTCAAGGATGGGCCGGTGATTCGAAACCCCGGCCCAATAAGTGGAACATCCTGGCCCGCCCACGGTGATAGGTGGAATCGGCTGTGTAGTGGAACTTTGCGGACTGGCCTACCACATCGCAGGGTTGCCCAGTCCTCTCCAGAGTCACACTATTTCTCCATAGCACCACCTTCGACCTTTGCCCTCCTCGTCGACGAGCTTCTTGGAGACCTGGTCACACTGGCTCCCATGGCGTCGGAGAAAACATTTACTGGAAGGAATCCTCTCTGCTGTGGGTTCTGGCCGGACGAGTGGGGTTGAATAGCTCAACTAATCAACTTAACAAGTAGTATTATCACCCGGACACTTGCGCATACTGATGCTCGCCTCTCAATAACCGTGGGTCCTGCTCCTAGTCGGCCTTAAATACCCTGAGGACAGAGTAATGCTGGTGATATTACTCCCAGACACCCCAGCCCTGGGCTAGAAAACTGGCTCCGATCTTTTTTTCCTTGGAGCCCTCCCCCAGCTTTTCCTTGTTTCCATTTCTTTCCTATTTTCCCCTTTCTTACATCCTCTCACTCACTGCGCATAAGTTTCAGATTGTTGGGTTTCAAAGCGCAGATGTCGCCCTGCGACAGTCATCTTCACAGCGATCGGAGTGCGTGCTGGAATTTAAAGCGTTGAAATCTTCGTCGAGGGATCCAAGAGGGTCACTGAAATACTCCATCGAGGGGCTCCAACAACGGCTCTACTGCCCATGAATCAATTGTTGTGATATACGTTCAACTTTTGGGGGGGAAACAAAGGGAAGAACACAAACCAAAAGACCCCAAAGTCCCGACGGCGAGATAGACCATGGCGTTGGATTATAGTAAAAATGGGCTTTGCCCAGTTCCTTTTTTGCAAGAAGATCTTTACCCAGCGGAAGGGGGATGTGAGTTCGGAACTATGTTCATATGGTTTGTTGATGAGCTTTGTTCCACTGATATTGAAGCACCCTACTAGTTGTTCATGGTCGGTCCTGCGCAATCCAAGGAAATATATCCTGCTGCTTGCCATGTCCGCAGGTGGATTGGAGATACAAAGATGGTATTTTCCCCCGTCATCCTACTTTATTCTCATATGTTATTCCGCTCTTAACAATGATGGGCAGATTTCATGGACAAAACAGCAGTTGCCAACTGGCTTGCACTGGCTGTTTTTGTGGTGAACGGCTTTATGTTGATCACTTATGCTGTCTTACCTGTTAAATATACACATCGCCATTATTTGAGCATCTGTCTGATTGTTGCAATTATGCTAATGGAGGTATGGATTTGTACGGCTCTTGAATTCGTTCGTTGGCAGACGCTAACCTTGACATAGCTCTCCTTTATAATTCCACTCGGCGCCCAACCGCAACAGTGCTACAATGCGATTACCCCCAACGATATGAAATCAGACATAACGTGTGCCTTTACCAGTGCCCTGATTTTGGGCGGCGGCTGGTCGGTGATCTTATGGAGTATGTTAAGATGAAAACGGGCGTTTATGTATAAGATTGCTAACGCCCTAGAAGGTTTTTGCCGTACCCTATCCCTCCATCTACAGATTTGCTGGGATGTTGTACCTGGCCAGAAATTTTTCATTGCAACAATGGCGTTTGGATGGGGTATCCCGATCGCAGGTGTTACAGTCGCATTAGCGGTTACCGGAAGCTCTTATCGCTTTGGAAGCATATGTCACATCAACCACGACAAAGGGCTTTATGATTTCTGGGGCCCGTTAATGGCCTTCGCTGCCGCTACTCTGATAATCCATCTGGGTACTCTAGGCTACTGCATACAAGTTTACGTCAAGTCCATGCTGGACAACAATCCCACGACAGATAATAGTTCCACTTTGCCCTCCTATACGGGGAGTGTACGAACTCTTTCAGCCCGTCAAACCTACCGCCGCGTCAGAAGAGTCTTGCAACTCCAATGGAGAGGCGTTGCTGTGGTGATTACTATCCTGGCAAACGTCATTTTCTTCACTATTATTTTTCTATCTCTTGATAACTCTGCCAGAAGAACACCAGAAAATTCGATCAAACATATACCCTGGCTCGAATGTCTCGTCATAGCCGGTGGGGACAGAAATCGATGCGTTGCAGAGGCATCCACCCTCGGACCCAGTGAAGCTGCTATGTTGGCAGTTTTGATCCTGCTTTCTCTAAGCGGATTTTGGACTATCGTTTTCCTGGGGCACGTTAGTATGATTACAGGTTGGTTCAATTGGATAAAAGAGAAGTTACGTCCAAACAAGGAATTCGTCTCCATGGATGCTCGCGTGACGGGCACCCAGAGTCGTGCATATGAGATGCTCAGCGCAGATCGCCAACAGTCCTTAAAATCGCCAGAACCACTGCTCTCTCGGGCCCGAGACTCCGATAATTCTATCTACACAATGGGTGAACCTACCTACACGCTTGACGCAACTGCTGATAATCTCGCCCGAGAGGCCAAGTATAACAGCCCGCCACTCAGCTTTTCCACGCCTCGACCACCAAGCGCATCCCGTGGCTTTTCTCCCCGGGATTGGGACCCTCGGTCGACATTTGCTCCAAGCCAAGGTGGCGGGGCGCACTGGTACGAAAACAAAAATTCACCTTGAGGGCTTGTGCTTCCTGTCCCGCTGGATGGGCCTCTCTTAATCCGCGATATTCGAGCCTATTATGGAACCCACAGCCCTTCTTCCCCAAATGAAATGGCGCTTGCGAATGATTCGCATAATAGAATGCGCTTTGGGAATGTACTGTGGGTGTTATATTGCTATATGTTCATGCAACCCCGCCGAGCGGTAAACGGATGTGGCGTTATGTTGACGCCTCAAATCACTTGAGTTATCTTCCTACTTACTTATATTCTTGTCGGTCGTTTCTACACCGCTGAACCCAATACCTTTATTGTTTCCTTGTACAGATTATTGTTTTGAATACTGTGCCGGCTGCTGATATAATTTTTCTTGTATTCATCGTGTTAGCGATGGGTGGGCGGAATTGGATACCTCAACTGGGATATACTGGAATGGATAGGCGTTTTGCCCCTTTTGGGTTTTGGAAGACATTGCCGAGCCTTTTCTTTTGTCTTCCCTTCGAACACTATACTACACTGTTACCTGACGGATAATTTCTTCTTCCTTTCTTTCCTTCCTTCCTTTTTTTTTTTTTTCCCCCTCCAAAATATGCATTCCTGGGCGGAGTTGCAAGCGGGGATGCTTCCAAGGCACCGGGGAACCTGGCCCCAACGGCATGATTGGGATCGCAGTGGATGAGACGTGAACCTTGGGGCAGAGGCTAGTTCTGATCTCGTATTTTACTTGAACATTGTGTACATCTAGTTATAGATTCACATCATAATAAATACATAGTGACTTCTATCCTGCTCATGAAAGCATGGCACACATGTGAACCGAGGCGAAGGATGATGAATCGATAGAAAACACTGTGGCCATATCGCAGGCTATGTGGGAGATGGCCCATGATCGTGACGGTCAGACTTGTTTCCCTGGGAGTCCACGTTGATCGAGATGGCGGGCGGGTGGAATTGAGTTTTGTGACTCTCTTGGCTCGGGGCGCAACGATCTGATTTTTGCTCCGTTTTAGACTTTCGGTTGAACATGCAGAAAGTCAATGAAGTTTTCATCTCGACTAACGCGGAGACTGTCCTGTTTCATCTCGATCCACCACGTTTCTCCTACCATGGTTCTAAACCGCCAAGTTAAGGCTAATGTACAGTAGTTATTTTCCGTTTTTGAATTCGGGTTGTAAAGCCGGGTTCGGCTACCGACGGCGAACTTTCAAAGGTTGGGACCATGAGCGGTGCAAAAAAGGGCGTGCTGCAATGATGTTTCCGGATTACAGATCTGAGTCTGGTAGTTTGTGGAGTAGCCAACATTTGTACCACGTACGCATATGGAGAGGATATGCTAATCCTGCGGTTGCCAGTCGTAGCCAACGGCCATTAGTGGTGGGTCTGGTAGTGGACGGCTTGCAAGTTGCAATTTTCTGTGTCACGACCGTTTCGTTGACTCGGATCTGGAGTACGGAGTACAGAGGACCCTGTGGTTAGCCTTCCCCGCCCATATGCACATGGAAGAGGAACTTGTTAAGTACATATACATGAGTAACTAACTACGGAGTACGGAGTAGTGATGAATATGAATAGGGTTTCGGAGCGCTGACTACACCCTGCTAGATGCCGCAAGGCCTTCCCGGCATTAGGGACAATTTTTCTTCAGCTGCTGGTCATCAGAAGAGCCGTTAATTCATATCAAAAACATGTGAACCTGTGGAGTCTCCCAGTCTCCGGCTGGGCAGCTGAAGCATTGAAAGTCGAGCTCGTCACAGCCTGAGCGCAGATGCAGAGCGACAATTCAGAGCAGCCCCGGTTTGTTCCTCCCTTGGCGAAGAACCAACGCCTTTGAATCTCGGCCATTGAGTCACCGACGCAGTTATGAAGAAGCTATTGACACTAATGCACCCGCTCTTTTCAAGCGGGACGTTGCGATTCGCGTTGATGCTCGATAGAACTCCATCTCCAGAAGATGTCTGGAATGAGGCCGTGGATATTTCCCCGTGGGGGAAGCGGGAAGCCTAGCTTGACCTACAGGTGCCTGTGGGACGTTGTGTTCCCATTTCTCGAGCTCCCATCCTGGACAATCGGGTTCCCGTCCCTTGGATGGGGAATGTGACGCAAGATCATGGCTGGGGTTGGACGGATCCCTTCGGCTGGCACGATGAATTCGGTTGCATAACCTTCAGCTACGCCATGTTCTGGACTCGACAGCTCATTGTGGAAAGACAAAATTGGGCTTTTCAAGCATGCGCAACATGAACATCGGATCCTTCGTGCCCGAGAGGTTCACCGCCAACTCTAGGAAGGTTGAAGCCGAAAGCCTCGGCGTCGAACAGATCGTCGATCTAAAACAAGCATAAAATATCATGTGAATGCTCCGTCATCGCCAACCATGGCATTCGAGTTTACAATTCTTGTTGCAAGTTGGAATCCCTTTTTTTTTTTTTTTTTTTTGAAGAGAGTGTCTTCACACATGCAATAGCATACTTTCACACATCCTCATCGATCACTTGGCGTTGAAGCTAGCTCGCATTCGACTACTCGCTGACCGAAAAGGCTGAATATCCGCCGATGCCATTCTAAACCCCAGAGACTCCTGGTTCACTCGGCTTCACACCTGATGTGTGGGAAATAACGCAGATTGCTACGGAGTACATATGTCAATGTCGATTGAAAAGCAATCACAAAGAGTTTCTCATCTGCAATCATGGCACGAGGGACACTCTATAACTATACCATCCGTGCGGAAAAAAACCTCGCAGAAATATTTTTTTTTTAAAGAGCCAAATCTTCACGTTCCAGGTTTCTCGAATCGCGAAGGGACTCAACTGAGCCGCGGTTGATTTTGGGGAGATCTGCAAAGCCTTTTCGATTGGATCTTTGCTACATTGCCCCTTCGTCTGCGCAGGCAGATAATGTTTTCGAGACGGATGGTTGACATTGTAAACAGAAACCTTGAACTTTTTTGGCGAGTTTACCCAATCCGTCCGCCACGGTGCAGTGAGAACTGTGTGAATGCGCCCACCTAGCTAACCCAACTACTCCGTATACGACGGCACATTCCTTGCCCTCGAGTTTGGATATTGTTAGTTATCTCACGAGCACGGTGGGAATACCTTGACCCTCCGGTTCACTTTGAACGTCTGGATTACGGCCAGATGTTTACTGAGATCCGCTATCTGTTCCAAGGCCCGGCGAACATCCATCTAAACCGCGGTGTGATGTTGCAAAGTGCTAGTTGCGAGACGATCAAAGCTTTCCTACCGCCTGAGCTTCGCATACTATGAACGACACTATACTGGGAAGTTTTAACTGTGATTTTCATTATACTACACTGTTGCAATACAAGCGTTCGTTTAGCCATTTTCCCGCAAACATGAACAAGAGCTTATACCTTAAGCTGAAAACGGAACCCCGATAATATCGTCAAACTTCGAATAGAATGGGTAGCACCACCGATAGATTTGGAAAACTTAACTCCTCTCAGGGGCGGTGTAATCACCAAGCACCGACATCGAAATTTTCCTACGTGGAGTTGTGAGCGACAAGATTTGTGATCGGCAGAATGTATAAAAAAGCTCACCTCTGAAAAAAATGTAGTCACGACTGTCCGGTCCTGGAACTTACGTCCCGCCAACGCCTTCATTGCTTTATAGGCAGACTCGTAATTGTCGAATTTTACGTAGATTTTTCCAACACCGGCTGACTGCCGACTGCCACCAGTAGGCCGTGGAACCTTCATCTCAAGGACTTGTCCATATTTTGAACACTCGTCGCGAACGTCGTCGCAGATTTCTAGAAAGTGTTAGAATTGGCGAGTCCCTGTAAAAGAGAAAGATATCATATCATACCTTCGTAGTCATCGTTGTCCATCAGTTCCTCAGCCGTAACCATATTGAGCAACTGCAAAACTCGACCAGTTTCAAGATCTTGAGATGTCGTTTTGGCAAACATTGACATAGCATTTACACCCATATCAAGACCAGCAGCCTGGGTAGCCCCAATGCTAGCTCGGGTTACCTTCAGCCGTTTATCACCGAGTTCCATGCCATTCAAACCCTCGACTGCAATGTTGGTGGATGAGGGGTCGACGTATTCGCAGAAAGCAATGCCCTAAAACACGGTGTTAAGTCTTCTTCACGGGAACTATGGAGAAATTTTCAACATACCCTAGATTCATCGGTTCCGCTGTCCTTGACCAGTATAAAGGACTTCAGCTCGCCGAATGATACCAGAAGCATTGTTACCTGTTCTTCTTGAATGAATGGAGGAATGTTCGTAACGCATATCTTACTGGGAGAGTCGGGGACTTCATTTGAAACGACGCCCTCTTGACGGTTCGAATCGTCCGTTTCGGATGGTACGATATAATCTTTCGGCCTCCGAATAGAAAGACCTTGGCTCGATCCGTTTGTGTGGCCGTTGGCATCATCGGGTTCCATTGAGACACCGTCGAAAGCCAATGCAACGGTGGCATCGGCCGCGGTTTTGAACTCCAGCAGGGCGAATGTCCCATCAGTTGACAGCTGTGCCGACACACATGGATCAACACCGCTGACAACGTTTAGACCATTCAACTGTAGGTTAAAAAATTGTGCAATAGAATCTTCAGAAAGAGATGGAGATAAATTGTAAACAAAGAGCCGTTTGGCCTGTCGAGAATTTGAGGGCTTGAGGAGCGTATTGCTTGCATTTCCCCCTGGCTGATTCATAAACGCTTGCAAACGACTGGGATCGACTGCCTGCTGACGTGGTGCGCCTGGAAGGGGGAACATGCCTGTGGGAATTGTTAGATGGCTTTACAATCATTTATGGTAGTATTCAGTCTTAACAAACCTGAGAGTTTCGCCTGCTCGGCGGTAACATTTTCGTAACCTGGAGGTTTTATATCCCATTGAGTCAGCCGCCGTTTCCGTTCCAGAATCGGCACAACGTCCGTCAGATCCGGAGTAGGTTCCTTCTTTCGTTGTGCAGGGCTCTGGCTTCTTCGCCTGTCTCTGCCTCCACGGTCCCTACGAGGCCGGTCATCAAAAAGCTCGCGTTCCCGTCGCGAAGGTCTCTCATCGTCTTCGCGTCTATCACGTCTTCTATCGCCCCTATCTCGATCCCAGTCTCGGTCATCACGTCGGCTATATCGATCCTCTCGCTCCCGTGCGCGATAATCGCGACTGCTGGAATACGAATCTAACTCATGATCGCGACGCGAGGAACGGGAACTGTGGTGCGGAGACCTAGATCGTCTCCGGTCTCTATCGCGTCTATCTCCACGGTCGCCGCGATCCCTTCGATCATCTCGCTCGGAACGAGAGCCCTGTGGGAAAAGAAAACAGTAAGCAAAGCAGCACAGAACACGTTCTAGGTGATGCGCATTCTTACGTAGTAGTCTCTCGACCGTCCGGTATCTGAGCACTTTGTTAGTTTCAATTGATACCAGTCAACAGAAGCCTCCTCTGAAATAGCTCATACCTCTCGAGCTGTAGGCCTCGCCGTTCATCCTGTCTGACCAGGATCAGGAGGTTGCCGTCGAGCAATGACACAAAATTGCGGGATTTTGAAGCACAGATAAAGGGGAGTGGACTCTGGGAAAAGCGAATGAAGGGATAGGAAATTTTAGAAAAGGTCAGAGAAACCTGCTATTCCTTGTCCTCATGAATCTGCTCGGTGCTGAAAATCTTCGATTGCGCATCTGCAAGACAGATCAAAAGATGATGTTCTCCCAGCTTCATGTTCCAGCCACACTAGGCTCTTTTAGGTTAATCTAAAACTTTAATTGCTGATAAAGAAAGTGTTACATAATCATATCCTTGTGGTCCTGATTCGCCAGGCCCTCACGGCCTGTTTTTGTCCGACCTCGACGCCCGGGTTGCTGCAGCGAAGGGATGGAGAGAGCTTTCACAATGTCCATCGGGCACTTTTCAGAATGGCGCAAGCTTCCAGTAAGCCTTACCGAACTTTGCATTAATACGACTCTTCGCTGCGGCCAAACATTTAGGTGAGATTTTGTCCAAGAACGACCAGCCAACAGAAAAGTGTTGACCGGCATCAGATGGAGAAAATCAGCAGAAGACGAATGGAGCTGCGTGTTACATGGCCGGATTGTCTCCTTGCGTCAAGATGCGGATCATCTACACTATAGATCCCTGTTCCCCAGAGCCAGAGGAAATCTTGCAACGGGCCAAAAGACCAATGATGACACGGAAGCATTGATTCGTCATTATTTTAACTTGGAGCCGAATCTCTCTGGCTTGTATGAGCAGTGGGCAGAAGCTGATAAGAACTTCAAAAAGAAGGCTTTGCAATTTACTGGGATTCGAATCCTACGACAGGATGCATGGGAGGCTCTAGTGTCATTTATCTGCAGCAGCAACAACAACATAGCTCGCATCTCGCAAATGGTGGAAAAGTTATGCACCAATTATGGTCCATTAATTGGCCACATTGATAAACAACCGTATCACGGCTTCCCACCTCCTTCAGCGTTGATTGGCCAGGGAGTTGAGGCTCGTCTCAGAGAACTTGGATTCGGATACCGCGCAAAATGCATCTACAAAACTGCTGTTATGGTCGCGAACGAACGCGAGAAAGGATGGCTGAACTCGCTGAGAAATCCTGAACGTCCTGCATTTGGAGAAAAGCCGAATTTAGCGTGTAAGATGGAGGCACAAGGAAAAACTGGATATCGAGAAGCGCACGAAAACTTACTGGAGCTTCAAGGGGTCGGTCCGAAGGTGGCTGACTGCGTATGCCTGATGGGCTTGGGTTGGGGTGAAGCTGTACCTGTTGATACTCACGGTAAGGTGTTTGTTTTCCAATAGCTCCTTAGTTCTCTTTCTCCACTCAAGCTAATATCTATTCATAGTCTGGCAAATCGCCCAACGTGACTACAAATTTGGCAAGGGTAAACAAAAGAGCCTTACCAAAGCAACATACGATGCCGTTGGTGATCACTTTCGAAAACTCTGGGGCAAAGAAGCCGGCTGGGCTCATAGCGTTCTATTTACCGCCGATCTAAAGGTCTTCTCTGATCGCTTAACAGAAACGGCTCAAACTGACAAAGCGATGAGAAGTTTGTCCAATGGAAACATCAAGGAAGAAATAAAGCTGAAAACAGAGACCCGAGTCTCCGTGAAGAGAGAGTTAGCTGATGATTCGACATCTCAACCCATTTCCACGGCAGAAATAGTAGCCAAGGAGCGCGCCACAAAACGACGCAAAACTCGCCGCGGCTGATGCTAGCAATTAATATAAATCGTTTTCTTTCGAACCAAATGGTTTTACTGATGGATCACGCCGCGGCATGTATCAGTCATACAGAGAGAATTCCAGTGCTGCATCTCAGCCCAAGAAACGCTGGTTTGGATGCACGAGAGATACGATGGATTCAAATCCGAGCTACCATTCTTTACACAGGAGCCGCTTTGAACATCTTCTTTGGGAAAGTCTTTGCTGAACGATCGAGGGACGACTCATGGCCTGATTGTTGATTACGCGAAGTCCGTGGACACAGAGCCCTTCCAACTTGAAGTTTCCCCGAACTTCGATTTATTTGTTTTAAGTCTCTATCAAATGCAATCGAACATTGTCTGGCGTGAGTCTAGCTCGGCGAGTTCCTTGGAGAGACCGTGTTGGAAATAAAAGCTCTCCGTGGCATATTTTGGCACACTACCTTGTAAGGAGCTTTTGAAGCTTGATTACAAGATCTTAGCTTGTTATCAAATTCTCTTTATGGCTACTGTTCCCTATTTTAACAAAACCTTGCCGAGTAATTAAAGCGCATCTGTTTATTCCTTACCCAGTCCCAGCAAATCCTCGGCTTCAAAACATAAGGGCTGAAACATACGAGACAAGCCTAGCCTCCTTGTCATAATGTATCGTTTTGGTCCCTTCATTCCTCTAACTTCCACAGCCAGCTATTAAAAGCCTCATCGTCTAATTCCACAGGGATCTCATCTACCGAATGCTTCCACATCGTCGACTTGACTTGAATCCCGAAACCGACTGGATCATCAGCAAGAGCCTGTGTTCCCATTGTGATAGGGTGGTCAACCCCGTACGAAGCTATTGCTGCTTCCTTCGCCATTTCTGCGAAAACTCGGGTTCGCGCATGATCGCCGTGTGCCATCGTGATCATTACAGCGTCGTAATAAAATGTTGCGGCAAGGACCTCCAAAATGCCCTCCTCCTTTTGGAGGAGCATTGCGGTATGCGTGTTGTGGAGCGATGCCAAGGGCTGGTCCAGAATGACCGAGTCATCTCGGATCGAGTTAAAGAGCAACATGATGGTAGTGAGCCTCATGTCGCTCAGTCGTCGTTCGTTCTCAGGCATCAAACACAAGTTACAGCCACAAATGAAACCGAACTTCTCCTTCAACTGTTCCTGCCGAAGGTAAAATGCAAGGCCCGGCTCGACGTAGCTCACGGTGATCTCTTCCCCTTCAGAGACATCTTTTACGACGTGGACAACGGCTTGGTCGAGCACAGGATGGTATGACCTCATAGAGTTAGGCCGGCATCCGTGATTGAAACGGGAAACCTTGGGAAAAATTCCATATTCAGTTGTTTCAAAATCGATGAGCATCGCATTGGTGGCTGCAATCCCAAGAAAAACGCCGAATTGAGCCCTTTGAGTGTTTGCGAGCGAGAAAAACTCGCGTTGCTGCTCCTTGCTGAGAGCCTTCAATTTCGTGCTGATAGTCGCAGCTAGCGCTTCGATATCAGCTTTTGTCAATTTCGCGTGCTCCATCACAGCACCGGGTAGCTTCAACATCGGTGGGTCCGCGAGGATACGTGTTCCCTGGGGAATATTGCGAGTGGCGAAAACTCCATATCCCTTACCCTGGGTTTGCTTGATAATGCAAAACTCGTTGAGAGGAATCTCTGCTGGCTCCACTTGGGCTTCCATTGTGAGAGGCACTGAAGATGTTAGAAACGCTGGGCCCCTTCAGAAAGAATATCCAACTGGTATAACAGTATATTACTCACACTGATCTGAAGAGAGCAGGTAATCAATAAAGAATCTTGGCTGACTGTCAGCAGACTGCTGTTTGCTGGTTGATTGCAATCTTTAAAGGGGATGTTCTGAAGAGAAAACTTTGTTGTTTTGAAAACATATGGTCGCCATGGCGAAGATGCTATACGGACGACATCATGATTTAAAGCACAAGGTTGATTGCACCTTTTTTTGGAGCGGGGGTACACTGGCAAGTAATTTTTTGTACCAGGGCACAGACAAGCTGGCATATTCCTCCGGACAGAGTGCAATTTTTTCAGATATTTTTTGTCACTTCTGTTGAATAGTGCTCCCACTACTTGTACCAAAGTCATCTTTACACCTCAGATGTCATTTTTTATGGTGCTTCCTGGTCACCAACCTTTAGCTTTTGCGTACACACCCTTGGACCAGCAGCTGACAATTTCTGAACTTTGAGAGGGTCTAATGTTGGTTGCTTCCTGTCCGGATAAGTGTTACTCTATTTGATGCTACTGAAATCAACCCTTACTGTGTGGATGATAGAACAACCTTGACTACCTCAGTATAACAACCTAATGCTTGAGTTAGCCTACCAGCAAACATATCTTAAAGTCCTAACAACGGCTTTGATAAAATCTAATTACTGATGATGGGTACTGTTGAGATTGTCCAGGTGCCAAGTACGCCATATGTTTTTCTCAACTTCAGAGGACAAAGAATACAGAATTCAGCTACCTGTGTAATAAGCAAATTGGATGGTAAGCTTCTTTCTCTTCTCTTTTTTCATTTGCCTTTATTCTATTCACTAACTGACATTGCTAGCCATTGAAACATGGGGAAAGACATAGAGGTATGGTTTGGCATGAGAGTGTATGCCTCATAGCTATGCATTTACGGAATACAAAACAATAGTCATCTGGAGGGGATGAAGGGGAGAATGACTCCCAAAAGCCGAAGTGGGGAGTACCGTAGGTTTTGTTCTTGGTCTCAGCAACCAACAAAAAACTATAACCTCACCGCTGCCATACTCTCACAACTTCACTATTATCTTCTCACACTCCCTCGCTTTCCTACATTACAGGAAGGGCCGTCTCATTTGATGTTGACGGGCACAAAACTCAGATCCGAACACTTATTACCATTTCACAAGAAGCAATGTTAGCCCCAATTTTCTCAATCATGCATACAATGAAACCAAATTAGATTTGTTCAAGATGTAAGACATGCTGACATGCTTCTTTGGGAGTAACTATTGCACTGCGGCGATATCATAAACATTGAGAATGTTTGGCTGGGTCTGAACTCGAAGATTAGTAGTTCGCCAAATTCACAACCGAATGTGGAGTACCGTAGACATAATTTGGAAAGGCCCAGCAAAACACCCATCAAAAAAGCCCAATTAGGCATGCACACTTTTTGACCATACTGGTATCGCGTCGGATTCCATTGAGCTGAGGGTATTTGCCAGCAGCCCCTGAAAGCGACAGCCCGACGCTGAAGCCCAAAATTGGTTCAGGGGCGGGCCGCTTAACTGGTTATGGTTAGGTTAGCCGAGAGCACTCAACTCTAATCCGACCGCAACCCGACAAGGGCCCCTGATGCGGCTCAAGCAGCGGCGCATTGACGCTCATCAGCGCGAGCTAATCAACATGCGTTTGCAGTTAAATGAGAATCCTCCTATTAGCCACTTGATAAATGCTCTGTAGAGCGCCCCGATGAAGTATAGTGGCGCTTCTCTCTCTACGGATCGGTAATAGGTGACTCTCTCCTCAAGGATGATTCGGTTTCTTCTGGTGGATGTGTGGGGCAACTATCCAGTGTGGTAGCCGGATGCCAAGGATGGTGGGCTAGTGATGTGGCCTTGCATCGTCGTGCCTCCTCAGAAATTGTTCATCAACTAATTATCCACCACTTGTCGTTGGACGACAGCTTACCACATGGGCGTGCGGAGCTTGGAATGTTGTCGATCTATGGATTCTTCTATATTTTGTTTGTGTGTACTTATACCCTCTGTTGCATGAACCTACTACCTTTTTGTAATAGTATAGTACCGTAGCTAGGCATCCCATCTTCCGCAAAAATGAATCCATTCTCTACACTTCTTTGAGCCTCATCGCTTCAATCCTGCCCTCTATTTCTATAGAGGATCTTGCATTTTTATTGTGAATTGGTGGCATTCTGACACATTGAAGTGGATGGTTGAGGAAGTTGAAAAAATATCTTTCGCTCGCTTGCGGATTTCGCTCGCTTGTGGATTACATTAGCCGAGATTTCCCTTTAGGTAGCTTAGTGAATGACAAGCATACGAGTCCTCCATCAATGGCACCGAGGGCTCGGCCCGAGAGGAATAGGGGTTCAACCCCCTACAGTGAGAGACAATGCCTAAGAAAATGCGCACAAGAGGAAATTCAGGAACAGTTTTTTGCCACTATTGATACAATTGAGATAGAATGTCAGCTCCTAGGATTATCTGTTGTCTCAAGATAGAAGATGCTGGTGAAGTTTGGTTTACCTTTGTTGAGCGGGCCTGCCTTGCACAGTGTCTCTTTTGATCTCTTGGTAGCTGTGTGGATGAGAAACACAACCCTCACAGTCATCAGGTGCAAGCCATCTGTGATTGGGCTGCCCTCTGCCACCTTCAGGGGATTCCATATAAGAAAAATGCCCTGGCTTGTGGACCAATAACCTCAAAAGAGAAGTCTCTGACCTGATGAATGCTGATATGTTTCCTCTTATCCGTCCAGCCACCCAGTGTCTCTTCTGCCTTGGAAATGACCAATTGGCATATAATGCCAGGACCTATTCCTTCTCACGCCAGGAGCACCTCCAAAGACATATGCACGATTGCCATCTTTGTTATTTAGCTTCAGATGCTGGTTTTCTATGCCCTCATCCATCTTGTGTGGAGGGTATGCAGGGCACCATGCATTTCAAGAGCCACGCTGCTTCAGTACACAAGATCTATCTTTGACCAGCATCTTGTGGGAGGACTTCAGACCAGCACTCCCTGTTACTTGCACACTCTATCTCACCAACAACTGATCGATAGAACACCCCTAGGATGAAGGCGTGTTTAAGCCCATGCTTGGGCACAAAACATGTTTTCCATTTGTCTCTACTTCATGCTACTAGTCAAGCCGGATTCATTTTTATTGCTGTGGCTTACATCAGATATGGGAATCCTCCTATGTGAGATATTCCTGTATAAGATCCCTTGTCACGATGGCAATTCTACTCGCTAAGAAAGCAAATAAAATCCATTAAGTTAATATATGAAGCTGAGAAAAGAAAGGAAAAAGAGAAATGTGAACAAGAGCTGAGGTGTGACATAAGAAGACAAGTGATGGGGAGTCGCGGCCTCGAACCAGCATTCTTTGTCAGGATATTCTCAATATCAAAAGCGAGCAACGAATTAGAGAGCGCCAGATGCAGAGGAAGATGCGGCTGGGACCCTCGTGTGGGCACAGAGCACCACGGTCCCATGCCGTGGTTATCCAGTTGGTGGCTTCACGGCTGTTTGTTCAGGACAGTAGCAAAAGCTAAGAATGGCATCCGATATGGGATCACTTCCACCTTCCTCTTCTCGAGAAAGGTAAAAGGCCCAGACTCCCTGCTATTCAAACACATACCCATTCACAGCCACAATAACCGGCTTCCCCTCCGTTCACTCAACCCCACAAACCCACTTGGCGGCGTCCCGTCAAGGACGGCTGCCCAGACGGACTCTGTTGGCTCGAATTGAACAACCACAGCACCAACCTTTCTCCCTTGTTCGACTTCAAAATGCGTGAGTTCTGGAGTAAATATAGCCTCCCTCCAATCCCAATTTACTGTAACACGTTCACGATTTTTTCTCCATGCAAAGACTTGCGCGTCATCAACCTTGATGAGCGGTATGGTTACGACGTGCCTTAAGCCTCCGGCTTTCCATATATCTCTGAAGACACCACTGTCCTGGCGCAGAACAGGCGCTTCCTGTAAACCCCGTTCCTATATGCGCGGAGTTAGAACCCTTTCCATTTCCCAGTCATGCGGCCCCCACGCACTGTTTGGGTAAATATTTTGGGCATCTTTTACAAGTTGATCACATTCGGGGGGGAGATCGAAGTGAAATGCCGAGTTACGGATTTCCAATGATCCCTGCCAGTCCCCAAGCGTTGTCATATTAAATCGATACGGTGCTGATTGGTCAGTGTTGGTTGAAGTGCATATACTTCGTATGCGCTCAGGAGACAAAAGGACTCTGGAAAAGCGCGCTTGTGTGATAGGTAGCTTTAACCGCTGCGATTCCCTGTTCCGTAATGTGATGCCCCGAGCTTGAACAACGCCAACAAAATTGAATGGAAGAAAGAGGCTCAGGACCGCTCGTGGACTGTTCCCTCCTCAAGAAGTCCAGAATCAGAAGCTTGTAGTATAAAGTCAGTCAACATGCGCTTTCCACAGTCCAATTTTCAATCTCCAGAAACCTCTTCGACTCCACAGACACCCACTACTCAATCTATATATACTCCTTCATCGTTTCCCCCAAGCACGCGCCCACACTATGACGTACCTTTCGTTGCCTATAATGGCCGCCAACGCCAATGTCATGTCAACTAAGCTTATCGCTATTCTTACTCTAGGCACACGCTCAGTGAAGGTGGGATATGTTGATCAAACCGATGTCTGGAAAATGATTGCTCTCAGCACAGCAATCCAACAGAAATTTAAGGAAGTCACGGAAAAGAATCTGTCCACGCTCGAAGAGGATACTGATATGGTTGCTCTCCAGTAAGTTTCCTAAAAAAAAAAGGTGTTATTTCAGTGCTGATGTCCAGTTATGTAGAGAGACCCCGCATCCGAGCGAGTCTGACGATCGCACGCATCTTACCGCCGTTGAAATCAATGGCCAGGGCAACGTCAGTGCGAAGCGACACTTCTCCGTCGATTAACAAAGGTTCGCAAGAGCCACCCAACTTGCATTGGGCGCGTACGGATGATGGTCTGGGGAGGGAGCTGGCGGCTAACTTGGCGGGAGGATGGAACTATCATGCACGAAAACAATTAGTTATCAGTAGATGTCAGATCCAGGCTTGGTCCTGAAATAATTCCCTTTGGTGATTTATAATATCGACCATATTCTTAGTGTTAAATAACAGGGAGTATCCCTGATGATAATAACCAGTCAGATTTCTAACTAGCTTGGCTGAACCAGCGGTGCTGAAGGGCCCCTCTCGCGGTAATCCTCCTTGTCGGGTCCAGGTTTGTCATCTTCCCTACCAGGTCCCTAAGATTTGGGTCCACATAATCCCAAGTCTGGAAAGGCTGTCTGAGATTCCCTGGAGTAAAACTGCTGGCAAGGGCTACCAAGCGTTCGTAGAAGATGTTTTCTTTTCCTATATGTTGAAGAAACCCATTGAAGCTGTCTTCATCTGCAAAGTAGGATATGTGTCGGCGGAGCACATAGCGCCATGAGTCCTCAGCCTGCAGCTGGTTGTCACTGACGCGAAAGACCATCTCATTGACCATAACATAGACCATCTGCAGATAGTATTGGTAATCTGGAACAACAAGGTTGGTGGGAAGAACAGCCATACCACAATTCCAAAAGAGAAGACATCTGAGGCCTGATTCTGGCGGGATCGGCACCAGCTTTCAGGACTTCTCCAGATCGCATTGCCACAGAGGGGACCTCTCAGCCACTTCCCAGGTGGCACAATGACTGTATCCTCAAGGTCCGAGATCTGAACGTTTTTGATGCTCACATGGCCCTCAGCACTTTCATCATAGTCCACGAGGATATTGTTTGGTTTGATGTCTATTAACAGTCAGTATGGCGGCGCGGGCAGTCTTCTGGAGCGCTCAAACTTCCCATTATGGAGAATATCTCTATCATGCATATCAGCAAGGCCATGCAAAGCCCTTCGGAGAATGTTACTCCTTGTCTTTGTGGATAGAGGTTTCTGGCTCAAACGAAGCAAGTCCCCAGCCAGAAATGGGAAGATGAACAACTCGGACGCTTTGATAGTATCGACTACCGATCGCACGTTTGGACAAGAAGACAGTTGCTTCTGCAAATCCAGCTGGTACTCAAACTCGCCCGGAATCATATTCTTCACAATGTAGTTTTTTCCCTCAGCACTCCCCGCCAGCTCTGCGGTTAGCAACAAGACACAACCAAGGATATCCCAGTTCAATATAGCCTACCTTGCACGATATACACATAGCAGGGGGTTTTCCGGTCGGCCAGAATATTTTCAATCTTGTAAGTCCGCCCGGAATCACTCTTGAGCATCATTCCCGGGGTGAAAGGCTCATTGCTAGCCTGCGAGCTACTAGACATCCTGTACCACTGGGAGATTTTTCCTCCAAAACTGGGGATTCGGGTCAATGACGGTAAACTTCTGCCTAAAAACAATGGGCAGATCGGCAGGTAACCGGAGAAGCCAAGGACGAATGTTGAGCGGGACAGCATCAGCGAGATGGATCGCGATTTGCTCTTCATCGAATTGCAAGAGGATAACTACGGACAAAAGTGCTTTTTCGTTCCAAGAGGCTCAGGATCACATGATTGCGTCGCGGGGGGATTTTTTTCGGGCTCAGCGGCACCAGAGTCAAAAAGAGAGGTCCCAATCCCCCCTCCTCCAAAGGCGCCTCTTCTTCCGTCCTCCCTTGTCAACCGACGCTGTACTTCAACGGCAATATAACCCGCTTCTCGACAAACATTTTAGATTGTTGTTTAAGCCCGAAGAGGGGGATTGGCCTGAACATCGCCTGTTACCCCGTAGGTGGTGGGTGTCGGATAATTTCTTGAGTAATAAGGATTTAAGATCCGCAAACTTGCCCATCTCGAACGTGAAGGACAACAAGAGACGGCACAAGGCTTTTATCTACGAGAAGGCTAGCTGGCGGCGTATGCTCGTATGCCAACCTCCGATACCGACAATTGCCATATTCCAGGAATCTGAAGGGCACTGGCATCACTTCCGCCATCAAACCCGGCAAGGCATCATCGCAAAACCCGATGGCCTGCGGATGGGCGTTTTGTGGGATACGGTTTATTCTATTCTGTAGGAATCCAAGGCCGGGTTCGCGAATTATGTCTGGGTTTCGTACAGGCTAAACAGTGGAATTGGATGGTGGTCGGTCCCGTTGCTGCGAGACATCGACCCCGCGGTTGAAACAGATCTTGTGATTGCAGAAGTCGGGAATGAAATGAGTGCAGGGTGTTCGCATAATAGTCACACGCGGGACGGGCGCTGTCGTGACGATCGGTTAAGATATCTGAAACGCAGGAAACGGACGAGCACGTCTTGGATGTTCCGCAGTGAGGCTTACGATAGGAAGTCGGTATTGAGAGCTTGAAGTCGTAGGGCTTTGATACGATGTCCAATCTACGCCACAGCATGTGCCTGTTTAAGCGTACGGAACACGAGGATCTCTTGCGTTCTTCCACAGGAAATCTCTCGAATAGGCCTGGTTCAATATTACCTGAGCCATATGCCTTTGCTCTCAATGCCTCCTCGCCTGTTAGGAGATCTCTTGATTATATATCTCCTCCCTCGCCTAAACTAATGACTTTGGGGAAACTTGAAGTACGCTTCCTACGTATAACTTGTCTGTCTGGACTCTTGGAACCACGCTGATATCCCATTTGTCCCTTCGCATAGATGGCACTTGCTTTTACATCCATCTGCAGGAGGACTTTACCATGTGGTTTGCCTCCGGTATATTTGGGACGATATTGAATATCCAATTTTCTACGTTTCCCAACCCAACCTCATTTACCACGATTCTTAAACATTCAACACAAGATTACAATGGCATACTCAGCAAACAGTCAGCATCAGGCACTGGGCAGTGGGCAAAAAAAAGAGAAGAAACAAATAAAAAACATACAACAGCTGGGATTCGCTGGTGGTCACCCACCCAACTACTAGCCAGCCGGCGAGTGGTTTAAATACGGCTGAGCGGACGGGAAGCCCTGTTCTCCACTCCCTATGGTCGTATGTGCTTATGTGTGGCAGAAGGAATGGTATATAAATGGACACAAATGCGCGCATTTTCACCCGTTGAAAGTGGACAATGTCACACACCTGTATGTATCCAGGGGACGACGAAGGAACTTGGTTATCCGGGAGAAGATGCAGAGTTCTGTCGAGATAATGAAGCGGTTTATTACAGAAGGACATATATTGTTGTCGTACATGCATAAGCCTTTGGATAAAGCTGTGATGGCTGCAGAACCACTCCCGGCCTATTTTCGACGGCATCCCATTTCATCGTTAACATGAATGGAGTAAGCTACTGATAGTAGCAGCTAATCATCCTCCTCATGATCCTGAAATGGCCAACCACTCTCAACACAAGCAAGGTCCTCTTCATCTTCGGCCTCATCAATCCACTGTTTCCTCAGCTGTTGATTAGCCTCAACAACTTTCTCGAATGAATCATTCCTAACCCATCCATCCTGACCAACATCATCCAGCAGCGACCGCCAGTATTCCACAAGCATATTGAATTTGAACCACTTTTCCTCAAGATCATAGAATTCCTCTTCATCTTTGGTGTCAAACTGGATGGGGCAGGGATGTCTCTGCGTTCGAGTCGACATCAGGACAGGCCAGTGATTGATTACTCTGATAAGAGCGCCCTTGAGCGTCACGATGTTCCCAGTCCAAGGACGCCCTGCCCGATCCACGAGGTGTTGAATAAGCATCATTCCTGGATATCGCATGGCGTTAAGGTGTGGCTTGTTGTCCTTTCCATTGAAGATCATGTACAGATAGAAGAGCATTCGCCTTCGATGAAGTTCGTCAGCTTGGGATTTCGCTTCAGCGTCGAGAGACTCGTAGTCTTCCGGAAGCAAGGGCTTGGAGTAATCCTTCGGTGGCTCTGGGTCCGGGTTTTCGAACGCTGGTGGGTTTCCAGCCGCCATCAACAGAGGAAGGATGGTCGTGTGTTGCCAATCCAGGATACATGATACGTCGCATGTTCCGGTCACATAGATGTTGGTCGGATTCAAATCTAATTTTACATTAGTTCAGGAGCCTTACGCTATAAAGTTGTATTTTTTCTGAAGCTGAACTTGGATACCGACCCGGATGACGCAATATAGGGCGATTCACGACGTGTGCACCATCTTCTGGCAAGAGGTATTGGGAGATGGTCAAATACTTGTTGAGCAAATCGACATACTTGTTTGGGGGAATTTCCCCTTTCAAGACAGTGTTGTGAGGAAATTCGTTGATTTTCGGTTTTCCAAATTTCATCGTCAAGTCTCTTTCCTTCAAACCGGTGGAGCGAAGGTAGTCGCGATGATCCTTCCCTGTAAGGTATACCTAGTTAACCAACAATACGTAACAGCAGCGTCAGGTTTGATGGAGAGAATATCTCACAAGGGCCCCGGCTTATCTCAAGCTGTGCTCGTTTTCCGCGCCAATACATATAATCTGCCGTGGGACCAATGCAAAATCGGCTAGCATCACCATCGTTGTCCTCAGTGCCTGGTGCATAAAGATCTGCCTGTTGTTCCCGAGGCAAAGCTCTCTTGTAGTAGATGCTGCCGTAACAGCTAAAAGGAATGGAAAATAGCTTCCGTTCAATATCCACGTAACTTGTTACCAGGTGGGTTTGTTCCTTGGTTGTAAGGTTGAACCAGCGTGCTTCCAAAGGCTGACCAGCGGCCTTCTCCATAATAATATATTCGCTCCCGACTTCGTTATTTGTTTCAGAGGAATAAGCGTAAACTCTGGGCACAGGTATCCCTTTCGAACGTAGAAAGTCTAGTGTTGCAACTTCACTCTCCGTTGCAAGTTTCTTCGGCTCTGCAATAGAGTACGGGATCTTGACGATGACCTCAAGACCATCGTTCATGGTCAACAGTAAGACTCTGTTGAAGCCGCCTTCTGCAAGTTTCCGCATATGCGCAACGCTTTCCCGGTTAACGCTCTGAGCCGCAACCTTCTGAAGCGCGTCAATGTTGAACTCAACATATCGTTCAGCCATTCGACGTTTCTCATTGTAAAGATAGCGACCGGAAGTATAGGCAAACATTTCTCGATTGTGGAACGGAGGACTTCGGCTCTTTTCACTCATCGTGGAGTGCAGTTTAACAAAGGAATGGTTCATGGAGGCCGTTCGACCAGGGAGCCGTGCCATGCTGCGCAATGCCGGGTTTGTTTTCGCGAACTGCGCAAGGGAAAAGAGTGGTAGGCGACGTCGGGGGTGAAGAGAACGAAGCATCGCTGGTCCAAGCCTCGCCAGCATTTTGAGCACTGATTTCAAATCAGGCGCATCTTCAAATATCAGACTCCTCAGCGCCAAAACCTGCACCGCCAAAAGTTGATGTTTTCATTGCCGCCGGGAAGCCCTGTTGCAAGCTTTGAACTCGCTCATCACAGCGTTGACCAGCGTGACGAGCACGTGATCCACTGAGGCGCTGGGAGCCTGCACCAAAACACCCACCAGCTCCATTTGACAACGGCACATTGATGCATGCAATTCCTCCACAAACCTTGAAGCCTTAAAACGCCGGCGCTTAATGCTACCATGCCGGATATAATTGGCCTGAAAACTATGGAGTCTTCTCAGAATGTTCCATGTCTCGCCGAATCGCTGGATTCGCAGGTCAAGAACTTACAAGCGCCCACAATAGCCAGGTCAGAATGCACTACCCCAGCGGTAATGGGTTGATTTGGCATCGGTATTTGGAGATAATTTTTAACAGACTTCTCTTCTGCATGACAAATGCTTTTTCCCTTGTGGATTGGCGTGGATGGTTGGAGAACAGCCTGCTTAGAGTCCCGATTCAGCGCGAAGCAAAACGCCCATCGCATCGTCCTGGGATTGGGGTCATCCAACCGCTGATGTGGCCTATCAGATTAGGATTTTGATGGCGCATTTATTCGCGCTCGCTCAGGTTTTGCCCATCTTATTGTCTTTCTAATTTTGGGCCATTCAATGCATTTCGACTGGCAACTGACGGCCTATCGATGGTACAGCAGTCCGTCCTTCTCTGACAAACCCTTCTTCTATCACCCCCTGAACTTGGGAGCGAGTCATTCGAAGGGTGTAGCATTATGATCGAACTGGCAATTTTTAAATGGCGTCAAAATCCCAATTTACTTCTCAGATTATTCAACAGTTAGAGGTTTATCCATCCACGCTCTATTCCTTATACTCCATTGTATCTCTTTCCCCCGATATATATCTATCTACCCACGTAGCACTTATCCTAGGAGACCCGAGCCATGGGAAATTTTACGAAGAAACTCCTCTGGACTGTCGAAGTCGTCATCTCTAGACCCGCTGATCTCCGAAAGTTCTTCAAACCCACCGTTGCTAGAGGCAAGACCGTTTGGCCCAAGAACCCCGCCGATCTCCTTCGTTACGGTGTCAGATGGGACTACGACGGCATCAACAAGCATAATGGTGTCGATTGCCATCGCTACCAGCTCCAGCCAAACGCTGGCAAAATCCCGAGCACGATCAAAGAGTGGCGTGATAAGAATGGCGGTACCCATGCTGTGATTACGGTGATGCATATCCCGGTTGACACCGAACCCGACACTGAAATCTTCGAGTCTTCAGCAAAAGAAGCCCTCGACAATATGAAATAAAGCATCACAGAGATTTGACGTCGGTTAGCCGTTCATTACAATTTTATCTGGTTACGCTGGAACATACGGTCACTGGTATTCAGTTCCATTGCTGGATATTTTGACCGTTGAGGACTGGCTCTCAAGCTTGCAATATGGCTGTGGTTTACCTTCGATACTCTTAGGTGGCTTTGGGTGCATGGCAGGGACATTCGTTGGGGAATATTGGAAAGGCGGAGAGGAGTCGGCAAGTTCCAGGGGAAACACACGTTAAGAATTTATACAACTTCATTTCAGACTCGAAATTATAGTGCCCTTCCTTTGAGACCCTTCTGAGCCCCTTATTATGTCAAGACTACTTTGGTCTCCCTGATGCGAAGCAGAGACGTAAACTAAGCTACTGCGAGTAGCGTTCCCGTCCGGTGCATAAATGACGCGGGACGTATTTTGTCATTTCGAGTAGAGTACTTATGTAGGAAGAAGCTGGTGATACCTTCAACGTTTGACGACGCTCCTTCCCGATTGGGAAAAGCCACATGCGGCTTGAAAGCGAAATTCAACGTCGTCTCATCAAGAGAAACAAATCAACGGAAACATACAAAGATCGCCAGTCTCAGAGCGTCTTATTCCCTCGCACCATGGCTACAGGTATGCGTTGCTTATCAACCCAGCAGCAGAGACGCGGCCGCCTCGAGGGGTTCGCGATCGCCTGCGACTCTTGCCCATGGTTAAATCCAATGGGTTGGCTGGTTCTATCTGAGACGATGAGTTAACCAATGCAATCTGCGAAATATCCCTACCTCTTCTTTCTCCAGAGTCCGTGTGTTTGACGTTGGGGCGCCCTCTCGTTATGGTGAGAGTCACGCCATCAAGTCGGTTTTTCAATAAAGGTTAGTCTGGAGTTTGGATACCAGGACGCCTGATCCATCAGTATTGGGTCACATTGAGGGCAATACGCTGCTCTCCAAAGATCGGGCGATGAAGGGCCATGTCCTGCGCAAGTCTTCGAGTTCAGCAGCAATCCGCCGGCCAACCCGGTGCACTTCTCGAAACACGGTATCAGGCTCAGGATGACTAGGCAGCATCAATGTGGAAAAGAATAGTTGGCAGCAAGGAAGGCTCAGAAACTCCTCTTTGTACCTTGATGAACTTGAGAGCTCTGTCCATGGTGATGTCTCTAACCTGTGGCTTCTTTGGCTGGCCTGTCTACAAGCTCCTATCATATGAAAACACAGCATTGTTTGAGTGGTCAACTACTTTTCCTGTATTGATATAGTCATTCTGAAATTATAGCCTCTTTAATTTATAACAAGTTTTGAGATATTCAGGTTCCTTTCACAGCTCATTCAAAATAGTTTAAAGATTGCCTTGGAGAATATTGTAATCTATTGCTTCAAAGAACAAAAAGTGGCTGCCTCAGGGAATATTGAAAAGTCCAGTTTTTAGTGAAGAAATGTGGCGCCACTGGGGTGACAGGCTGTCATGGGGGAAGAGCAAAATTTGTTGCTGTGAGTGAAGAAGGCAGCTCTCCCTGAGGCAAAGGTTTACATAGCAAAATCTATGGCCATTGAATGAAGAAAGGTGGTTATCCATGGGGCGAAATGTTGCCTTGCAGAATGAGGCTTGCCGCAGTCCAAAAAAAAGCCCTGATCTTGTTGATGCCTCAAGGTTCAGAAATGCTCTGAGGAAAGTTGGTCTTTTGTTCTGAAATCATGGCCTGCCTCAGTTCATTCAGATTTCTGCAGCAAAAAAAGCCCTGGAGAAAAGCACTACATGGAAACATGTGGCTTGTCTCAGTGCATTGTCTGCCCTGTGGAATCAGCAAAGTGTGGCTTTCAACTGGAAATTTTGTGGTCTGTCTCAGTAGAATTGTATGACCTGAGGAAGTTGTGGGTTCAGCCAGGATAAATTGTTCTAGAACCTAAGTACACCCTAAGGAGCTTAGAAAGTCATGGCTCATGTGTGAAATAGGTGGTTTGCCCTGGGGAGTCCAGTGAATCCTTAAAATCCATAGTTTGCCTTGGGGAGCCTGGAAATTCATGGCTTTTGTGTGAAGTACGGAGTACTCTGTACGGGCACATCGCATGAACTGATGGAGAGCGGATTATGCCCCATCACTGAACTCCCAGAAACGATCTATGATTTGACAAGACGATAAGCAAGCTTTGAAGAAGTCGCATCTTTACGAAGTACTCCGTAGAGGGATCTGAATTCCACACTTCCGGCCTCTCAAGCTTTCCGTAGAGTTATTCGTTCGCAAGGGAAAGTCGAACCAAACTCATCCATATTTAAATCCCAGGGGCAGCGCTGAGGACCGAACATATTATCCTGACATTTGCTTCCCGTTTGCATGGAGGGATCGACATGTCTTAAAGTCCACCCGGTGAAAGCTCTGTTCGTACAGGACTTTGGAGATCGGCGTGGTTAATGCCCGACAGCGCGACACCCCAGCCGCCAAGCTTGAGCCGCAAAAGCAATCATACATGGCCACCGTGAGAAGTCGAATTGGTGGAGGGAAAGAATACGAGCAACTCTCCCCAGTCATGACCCTCAATTTACCGAACGGGAAGATTTTCAATGTCAGCAAAGGTGCCCTCGACAGCAAAGAATTGCCGAATGCTACTCCGGACTCCGTACTCGGTTCGCAGAAAAGGAACACATGCAGGATAATGCCTGTTTGATGGCCAGCTGTACTGCTGTTGTGCCTTCAAAAAAGAAATCCATCTAAATTTGATGCCGCTGAATGATCGCGGATGCCAAGCGACCTGCCTTCAAGGCCGCCAAGCGACAACTGTTATGCCTACGCTATACTTATATAACTAGTTTGACGAGGCTCTTCTGGGCGTATACGAGTTTCAAAGTTTTAGCGTCTCCGACCCGCAGCACATCAAAGGCTGAAAGATGGCGACTGGCAAGAAATGAAATTGGAAAACAACAGTGTCAGCTCGGAATGGCATGGTTTACGGCGGCCGGACTGAGGCTCGAATGCGAGCCATGGGATATAAAAGAGACCGAATATCTAGATTGAAAGGTTCGAGTGGAAAGTGCACCGGTTTTGTCAAACTTGTCCTCGACAACCATTCGTTCCTTTATATTTTCCTTCTGAAGACATTCGCTCGTTTTGACATATTTTTTGTTTCTCGTCAAAGGGATATCAGGTCAGTATTGGAGAGTCCTATGGCTTGAGGATGGGTCGTCCCCTCTATGACGATATAATACTAACCGAGTTGTACAGCATTCCATTCACCCTGTTTCGAAACAATGATGTTTCTTAAGTCCGTTCTCGCCCTAGCGGTCGCTTCAGTCGCGACTGTCCAGGCGGCCCCGGTGAACGAGGAACGTGCAGCTCCTTCTCCTGTCCCTTCCCCGCTCTCTGCTGTCCCAGCCTGGCAGGCTCGTCATGGCCTTACCTCTAAAAAGTATCAGAGCACTTTCGACGACCTCCTTTCTCAAGGCTATCGCCTTACCTATGCCAGCGGATACACCGACAACGACAGTCCTCGATATGCGGGTATCTGGAAGAAGGTATCCACCACTGCATGGCAAGCAACCCATGGCCAGAGCGGCGCTCAATTCGATAAAACCTTCTATAAGCTTCGGGACCAAGGCTATCACCCCGTTGTTTTGAACGGCTACACTGTCAATGGAGATGACAAATATGTATCTATTTGGGATAAATCTAAGACTGGACCATGGGAAGCACGGCGTGAAATGAGCCAGGCGGGCCTCCAAAAGGTCTTCAATGAGTTGAAGAGTAAGGGTTACCGTATGGTTCATGTTAGCGGATATGCTGTTGGCAAAGAGGCTCGATTTGCTGGTATTTGGGAAAAACGGGAATCTGTCGCATGGGAAGTTCGCATTGGACTCACTAGCTCGCAATACCAAACCAAGACGGAGGAAATGAAGGCGAAGGGATTCCGACCTGTCCAGGTCAATGGTTATGCCGTCAACGGAAAAACCTATTATGCTGCTATCTGGGAGAAGGACAACAGTGTTGCCTGGCAGGCAAGACACGGCTTGACTTCCAAGAGATATCAGGAGGAGTTTGATAAGCTGAACAAGCAGGGATATACGCCCATCGTTGTCAGCGGCTATCCTTCCGGAGACGCGGTGAGATACGCAGCTATCTGGGAGAAGAAATGAGGGCTATAAAGACCAAGAGGGATGAAGATATTTAATTACTCTCCAACAACATTGATGAATGGCGGTATACGGCAGCAGGCTGTAAATATTTTCCAACCAAGCACTTTGTGCAAATATATTATTTTGGCAATTGCATCTGTTTGCTCTCTATTTTGTGTTATTGCGGAATACCCTGTAGACAATCGGCAAAATTCCCCTGTCTTGTAAGCTGCCACAGAAAATCAAGAAACTCTGGGAGAGCTACCACAGAGGCATGGGTATTTGTTAATCAATTTCTCTCCAATGCACCCTACCCCGTACAAAATAATAGCTTTGCTTTTCAAGAATCAACATTCGGTTTCCCAATCATTATTCAAAAAAAGGAAAAAAAAGAACTCTTCCGCAATACCTACCATTGGGACCCCATAACAAGCCGACATACTGTCCAGAATGGCCCGAAATCATGCCCACATTTCTTTGAACTTTTGGTTGAATTCCGTCTGCAATAACTTGAAGCTCTTTAGCACATTGAGAATTCTCTCGTCTTTCCCACCAATTGCAGACATGGAAACTTCATCCCGAGCTCGTCTCCAATCTTCTAGGTCATTCTCTTTCTTCTTGGATTTTGATTCCACTAACTTAGAAGTCTCTTCCTCTTCTTCGTTTCCTTCCGCTTCGTCCTCCCAACTGTCAGCAACCGCCTTTCTACGAGGCACGGCGACAATAGCTGATGAAGCACTAGTTGTTGATGGCGCTTGTCCTGTCGGAAGATCCGTAGGGTTTGGCTTTCCCGTTGGTACGTTGCTGGCTTCATTCTGAATAGTTTCGACATCCAATTCTTCTTCATTTGCATCACCGGTGCCCATGACATCCAGCATATCGGCGTCCACCACTGGTGAGAGCTTGAGGAGGTTCTCAAAGCTAGTCACAATGGTAGCAAGGACCAGGGAGAAGTCGTTAAGCACAAACCATATATCGCCCTTGCGAATGCCGTTGTATTTCTCGAGGGCCTGATCATTCCCATGCTTGTAGAAATCGTACAGATACGCATTCAGTGGCAACTGGCCTTCTTCGTCGGGAAACACTCCCACATAAGGGACAACAGTCTTCTCCAACCAAACACCATTACGTACCGTTGTGCAAAGATCAGCAATGGTTTCCCAGTTATCTTCATGCCCGGATAAAGCGTAAAACGCGGAAATATAACGGACAGGCCGTGAAAAAGGAGTCTTTAGCGATTCAAGGGACCGGTCCCCCCCGCATTTCATCCCAGTGAGAGGAAGATTGCAATCTGTCTCTGAAATGTGCTGATCAACAAAGGTTTTGACATACGAGCTATAGATTGAGAGAGTCTCTTGGTTGCTTTGCTTCAGAATCTTGGCTGCCTCTGGTGGTAAATGGGGAAGGACAACCAGCGATGTAGACTTTTTGGATGCCATCTTGAGATTTTCCAAGATTGATGGCCGAATCCATCGACGCCCAAAAAGATGTGACATAACGAGCATCATATTAAGGAGAATTACTTTGGGCCTGCGATTAACATCTTCGCATAAGCGATGGAAATAGCCTCCTTTCAACAATGCATGGAAAGCAAAGCTAGCATTCTCGACGAAATAGAGATGGGACACACAGCCTGCAAAGTTTAGAGGGACACCAGTGGGGCCAAGAAGGTGGCTACGACGTAGGTATTCAATAGAGAATCGCAAGTGGTGCAAAACAGAATGTTTTGCCTCTCCTCCGCCGAGATAGATGCGTGCAGATGACAAAACTGAGTTGATCATCTTCACTGCATTAGGTGCTAGCTTTGATTCATGTAACAACGCAAAAAGGCGAAGAACCAGGCTTGTTGTGATCGGGAAATGCCCATTAAGATCTGGAAGTTTAGAGCTGAGCAAGTGACAGACCTTTGAGTAGGGTAGGCCTTGGAAGACAACATTTCCGAGCATGTCAAAGCCGCGACGACCGGCACGACCGGCAGCCTGACGGAAGTTAAGCGCAGTGAGAAAAACAGAGTCACCTGAAAAAACAACAGTTTTGCATGGCATGTTGATACCGAGAGCGAGAGTTCCAGTGGCTATCACCACGCGCAGGTATCCCTTACGGAAAAGCATCTCACAAACCTGACGATATTTACGGTTCATACCCGCGTGATGAACACCAATACCACGGCGTAAAGCTTTGATTAGCCACTCATCAGATCGTCCTCTCAATCTGAAAGCATACTCATCAAATTCTGAGGGTGTGAGCTTCTTAAGATCCGCAAAATGGAATCCATCCACTGGAGCTGTAGGGTCGAATAGCTCATAAGAGCTGGTCTCAGGGCTCAGTGTTTCTCGCATACGATCCTCTTGTGATATGCCATCGCCCTCATCTTTTCTTTTACCTTTCTTTTTCGCTTCTGCTGGGTTTTTCTTAGCTAACTTCTCCTCAGAACTTTTCCAAGCCTCCCAACCAGCAAGTTTATCTTTCCAGGCAGAACTCGAGTCTTTCCATTGTTTCTCAGCATTTTCGAGCTGCTCGAGGAGATGGCGGCACATGTCCTCACAACCACTTCGATCATAATTAAAAAAGAGTGCTGGAAGACCTCCTTGCTCATGCAGCGAGCACGCCAAAGGGAGAGTCGTGTTCAAGTAGTGGCGCGCAATAACCTTTCTTGGATTTTCTGATGTCGTGATCTTTCCAGACGAGATTTGAACCTCCGGCCGGCTTGCAGCACGCACGGAATGTTCTAGATCCCCTAGAACCATTTCAAATGGCGATTTTGGATCCTCAATCCAAGTCTTCAGCAGGGCCTTTAGTTTTGCTTCCCAGTGGACAATGTCGACCTTGCGAATAACGTTAGGCAGAGCGACCGCGGGGTCAAGATATTTTTCAACTGGAAAATCTTGACTTTGATATTTCATCATAGCCCTCCATAACATCCAGCAATCGCGAGCTTCAAGAGTTAGGTCGTCCGGCATTCCTCTCAAACGATCCACTACCAGAGATGCTACTGGGTGCATAAACGCCATCCCAGCCGCATTGTCAAGGCCAGGGGGGGCAAATGGAACAGAGGCTGGAAGGCCATTAAAAAGAAACCTCTTGGGTGGTTTGTACACATATTTTCGAAGATCAGAGTAACGGTGGCTGTGCTCGATCATTGTGAGATCGATGCCGTTCGCCTTTTGGGTCATTTGGAGCCATTTACAAAACTTTTGTGGGTTTCCAATTGTGGCTGAAAGCGCTATAATGGGACAAGGGGCAAGAAGAAGGAGCTGTTCCCATACAACACCATCGTCAACTTGACCAATACAGTGTACTTCATCAAAAATGATTCTCTTCACTCGCGACGACCATGAGGTCGCATTCGCCGGTGAGAGGAGCATTATTTGCAGGATATGCGGGACTGTGACCAGAACCTGGCAACCTGTAGGGTTATTTATGCGGTAGTCGCGTGTGTGTATGCCCCATACAGACTTCCCACCGTGTTTGAACGATTTGGAGAATCGAGCCTGAATTTCTGCAGCAATTTGGTTGACAAGTGCTTTGGTTGGAGCAACGTATACCAAAACGCCGTCGTCATCATCTTCGAGGACCTTTTTCATAGCATAAAATCTAAGATGCGGTGTTAGCACTGCCAGCCAAAGATACGTAAATCATAATCTAGGAAAAGAAACAATAAAGGGAGGTAACTCACGAGATAAAGGTCTTTCCTGCGGAGGTGGGTGCAACCACAAATAAGCTCTTCTTCGCGTCAATCTCATCTAATACTTTACGTTGCCACTCATCTGGCTCGAAGTCGCGGACACGAGGATCGGGTGCCGAGCCCATATTCCTATCCAAAAATGGAGCAGCATGGAGCAGTTGAAACTCGGTAGGCGACAGCCCAATATCCAAGCTTCCCACTTTTCCCGAAGGAAAGACCGGAGAACTGACAGATGATTTTGATAATTTTCGCCCTGGATGAATGTCAAGCTCTGCTGGTAGTCCAAGGGCCTTAATGGTGTTGGTAAGGTATGAGGCAATCTCTAATGTGATAGCTTCCTTCATTTTCGCCATGCTACAAACCATATCCCAAATAAAGGCCGCGATATGGAGGAAACGACGCCGTTCACCAGCGACACATTTGGCTATCCATAACTCGACCAAGATGCTAAGCAGGTAGATCGAAACTTCAGCTTGGATGATTGCCCGCTTGTGACTTGGACGAGTAGCAAGATACTGCTTCGCCTTAAGAAAGCGTGTTGCGGGTTGAGTCTCTTTGTCGAATATGGCCTTCATGGCTATCCATATTTGAATTTGCTTTTCAACCATTTCGCTGCGCTTTTTCTCATTTGCGGCTGCAGCAACATCCTTTACAGAAGGTTTATTTTTAGCGCTAGATTTCGTGGAGCCTTTTTTCTCCTTAAATTTAGGAGGCGGATGCTCTATAGCCTTCGATGAACTTGATGGCTTTGGCTTCGTATCCTTCCCGGAGCGCACAAATACCGTCTCCGGCTCAAGCAATCCGCCTGTGGCGTTGGTTAAGCTGGCTGCATAATCCCTCATCTCAGCCATGAAGAACTGGTTACGTCGTTTTGCAAAAAAAGCCTGCTTCTCTGTCATTTTCATGGCGTTACTCTTGCCACCAACTGCATGATGGTGATTATGCCAGTGGCTGAGCTCTTTGAACACCCTAAAGGTCTCCTTCTTCATATTCGGGTCTTCTGATTTATCAAGTAATAGATGAACAGGAGCGAGATGGGTATTAAAGACAGGGTGGCTGAAGGGGAGAACCGGTTTGGTGCTCTTGTCTGTGGGAACAGTTTTGCCCTTTTCGAGTTCCTGTTTTGTCGCTTGATCCCCTATGGAAAGTTAGAGATTAGGAGAGGAACATAGGGTAAAGCTTGATTCACCTAGAGCTAATGGTTCGAGCTGTAAGCAAACACCGCAGAGGCGCTCCAGACAGGATGCGAGAGTGTCAAATTTTGAAATGACCGAAGGCTCAAAACTAGCACGGGTAGCATGTCTACCTAAGGAATGGAAGAAGAGCCGGCCATCGATCAAGTCTGCAAGGTCACAGCGTATAAAGTTATCTGTAACAACTTTTCTCCACGAATTGGACGTGAGGACCATGTGTGCAGCACCAACGAAGCTCTCAAAATAGTGACTTCCTGTGACTATGTCTGCAGGTTTGACTACACGATCAGTGAGACGGCACTCATGCATCAGAGCTGCATGCAAGATCAAAGCACATGAAGCTTTCGTCTCTCCAGCACTCAGGAGGCCGGATTTGAACATCAAACTCAGAGTCACAATGAGCACTAGTTCTCTTTGGCTTAGACCCGCACCTTGATAGCGGTCCACACTATCCAAAAGCTTTTGGATAATTTCTCTGTTTTCAGAGCTACCTAATTGTTCGAAGATTTCGGCTGGACTTGAGCGAGTAAGTTGTAGAAAAGGGATCTCTCTGGCGGAGTTAGGCTCCAAATCGGAGTCGCTATCTGCATCCTCGAAGCGGCTGTCAGAATGAAGCGTCTCACCAGCGAGCCTCCGAGATATTTTCTTGGCTACCAGAGAATTTCCTTCGATAATCATTGCCATAACCTGCATATTATTCTGTATTAGCTCTTGGACTTTTCTAACAGCGGGATTAGGTTCAGTGGACGACCTTCGTATCCCGACATTCTATACCATTGACCAGAGCTATATTATAACCCCGACCAACAAACCAATTTATCATATATCGAAATCCGAGAGCATGTATGGGCCCTTGAATCGAACTTTTGTCCGAGGCATCCTCATCGTCTATTTCTTCCGAACCATCTGCGTCTGGAGATTCAACTAGGGAAAGGATGCCCGTTTCGTCATCGAGTTCCTCCACGACATCATCGCCATCGTTGTCGTCATCTTGATTATCGTCAACAGAGCCGGAACTAGAACCATGCCCAGGCACCATCTTAGAAAAGGCACCGTCATGGCACATGATGAAATAAGTCGCCGAAGTAGTCAAGTAATTCAAGAAGTCAGTGGACCAATATGAATCGAACAGCTTGACCTTGATAGAAGGAACGGCTGTGCTAAGATTACCTTGCAAATGCTGCACTATAGCTTCCCGAGCTAGAAGACACTTGCAGTAGACATCTCGGGTAGCATTCGGAGGCACACAAAGCTGAGCATGCTCCTTAAAAAAGACAAGGTGAAAGTTACACTTTCGCTGGTGTAATCCCTGAAGGAACTTTTCTAGGATGTAGGTTGCGTGGAGCAGCTGGAACCCGGGGTTGAAGTCTAGCTGCTTGTCCGAAAATACGTGAAGGAGAAGCGAGTCGCCTTCGATTATGAAGAGTTCATCGCCCGCATAATCTCCTACGAGGTCAACGGTTCGAGACCATAGATTTGCGTACCTGGATTTTAGTTTAGAGTGCTAGTTGTCTCATCGTTAGGTTGAGTCCCTCACCAGGCTAAAAGTATGTGTCTCCTTCGCATGCTGAAATGCTAAGGCTCAGAGAGGGCTTTAACAAGATAACACCGTCACAACAGCAAGTTGAGAAGTGTAGCATGTAATGAAATAGCTATAGAATATCAGTATACATAATAGCTGTAGCAGTTAGGTAGGTCGGAAAAGCGAAAGGAAATAGTATAATGGACAAGCCATGATGTTTGTCCATTAGAACTATTTATTTTCCATTGTGTGCAGAACTCGCCAAAAAAAGAGTGCTGGAGACATATTTCCCTGGTAATAAATCTCAGAGAGAAAGATAAATTGATATAGATACCGAGTATTGAGTATATCAATGTATACTAAGAGCTATATACACTCTGCCTCTCAACAATAGTATTGCAATTGCCGTTCGAGGGGCATTTCTAGCGTCCAGACTGCGAGTCCAGGCGCAATCGGGTATATTGTACCAGGAGTATGGTGAAGGTCAGATTCGCAAAAATAAGAATGGTGAAGCAAAAGAAAGAAAGGCCGATGTAAGATTTCGTTGTCCTTGAAGCTTGGTGGTGACGTCTGATAAACACGCGGAACTTCGATGCCCCACGGGAGGGGTTGGATCCATCCATAGATCGTTGGGCCGGAACAAGCTTTCGCCGGCTGGCCGCCGCGTCGAAGTCGGGACCGGCAACCTTGGCCAATTCCACCGGGATGTTTTCGGTACGCTAGAAGGGGAACTCATGACATATCACAAGCAGGATTAAGGAGAAATTAAAAGTAGAGCGAAAGACCATCAAGAAATTTGCCTCCAAGTTCCATCTCAATGCCTTAGGCCACTCATCAGCTAGTTATTTATGGCCACTATGAACTAAGAACCAAATGCCTTATAGTGTGTGACAGTTAACCAGTTGTTACTGGGAGATTGTACTCTGTACGAAGCACACAATTTATTATCCAGTACTTGTGACTATCTGATTAGGTACAGGCCTCCACTTCTGGCTAACTAACTATCAGGATTACATGCCTGGTGGCTCCTCGGAAGATATCAACCAAAACAAACACCAAAGAATGAACTTCAGTTGAAGGAATGTACAGAGTACCTGCGAAAACAACTGAATGACAGACGATCTTCATATCAACGACAAATCCTGCTAGTAGTACGTCCGTGCCAGCATACTTCTTCGCGTGCAACACAAATAAATGCATTGTGAGGTCCGACCTTCAACGGCATCCAACCATTTATGGTTAACAGTTTGCAGTTTAAGGACACAATGAAACTCAAGTGTAATTTGTATTTTGGACACGCACTTGCTAATCAATGCTGTTATTTTCAAATCCTTGCCCTGGTGCTGAGGCACGTGGCTGCAAGTCACAACCTTCACTGTACTTCTTGTGGCGTTAAGCGAATGCTATGTGGCACTTGTATGCACTAGTCCTATTTGTTGTTCGCGAACCGTTAACTAGCCCATGCTAAACAGCCCACATCTTTGAGCCGGAGTTTCGGCGTGGGGCGATACGATTGAGCGGCGACTTCAAGCCGAAGCATGGCCGTCAATACTGTAGTTACTCAAATGAAAATTTGTCGATAAGCAATCAGTCAAGTTATTACCACCATATCCGATCCGCAAACATACTGGCGGGAAACAAGAAAAGCATGTCGGGCCTGCCGAGTATTCGCCACGCAACGAAACAAGGTACGGGAGTTAGCCGTTATGCCGAGCGGTTATCCCGCTCTCAGCAACTCCGCTCGCATCCTTCTCATTCCCTGGCGAAAAGATTGGCCCTTGTTTGATTGACTAACTGCAGCATAAACAAAGTACAGATGTTCCCACCATCCTAGCATTCATCAAAGCAGGCGCCTCGGACACCAACTCTCTGGACCTCGTCAAGGCCACGGAATCCACCCTCGAGCAGACACTCATCTTCGAAGGACCGTCGGACCAAGCGGCCTCACAATCTCCTAGGCCAGGATACGCGAGGGTTATTCTCCTCATCGCTCCCGAAGGCGAAACTGCTGGCATGGCGGTGTATTACTATAACTACTCCACCTGGCGTGCAGAACCAGGAGTGCTCCTAGAAGAGCTCTATGTGAGACCAGAGTATCGACGGAGAGGCTATGCTAGACAATTGATCAGAGAATTAGCCAAGGAATCAAAAAGAATCAATGGTTCGAAAGTGGAGTGGGTATGTCTGCGGAATAATGCACCGGCCCTGAAATTGTATGAGAGTCTGGGAGCGATCCGCAAGGAGGATTGGGTGACACTTTGGATATATGGGGATGCGCTAGATAAACTGGTAGGGGAAGAATAATGGTTTGACTTATATTCCAGAATAACGAAGATAATGGCCCTATCCGTTGTGGTTGAATGTGCTTGTTTTCATTTCCTAATATCAAACATATAGAGGCCGCCCGAGGGACTTATAGCATTTTAGTCCCGAGAAGAATGCATGGAGGATGCACGGTGTAGAGTTTATATTCCTTTTCAATGGGAATCCCACTCATAAAGTGATATTAAGAACCGGGTGAAGCTGGCAACTTGGCAGCTAGACAACGTTTGGGGCATGTCTTTGATGAGCCATGGAACCAGTCAGAGCCTCTCCTACAGCCGCCAGAGCTCAGGATAACGTTTGTTTCGGAGTTAATAAATCTTTTCTCGTCTTTGTCTAGGAGTTGTCGCTCATGGGCTGTTAAGTGGCCCATGATTGGGGGGATAGAGGCTAGATCTTCTCGGAGACACTCCGATTTGGTCTTACGTGCACGTACAAACGCCAGTGGCATCATAAAAGAGACGTAGCTAACACAACGATCCAAGGATCCAAGGCATGGTTAGAAGGCTGCAGCAGATCTGCCTGGCTCCCCTTCAAATGCACTAGGTCACGAAATTTTTTGTCAGGAACACGTGCAGATAGTCAGCTATGGTGCCCAAAAGATATCAAATGTATCCTGATTTGCCAGCAACCTGCTAACTTACGTATCCCTTGTCGAAAATCTTCCGGTTGAATAGGATAGAAAAGCCTTGGTTTACAAGCAGCCATCGACTCTTCCTTGCCATCAGGCAGGCTTATCCAATGATATCGAAGTCATTCCATCAAAACCGGCATCTCGCAACCAAAGGTGTTGGTTGATGATTTGTCCAAGGTCAGGGAGTTGGCGCAACCGTGGCTAGGCAATTGGGTAAAATCTGCTCGAAGTTTTGAATAAAGGTGCGAGTATATCAAGGATACACGGAAGCTCGAACTTGTGATTAACGAGATCAAACCCTCCAACGGCTTTGAAAGCACGGTGAGGAGGACTGACCGGTAACACCCGGCCTGGGATCGACGCTTGTTAACAACAGGGCCCTATAGACTTTAATAGTATTAGCCTTGCGTTGAATCTTCCAATCCACAGCCGTTAAACCAAAGCTTAACTTTCAGGGCTGATAATCGTTGACGAAACCGCACCACTTGAGAGGCTTTTGCTCGCAAGGAGCCTCGGAAACTTCAAGACCTGGGATGGTCTTTCAAAGCCACAGAAGAATTTTCACTCTGCCCAGCCGGCACCATCCATGCTTGTCGTAAGCCTTATTGATTTTTCCTTTTTTTTTTTTTTTTTGGCGTTCCGATGGTTACATTTCCAGAAGTCCAGCTATATAGAGTCCTCGGGCGCTCAGTTTGAACACAAGATCTCCTTTTAACACCTTTCCAGCAATAACATATTTCGAATATTGATATTAGGAAAAGCATCATATCACTTCTTTCACTACTTCTTTTCCCTGAGATATCCGATTTTCGTCGCGTATCTCTTTCATCTCACATTCCAATTTCTTTTCCAACTGCATCTGACTACGAGCAGTTCAGCTCGTAGTTTCCACAGCTCTGGCGACCGTTAAGCAATTCGTTCCATCAGCTGGCACATGCGTGCTAGCTGTTGTTCTAGTACAGCAGCTGAAGCCACCATAGAGTGACCGCAACCGTTACTGACCGGTGGTGCTCATATTTTGCTATTGTTATTCGAGTCGCTTGTGGATTTTAACTCACCCGGATGGAGGCTGCTCACAGCTATCTTGGCTATCTTGACAGGATTGTGTCCAGACAAGGAAAGACAAACAGTGGCAGCCACATTCGAAGCGGGAAATCTCTCTTTTATTGTTTAGACTCAAGACCAAGATCATCCGGACGGCAACATGCGCTTCCTTCTAAGACGCTTGAGCAAATGGCCTGGAGGTCAGAAAGTCGAACCTGAAAACCGACAAAATGGTAAGTAGACCGCCCTAGACGTCGGTTACGTCTCCTATCAGGACCTAAGATCGCCCAAATATAGTTAATAGGACCACCCACGCCAATTGGTGGCACATGCCTCTCGCGAAAGACTCGACATCTCCTTCGATCCTGCGAGCATTTGCCTCCATTCCTCCAGATTCTGCCCTTGGGTATATGCAATCATGCCGGCAAGGTCTCAGCCAAGCTGAAGCCGACGCACGCCTAAAAATCGCTGGTCCCAATGTTCTCAGTTCTAAAAATCCTCCGCCGTGGTGGAAGTTACTACTTCTAATTCTGCCCAATCCGTTTACTATTCTGCTGGTATTTTTAGCAATCATCAGTGTCGCGACGCCTCAGCCGGACTGGGTGAGTCCCTTATACTCCGACTTATCATTCGGACATTTTTGCTAATATAAAGAAGAAAACTTTCGTTATACTTATGGTGATGATCTTGATATCCTCTGCTGTACGCTTCTGGCAAGAATATCGTAGTAGCATCGCAGTCATCAAGCTCCAGTCTTCGGTCAGCGCAGACACAAAGGTTCGGCGACAATGCCCAACTTCGGGCAAATTCTTGGATGGCACGCAGACTTCAGAGTCCACAATTCATGTCAAAGATATTGTGCCGGGGGACATTGTCATCATCCGGCCCGGTCTCACTGTGCCTGCCGACTGTTTAATATTGGAGGCGTCATCCCTATACATCAGCCAGTCAACGTTGACTGGGGAAAATGAGCCGTTGCGCAAGACTCCTAATCTGCAGCCTGCGAAATTTGAAAAGGAAGATCCCAGGTTCTTCGAACTTGAGAATGTCGCCTTCATGGGGACGAGCGTCATTTCTGGCAGTGGGCTAGGCTTGGTGTTGAGAACTGGTGATGGTGAGTGTGCTTCTGATAGTAAAATTCGAATATGGTTGCTGACGTTATTAGATTCGTTCATTGCGACAATAATGAAGCAACTGAACAAGAAGCGGCCTGTGAATTCCTTCCAACGAGGGATCCGGAACGTGACCTACATGTTAATTGGGTTCATGCTCACGATGGTGCCGATTGTGAGTGACTTCCGTAAATATACTAACTTGTATACTGATGCACTACAATATAGGTTTTGGGAATTTCCGGAAAGACAACTGGAAACTGGGGAAATGCGGCCTTATTCAGCTTGAGTGTTGCAGTAGGGCTTGTCCCCGAAATGCTTCCGGCCATTGTGAACACAAACCTCGCGAAGGGAGCTTTCAGTCTTTCCAAGAAAAAGACCATCGTTAAGCGTCTCGACTCAATCCAGAACCTGGGAGGAATGTCAATTCTGTGTAGCGATAAGGTAAGTTTTGCTCAACTCCTTGGGACAGAAGTCAGCAAACTAATTCGTCTTTGTACAGACTGGGACACTGACAAAGGACGAAATCACGCTTTCTGACTATCTCGATTGCTCAGGTGTGAGGAACCGGGGAGTATTCCAATTAGCCTTTATCAACGCCAAGTGTCAAGAAATTCAAGGGACAAGCATTGACTCTGCCATTATCAACTTCCAATCGCGAGAGCCAATGCAGATACCGCCTTACGAGGCGGTTTCCGAGATTGCTTTCACCTTTGAAAGACGGCGATCAAGCTGCATTATTCGAGGACCAACCAAGAAACTCAAATTGGTCTGTAAAGGAGCATACGAGGAAGTGCTAGCTCTTTGTACGTCTGTTCGTGATGGGGCTAAGACTTTGAGCTTATGTGCAGAATGGCACAAAAAGCTTGCCGCCCAGGCTGAACGCCTCAGCTCTGATGGGTTTAGAGTGATTCTGGTGGCCACTAGGGAAGTTAAAGATTCCGAGATGGGCAACGAAGATTTCATTGAAGATGACCTAGAATCCAGCCTAACTTTGGAAGGTTTCCTGACATTCCTCGACCCACCAAAAGAAGATGCCGCAGCTTCAATTCAACGGCTGCAAAGATTGGGAGTAGATGTCAGGATTCTCACTGGTGACAACATGCCAATCGCTCTGAGGCTCTGCCAATTGCTAAACCTCGTCAGTTACGTCAGCGAAGGAGACGCTCAGGCCATAACGGGACCGGAATTGGCGAGGTTAGAAGGAACAGACCAATTCCACGATGTGATCAGAACATGCAAAGTATTCGCGAAGCTAAGTCCGGCTCAAAAGGGGCAAGTCATTTTGAGCTTAAAGGCGAATGGAGATTGCGTCGGAATGCTCGGTGACGGGATTAATGACTGTGTTGCATTGAGATTCGCGGACGTTGGAATTTCTGTTGATTCAGGAGCAGGGGTTGCGAAAGACTGCGCCGACGGTAAGATCTCGCCTTTTAGACAAGACTTAAGTAATTGTCTACTGACTTTGGGCAGTAATCCTCACCGAAAAGGGCCTCAACATAATCGTGGATGCTGTGACCATGGGTAGAGTGACCTACGGGAACACAATCAAGTATATCAAGGTAGGGCGCCTTCAATTGTTTCATAATATCGGGCTGACACAAAAGCAAGATGGTTGCCTCGTCCAACTTCGGCAATGTCTTCAGTATCCTCATTGCCAGCGCATGGCTTCCATTTGAACCGGTATGCACAGCTCTTAAAGCTAACCCTGGGGAGATGCTAATTGTTCTCCTTGTATCCAGATGACGAGCTTGCAGCTTCTTATCCAAAATTTGCTCTATGATATCAGTCAGATCGCAATTCCCTGGGATCGAATGGACGAAGAGTACTTGCAAGAGCCCAAAAAATGGGACGCCATTGGTGGGTTCCACTTTAATATATCGCTTGGTTCCCTTTGTCAACTAATGTGTGACGTAGACTTGCTCCGATTCATCATCGTCCTTGGGCCAACGAGCTCCACCATCGACGTGTTGACGTTCTGCCTTGGGTGGTTCTACTACAACATTCGCACCGCCGACGATCCGGAGGCTGTAAAGCTATTCCGCACTCACTGGTTCCTGCAAGGGTAAGTCAGCTCGTTCCAGCCACGCTTCGCTCCAATTTTATCTCAGTACGCTCGAAACACATCAATTAATCGTGTTCACTTGCAGTCTTCTCACGCAAACCATAATTGTCCATCTTTTGCGAACTGCTAAAATTCCTATCATTCAAAGCCGCGCGGCTCGGGCCATGGTGGCATCCACGACTATAATCATGGCGGTTGGTTTTGTTCTCCCGTATATTCCGCTATTCCAGGCCGCCCTTCGGTTTGTCAACCCGGCAGCAACTTTTGTAGGATTCCTCGCCGCGGAGCTACTGTTGTACTGCCTTGAGGTACAACTAGTGAAAGTGATATATAAACGGATTTTCAAAACATGGCTATAATCGATTCGCTGCAAGGGGGCCCGCCAATGTGCCAAAAGCGAGCTTGGAGACAAGAAGGCAGTTATTTCAACAATAATTTGCCACTTCGCGATAGTAGTGACAAAGAAAGAGGAAACATGGGGAGGTTCAACACATGTGAGGTTTCCGAACCGTGTTCTGAGTTTGTCTTGCTATGCTGTTATGGAATGAGTTTGTTTTAGCTTGTGGACGTGCTGATCCAGCTTCAAAGTTGAAAGGGATGTAATAATTTGTTCATTAATTTGCGAAGTTTGCCTTTTCATAGCTAAACAAATTCGATAATCAAAATAGGAAGGATTTGGCACACATTTCCCACGAGAAAAATGGGCCACAGAGATCGGCTCACCTCAGCAGTACCTTATCCAGGCCTATATTTAGAGTTGCACAGAATCACGGTTTCGAAGTGAAAAAGGTAGCATTTCACACTGGGGCCCATACAGCCTAGAGATAGAGAAAGACCAGTAGTTTTCATTGCTCGGATAATCAACCGCTTATATTTCCGAGCAGTTTAGCTCGCCGTTTCTTGAGATAGCTAACCTTCATCAAACACTCCATGGAATTAGCTTGTGGAAGTGCTTTGCCGCATCCAATCTATTAATTTAGCGGTAAGCTGGCCGGTATGGAGGATCGTAAGCGAATTGGTTTCGTGTGGAGTTGGTCGTAAAAAGGGGTCACTCTAGTATTTCTTTCCATCAATCGATATTATCACCATGGAGGTTAGCTGAAAAGCTGGAAAATTGGAAGATTTTGTCGATGGGTTCTGATAGTCAAGTGTCGCCGGCTAAGCTTCAATATGGCATGCTGTAGTTTGCTCCGTATGGAATAACCAAGCGCCAGTTGTCAGCCGCAAACCCATGTTCGAATTTTTCATTTGTATGTGTTCAAAGCGCTGGACATTGTAGATATTTATATTTCTTTTCAATACTGAGGGCCGTCATGTAGCACCGTTGTGATTCCACCCCCATTGCTTCAGCAGCTGTTCCGCACGGTATTCAGTCGCCCAGCCAAGGTCACTTTCGATTTCTCGAAGTAATCGTAAAACAGTCATCCTTTCTCGATCGTCAGTAAGGTGTATACCGCTGAGGAATAGCGGCTGGACAGAGTTTATCCGTGCAGAAGCGTCTGGCCTAGACAAAGATATCCCACATATCTCAAGACAATGGAAGCGGATCTCGGCTTCCACCGACCGATGGGGATTTTCTTGGCCGGCTACTGTACCTCTGAAGGCGGTTGGTTCAGGTGGTTTGTTCACAAGTAGCAGGATTCGAGCCATGTGGTAATGCTGCATTGCTGACGCACACATGGGAATGCTATACCAAATTTCTTGGAAGGGGTACGGTTCTTCGTTCGCTTTCAACGATGAGGGCGGGTGGTAAACCCGCGCACACGGTTTGAATGCATCTGACAATCCTCGATACCATACATCGACCTCAGTTCGTAGCTGTTGCCACCGGGCCATTAAAGCAGTCTCTGTTCGCCGCGCATTGCTATCGTCGGTTGCTAGATAATTAACAATTTTTGAAGACAACCAGACTAGGGCATTTGAGATCATGTCTTCCATCATGACATCCTCTCCCTCCTGGTAGCAAACGGATGTATTACTCGGTTGAACATATCCCATGTCATTTAACAGGAGCCCTGCCTCTGTCCATAAAGTCAGATCATCTGTGTCCAATCGGCATTTACACTTGTTAATAACTAAGAACAGTTAGCTCATTTACGCTCAAAAATATCGAAAGACTAGTCTTACAAGCTGATAGATAGTCTTGCCTGGCAAAATTCCAAAACGTTGCCCTCCTAGCCTTGGAAAAGCTGGCTTTCCGTAAGGGAGGTCGAGGCGTTTCTCCAGGGGATACACATTGTTCAAGTGGCATCATCCCAACTTCTGCAATATCTAATAGTGATTTTACTCCACTCAAATGCCGATCCCATGCCGGCCCTGTTGCGTCCAAAAATTCGTACACGGACAAGATAGCTGTAGCAGCTAGAACTTCATCAGAATTCGCGCTCGACATTCGGCTGTTTGAAAACCTCCGCCGTCGCTTATAAGGATGACTCTGTTCATCTGCACTGCACAGTTCCGCTGCTTGCCACTGTCCTAAGCCTTCCGCAGTGCTAATCGGAAGACCTTGCCCGTCATGTTGTAACGCTTCCATGAGTAGTTGGATAGCTTTTTCGTAATATTTAGCTCCATGGAAATACCAGTCAACCCTGTCTGCATCTGGCCATATTTCCATGCTTGCTTGTCTGCTGCAGACACCACCAACGTTGCCCTTGGCTCCCTTGACTCTACCAAGTTGTTTTGCGGCATAGGCGCAGGCGGCGTACTTCAGAAGAGGATTCGAAACGGCCTTAATGGGTACGTGCGATGCAAAATAAGAGCCTAGATCGAAAAGGTCCATCCTGGGAAACGTTTTAGATATAGGACATAATCGCATATTAAACACGTACACTCACCACTGTCCGGGAGATTCTGAGAAATGCCGGAGTAAGAATGCAATCTCATGGTCAGTTTCGACGGGCCTTGTCTGGGAACCAATGACCCTCTGGTGAAAAGGGGACTCTCTGCGATCGCTGGGTGCGTGAAGGCTTGGATCGATTGGTGGAGAAATTGATGTAGACGGATTAAGAAGGAAATTTATGTTATTATTCGATGCGATTGATATTGAAGGGGAAGCAGGATCTGTCATGGATGACCGTATTTGATTCGGAGATGGCATGGATCCCAGCGTATGGTGAGCCTCCGTCTGAGCGAAGGGAATATTGTTATGTACAGTGGAGCTGACGGATATTTGTCCCGTAGTCGCTGGCGGTTGTTGCAAAGTGTATGTGTCTCCCGTGGCGGCCGCGGAAAGGGCCTCAAGACCATGAGTCTGAGTATCTGCTGAGCGAAGATGCTGCAGTCCATTGTTACCCCAAAGATTCGATGGTCGATTTGTAGGTGCGCTCTCGGGCCCCGCAAGAGAAGCCTCCAATTCATCGGCATAAGGATCGGTAACGTCAATAAAAGTCACTGTTCCAACATTCGTCTGTATTAGCTTCACGTCCCCATCTCGGATAGCCTCAAAATTAACCTATGCGTACCTTGCTTCGGTATCTCCAACCACACACTATTCTCATCAAATGTATTCTTGTACGAATAAAAACCCTTCAGCCTTCCCCTGTCATCTTTATTCATCGACGCATTTTGCTGGTGTCGGAACACGATGCCCTCGCTGGGCCGGCATTCCCTCGAGGCCTTCCGGCACTGGGAACACTGGGGCTTTTGTTCATCGCATTTCAGCTTGCGCGCACGACATGTTAGACTAAATAACGGCCAGATAAGTTAGTTTTGAATCTGCCGTCTTCAACGAAGTGAACCCCAACCTTCCAGTTAGCTGTCTCTGGTGCAGGAGGGATTCACTCACCAGCCAGTTCTCGAGCGCATATCGGTATTGATAGTAAGAATGCACCCTGAGCCGACATCCGCAAAGAAAATAAAGGACACCCCCTCTTTGTTGGGTTGAAGGTTGTCGCGCTACACAAGTATCAAGCTGCACCTCGAATGAAAGAAGGGCAAAATATGAGCGCTAGACTCCGAAAGCCCGACTGAGCAGAACATCACCACCAACTCAAGCCCCAGAATAATGCCAAATAATATTCCCTAGCTGAATACGTAAGACTAGACGCAAAACCCAGGGTAGAAAGTGCTAAGAACCTTGAAACACGAACTAAACGGCCCATTATCTCCATTGACTTTATCGAGAACTTGGTCGCGGTGAGGGTGGAGATGTTGAATTCGGCAAAATCGAACCGTCTTGGCCAACTGCCGCCACGACCAACTTCGCAGAGGCCAGAGAGCAGAGCAGCCTACAATTGCCCCAAATATTACAGGCAGGTTAAGTATACTATTTCCGAGTGCCATATACTTTATCTCATTAATGCCTAAAGTACAACACCAAACAATCCTGCCCTTTCTACAAGGCTCAACATGAATAAAGGAAAGGAAGTCGTTCCGGAGTGGTGGTTATGGGAGAAACGGCCCGTGGGGGAGGAACCCTCGGGCCTCGAGTCGTGCTAAACAAAAAAGATCAAAAGAAGAGAAGAAATTGTCCAGGCATGGACATGTGGGTGGTTGAAGAGCAAAAGAAATTCGGGGTGTGGACAATTATTAAAGACCAAAGGCCTATTCTAAAGACATATGGTGCATGTATCCTTTCGAGCAAAGTAAAAGTTCCCTAGAAACTAGGTTCGAGGCAACAAAGGGAGTATGTAAATGCAAGCCATATACCCAGAGCAAAAAGATAGTCAAGAAGACTCTAGGAAGATTGCTGTCAAAATAAGGGAGAAAAATATCAAACGCAAAAGGGGGAACTCCAGGATAGTACCGACCGAAAGCCATACATGGGTATTTGCCGCTCCCATAACGCCAATTTTCCAATGTGTATTAAGTGATGAGACGAAGAAAGGAAGACAAAAATCGTTGCAATCAGATTGTCGGAACACCAGGTGCACGTTGACGAAGGGAATCCAAGAGATACTCCGGCGGCAAACGTCGAAGATCCGGCTTCCGATCCATGCCTTGTGGAGCACGAACATATCCCTGTCGGTAACGCCGTATGCGACCAAGAATGATGCCAATGAGTACGATCAAGAATATACAACCCAGGGCAATACAGAAAGATACAAGCACGACGATTCCCCTGGAATGTGGTTTGCCTATATTGAAGAAGCGGTAAGCATGTAAACAGAAGGTCAACCTGAAAAGGATAAGACTTACGACCACCACTAAGCTCGATCTCATTTTCGGTAAACAGCCCACTAATACTGCCCGGCTTTCCATCTGCTGTGCTAGAAAGTATAAAAGGCTCCGCGGTCGATCCATTATAGATCGCTCCAGAAACAATTCCAAATCTTGGCAATTGGAGCTGGCCCGTCAAAAGCAGAGCGAGATTATTTTCGATGAGTCGAGAATCGCTGTGATCTTCGCGAAGCGCGAGTACTTGCAAACCTTTGATGGTTGTCTGTTCGCCGAAAAGCGAACCAGCAGAATGAAATTCGCTTCCATCAAAGAAAGCTAGGAATGGAGAACCACCTCCAGATTTTCCTGCAACCCAAAATCGAGAGCCATCCTGCCTGGCAAGTCCAAGGGCTGTAATAGGGCCGGTGATTAGATTAGAGGATTTTCCATCAATTGAGGACCAAATCTGCGTTTTCGCATCATAGCTAGCAAGCGTAGTTTGATTACCACCGACGGTCATATTGCCAGCAGCGATAAGCTTCTCCTTTGACACCCATTTTAGGACAGACAAAGCTCCTTGAAGGCCAGATCCGGGTCTGACCCATTGAGAGGCATCCGCTTGGAAAGCACACACGCCGGGGCATGGCAAGGAACCAGCAGAATCGAATTCACCGCCGACGTAAATCTCGTTAGAGTCAGGACGTGGAGCAATAGAATTCACAATCACGTCTTCCCCTTCCAGGACACCGGGTTGATTCGCGAGAAATTCTCTCTTGGAGAGGTCATAGACAACGAGTCCTACGACGTCAGTTGAACTAACCCGACCCATCACCTTGCCTCCAAGGAAGAGGGAGTCTCGATGGATTGCAGCAGAGAGAAAGGTCGAATTAGAGTTTAGTCCTGAGCCGAGACCGGTCACCTCTTCATCATCAGAGCCGTCGATCAAAAGAACATTCTGAATGGTGGAGCCGTCTGACGCTGTCGCGCTAAAATGACCGACTAAGACCGTAAGGTTGCGTCCTGACGCTTTATCAAAAAGACCCGTTGTTACAACCTGAGAGCCATTGTTTTCAAGCAGAGCCCTTTTCTGTCGCGATCTTGAGTCGGATGTCTGTTGAATCTTGACTGGTAGAGGTTGCAGAGCGAGACCGCTATCCTCTCTTAGGGCAACGGCGCCATGAGACGAAATTCCACCTGATGCAAGTGTGCCTGCCAATATCGTATCGTTTCCTGACATGATGGAGGTTGTAAGCTGTCCGGCATACGCCATCTGACTGACATCAAGCTCCTGTAGCCACTTCTTCTCCGACGGAACCCACACAGCAAATCCCCTGGCTGGAATAGCTTTGCGTCCATCCGATTCCTCAATTTGAGAGAAGTCCCCGCTTACAGCAATCGCTGACTCGATTTTGGTGGAGGAAATGTTAACCGGGAACCGCACAAGCGATTTAACGTAGCCATTCACGCCCGATCCCAATGGTATCCAGGTATCATCGGAAATCGAGTATGCAGCAACGTGTTTTAGCTTTCCGTTTTCACCTCCGGCCAAGTCCGTGAAATTGCCGCCCACATACACGAGATCATCATGTGAGACTAAGGACGAGATTGCTGCGTTCAACCCATCACCAGATAAACTAGCCACGCGACCATCTGTGATAGATAGGATGTTGTGAATAGTTGAATTTGAAAAGTTCCCGCCCACAAGTAACGTATTGTCTTTGTACACTAGAGCATTGACGTCAGCTCCACGCTCCAGGTCATTCCCTGCCGTATTAATAGCAGACATGGAGAAGTTTGTATTGAATTCATTTTCGTCTGGATTGTAATCGAACAGACCATTAAGGCCGCCGGTAGAGGAAATCAACTGGAATCGAACTCGAGACGCAACTATGTTAATACTACCTTGCCCGGTCCGCGCAGAGAGTGTCACTTTTGGTCGAAAGTCGCTACTGCCGGCATCAACGCGTCCAAAGTGTATCTGATCATACTTGTCAAAGTTATTGGTTTGATGTATGAAAGTCTGAACCGGGCTTTCATCCCGTCTAGAAAAAACTCCAGTCACATTGACGACACCTCTTGTTGCGCAGGTTCCATCTTGGATGCAGCCTGGAGTGAATATTGTAACAGAATAGTTGCCAGACTGTTTGATGTCCGGGAAAAAGGTCACAGACGTAGATGAAGCTGTTGAGGGATCGACCTGCGCACTTAGATAATCTGCCGAACTATCAACTGAGGGACTAACTGTCCAGCTTCCTGTCTTGGTAGCTGTAGAACCAAAAGGGATATTGGCACAAGTTGGTTCGTTAAAATCGGTGAGCGCATAAGAGTAGATGTCTGTGATAATAAATATGAGCATCACAAACATGTTTTGCCAGAACACATGCGAACATACCATCTTGGAACAGTTCCACACCATTCAGCCCTCCACCTTGACCATAGAACTCCGAGATTTCCAACCGGAAGCCATTCATACCAACAGTGTTAACAAAATGGAAATCACGAAATTCCTCAGCAGGATCGTCGGAAAGCGGACATCTAGCGTCACATGCCACTTGGTCTCCAGTTTCGGGGTCAGTATAAGTCATGTTTAGGATTCCAGTGTCGGGCAATGCAATAAACCGGAACATCTTGGTCCCCCGTCCTTCAAAGTGCGTGTTCCAGAGCCTCAATTTCGTGGGTTGGAACCCGAATCTCATTTGTGACTGCCAGTACCCGGGCTGCTGATCAGAGAGAAGCCAAGTGGTGCCTTCGCCGTCCTGTTTCGTAGCCCTGCAAACCACATTTCGCGGATCGCCAAACCCCGGCCTTATCGTACTCCCACCGGCGGATATCTCGGCTGTTTCGAGGTTCACCATTTGTTGGTCTTTCATGGAAGGAGTTGTTGCATTCCCTAGGCCGTCGAAAGATCCTCCAAATATGATATGATCGTCGGAGCCTTTAACGATTGAAGTGACCGGCCCATTGAAGCCGCCGAAAGGGAGGTTGGAAAACCCAGAATCTCGAGACCAGGATATGGCATTTGACGAGTTTGACCTCTCAAAGTCGCCGCCCACGTAAACCTTGCCGGAATCACAAAGTAAAGCGAGAACCCGACCCGACAGCCCTGAAATAGCAGACACTGTTCCCGAACTGGGATCAAACAGTGCGAGCCCCTGCGACTCTATACCTCCCAGACTAGTAAAATTTCCTCCAACGACAAGTTTTTCCAGCGAACCGTCTCTCGATTCTAGCGGGCACAGGGCTAGTATGTCCGCATCGGCAGAAGAGATGGGAGCAAGGCCGCCATTGGGCAGGGGGGCGATCAACGACTGGGACTGGGAGCCATTGTAGACGGCAAGGACTTCGTCTCGCTGTTGTTGGTATATGTATAGCGAGATTGCATCGAAATTTCCCGTCAGGGCAATGCGGCCTAGTGGACCAAGGTCGAGCGGTGGAGGAGGTACTTCAGTAAAGAGGGTTGCTCTAGCCAGCGGGAGGGAGAGGAGAGAGAGTAGGTGAGATAGCCCTAGGAGTGAAGCATCGCCGGCGGGAAACAGTGAGGAGATCCTCATTGTTTTGTCCGGGATGAAGGGGGGCTGGCTCAAAGTTCGACGTCGACTTTCAGTTGCAGAGCGAGAACTTAGCTTCTCTGAGCGAGCATCGAAACATGACGCGACAAAATGTAGATAAAAGAACGAATTGAACAGAACAGATAACCAGAGTGGACAGAACCTGATCCTGAGATTGTACCTAATGTGTTGAAAAAAGAGCGAAAGTTGGTGGGTAATAATGAAAGAAACGAGTGAATGGTCAGGGCCGGCAAGCTCCTGGAAATTGCAGTGAACAGGTCACCTGTTGCAAGGGGAATCCGTCTGTTGACACTGGCCGCTCGAGAAAATTACAGTATTTCATTACAGGGCTGGTGTCACAATTAGGTTGGCCGCGCCGATCCTAATTGGCCGGTCTGCGACTGTTAGCGTCCCTTCAGCCTCTCGCGCCCCAGCACGGCGGAGGGGAAAAACGATTCTACGAATCAAACCTCCCAGATCGAGCATAGCGGCGGGCCAGTTCCATGGGTTGGTTGCATTGCGAAATCCTCCCGTCCCTTTAAAGAGTGCGGCACGCTGTGGACAGAGCGTCAGACAGGCACGCATGCTTTTCAAATGCAGGCAGAGAAGGCATAGCGATATGAAAGGCATCTGCTGGACAGAGAAGACCATCATTCTATTATGGGCTTTCCTGCCCCTGGGCGTGGAGATTTCGCCCATGAGGTCGATATCTGAGATACACGTGCATCTGGGAGTTACCTGGCCCCGTATTCATGCCTGAGTGCAGTGTTGACGCCCAACCACGGCTGCTGTCACTGACTCTTCCCCCTCCCCCCGGACAGGTCACTCGGCGATTGGAATGGACAAACTTTCCAGAGCTAGAGTATCTCTATTATTCAGACAAAAGCTCAGAGCCAAATCCAGATTTGAGAATGGGCCCCAGCAATCTTCCCCCCATTTGAGGGGTTTTACGAGAGAACCTTGAACAATAGTGTCAGGAACATGAGTGTCACACATGCATCAATATATTGATGACACTGTGAAGATCAAAATTCTAAGGTATTCTATTTATAGGCCTAATGGGTCCTCTTGCAGAGAAATTTTCTTGTGGCGATTCTATATCAAATCCACAGGTGGATGAATACATGAAAGCTGGAGTACTTGAGAGATTCGGATGTGTCTCAGGATCATTTTACTAGGCTGCCGCAAATTTACAACTTGTCATGCTCTTTCCTACTGTTAAAAATAACAAGCTTTAAAATAGCCAACCAGCTGCCTGTCTTCCCGACTCCCCAAAGCACGGACATATGGAAGTTTTTGCCCCTGATACCCTGTCCTCTTGTCTTTTCAATACCTGGACTGCATAACAACATCCTCACACGATGGCTGGAGAGGCACCAAGTCAATCTCCACTTCCAGGTTCTATGTGCATACATATATACAATGCAAGCGGTATGCTTCATTACCTGATAGCTGTTTGCTTATAAAATTTTTCATACCTATATTTTGGCAATTGTGTTCAGCTGCAGGCATCAAAGAAACAACTATTGCCCAGTAAACTGCTCGCAGAAATGGAGGAATAAACAACTCCAAAGTTAAAGCAGAATTTCAAGACGGGAATTTACTGCTGAAGAGAATGTGGTTCCAAGAGCAAGCAAATTCAGCATAAGATGTGGCAAAGTTTTAATCCATTATGTCACTAACAGACCTAGAATAGTTGGATGGATTACCCTTCTCTTAAAGGAATCTCTAGCTGTGTATAATAAGCTAAGCACACAGTGTGACAAGTTCTGTTCATATTCTGGTCATCAAATTTTCTGCTTTCTCTGTAGTGTTGATAGCAGCTGTGTAGGTAATAGAAGTATAGAACAGCCTAGTGTTCACTGCCGGAGGATAGAACTGAGAGTATGGGATAGGTGGACGAAGAGACATGATTACCAAGGAATGCCCACCAGCTATGTCCGAAGAGAGCCTAGAAACACCACCTGTCAGTAGAGAGGAAAAATATACTGGCATGGGCTGTCTCCTGTTGCCGCTTTATTTCCACCATGTGCGGCATACCCATCACTCACGAAAGCCTTAATAGCCTGGTGGACAGTCTTGACAGAACTGATGGCCACAAGAGCCACATTCTCCAGCACATGCATGATTTACTACTGCACACCTGCAACACGTCCATGGTTCCAAATCAGCTTCCGCTGGCTCGACAATAATACTCTTGCGAGCAGTTGCAGTGACTCCGGTAGGATTTTCGCGCGCCATTCTAGGTATCTTTTCAAGAGCTTTAGAACTTGCATGAGGTGTTTCCCAAAAATGGCCTTTACTTACATTTGCTTATTGTTCGTATTGATGGATGCGGGTATTAAACAGATACGGTGTCGCTTTGGCGGGAGTGCTGAGATCGACGACAATTCATCGGCCCCGAGGGAAAGGGCAAGCTCTATATAGCTTTTGAAAGTTTCCTTTCATTCCCCCCTATGTACTACCCACCTTCATTTGAAAATGAGTAATAATGTTTGTTGCAAGGATGCACTCAAGTCGTACTTTGGAGGAAGGATTGGATGGCAGGCCCTCCCATGTATCCACCAGCCACCTACGTCCCATCCGGCAATACCACACAATGTTCAGAGTTATGATTAGGCTGGAGAGCGCGTAGAAAGAAAGCTGCGATGATTGGCTTCTTTCCTTCATCCGCTATCCTCCGGGATCACCACCAAGTCTAGAAGAAGACAGAAAGCAAATAAGCCACGCAATGCAACATGCATTATCTGTAGAAGGCTGAAGTGGGCTGTTTGATGCAGTCCATCAATATGGATTTCGGGAATATAAACACCATGCCTAAGTACCGGTGTATAACTACGTTGTCAACACCGGTATCAGGTACAACGCACAGTGTCCTGTCACACATGGACGACAAGTGCGCCGGCTTCGCAAACTGTTTATTGTTAAAGAACTGGATTGTCTTTAAGTGTCAGAACTCAGCTTCGACCAAAGGCGCAAATAAAATTGGGGTGAGGTATCAAACAACTCGAGACATAGAGCAACACGAGAAGCAGGGAGACCAAAAGAGAAACACCTTCTGAGCTTGCTGCATCTTCCGTGGTGGCACATGCCAAAGTCTGGTATATGATAGGGCGCACTCACTGCATCACCAACTGATAGGAGTCACAAATTTACTACCCAATGGGGGCAACCGAAGATACTAAAGTGATTGCAAGGCATGGGCGCTCTTCCGTCAGCCGGTTCAATGTTGAATTCTGCCGTGTTCCAAGCAACAAAAATTGCTTCCCTGTTGATTGACAAAAAGGCTGAATAGGCTTGATGTTTGCGCTGTTTGCGTCCCAATTGAAACTAAGCTGAGCTCACTTCGACCATTCTGGGTTTAGCGTAAACTCTGATAAAGTGCCTTTCGACGCGACGGGAAGAGCTATCATCGCGACAAGCAGTAGAGCATTAGGACCGCACGCATAACTCAGAAATTTGAACCTTCACCCCTATTGCCTTCCTCCTTATCACGCAAGGTCCAGACCTACAATAGCATACCCGCGCAACTCATTAAGTTCCTCAGGGATTGCCAGCTGTCAATCTCTCCGTCATGTATGCTAGCCTGTCAACGAACTGGGAACCTGGAAATATCTACTGACACGCCCCAGGGAGAGCTTTGAAAATATCTACCTAGACCTTTCCAAGCAACCAGGCAAATGCAAACTTGCTGAAAGTGGCCTGGGTTGGAAACCCTCCGGTGGAGGAGATACATTCACGCTCGACAAGAGCAATATCGGGGCCGCTCAATGGAGCCGTGCGGCAAAGGGGTACGAACTGAAGATCTTACCTCGCGCCGGTGGAGTCATTCAACTGGATGGTTTTGATCAAGAAGTATGTGACCTTATATCTGATTTCACCTTTTCCATAACTAAGTCGTTGCTCTCTTTAGGACTTCGAACGGACGAGCAAGGCATTTAAGCTCTGGTACGGCATCAACCTCGAGAACCGGGAGCACGCCCTCAGAGGATGGAATTGGGGCAAAGCAGACTTCGGAAAGGCGGAATTGTCTTTCAATGTTCAAAACAGACCCGCATTCGAAATTCCCTATTCAGAGATCACAAACACGAATTTAGCGGGAAGAAATGAAGTGGCGGTGGAGTTTTCACTTTCAACTGATAACGGTAGTCACGGAGTCAACGGACAGCCCGAACGTACTAAGAATTATGGTAAAAAGGCCGGTGCTGGCAAGGATGAACTCGTTGAAATGAGATTCTATATCCCTGGTACTGCTGTGAAGGACCACCAGGCGGACGGAGATGACAAGAGCGTGGATGGAGAAGAACCCGAGGAACTGAATGCCGCAAACCTTTTTTACGAAACGTTAATGGAAAAGGCAGAGATTGGCGAAGTTGCCGGAGATACATTTGCCACATTTCCAGACGTGCTACATCTTACTCCTAGGTTTGGATTCTACGACTCCTTTGAATATGCCTGGTCATTTAGCTTACAACTATCAGAGGACGATTCGATATCGACATGTATGAAAACTCGCTTCGGCTTCGCGGCAAGACGTACGATTATAAAATTCAGTACCAGTCAATTAAGAAATTTTTCTTATTGCCCAAGAATGATGACACACACACGTTGATCACTATAGGATTAGACCCGCCCTTACGACAGGGACAAACCCGATATCCGTTCCTTGTGATGCAACTGAAGTTGGACGATGAATACAATCTCGACTTAAACATGACTGAGTATATCACTCCCGTTTTTGCTCTTTGATGCTGTAAACAGACTAACTTTGAAAAGTGAACTACTCCAAACTCGGTACAAGGATAAACTCCAGGCTCACTACGAGGAACCAATTCATCAGGTTATAACAAAGGTTTTCCGTGGCCTCTCCGGAAAGAAAGTGATCATGCCATCCAAAGATTTTACCAGGTCAGCTATAACCATGTACCGCTATGGCCATTTTTCAGATCCCTCCGCACCAATGGGCCGACTAAGGACAAGAAATACTAACAGTAATTCCAGTCATCATAATCACCGAGGAATCAAGTGCTCCATCAAGGCCAACGAAGGGTTGCTGTTCTGCCTTGACAAGAGTTTTATGTTCGTTCCAAAGCCAGCAACATACGTCCAAATCGAAAACATATCCGTTATCACTATGTCTCGTGTTGGCGGCGCTGTCTCAGCTAGTCGAACGTTCGATATAACCATGACCCTCAAAGGTGGAGGCGAGCATCAATTCAGCAATATCAACCGGTTTGTCCTTTGTCCTTTGACAATCCACAGCACATAAGTCTAACAATCAGACAGAGAGGAGCAACAGCCATTGGAGTTATTCTTTAAAGCCAAAAACATTCGATTTAAAAATGAGATGGCCGAAGATGTAAGTGTTTTTTAGCAACCATAACCCCTTCAAGCTAGGCAATGATCATGTGTCTAGATTTCCGTCAACGATGGTTGAATGTGAACGTGTACTAACTTGGGTTGCTTGGCTAGACATCCGCGCTCATTGCCGCAGCTCTCGACAACGATGAACTTATGGGTTCCAGCGACGAGGAAGTCGATGGAGGGCACCGCGGATCAGCAGATGAAGACGAAGAATCTGTCGACGAAGACTTCCAAGCCGAATCAGAATCCGACGTCGCTGAAGAATATGATTCCGCTCACGAGAGTAGTGGTAGCGGCAGTGGGAGCGACAGCGACGCCGACATGGACGATGCCGAAGATGAGGGTCTCGATGAAGACCTCGATGAGCAAGAAGAAGAGCGGCCAAAAAAGAAGAGCAAGATTGACAAGTGATCACAAGTGGTTTTGGTTTTGAGAAATGCAGTTATTTAATCACTACGGATACTCGAAATAATCGTACGTTGTCGCTATCTTGGGACTGGGCATCTGGGCTATTACTTCCTTCTTTGTGGATCTTATCTTGTGATATTAGAAAAGTGCTGGCCAGGTTTGGATGGAGGGACATCCGTTTGTTCAAGTTTCTTGTATCGCGCTTGTGGCCCACCCGGAGGACAGATTGTATAGCAGTCCTTATATGAGGTAACTATGCATGGATGGTATGCGCCTCATTAACTGCACTGTACTGAGTACTCTATCTAGTTACCAGTGCATAATACTTGTCACATCACCTCCAGCAAAATGTGTGATTTGCCCAACTTTTTGCCCTCAACTTGTATCTTGGGAAGTCCCGACCCAATGTGGGTGGCTTCCGCCTCGCACGTGACATCGGAGCTTCCATTTTTAGCGTAGCGCCCGAAATCGTCAAACGCGTAGGCTCAAAAGCTTGGAAACAGGCACTGCCGCGAGCGAACGGATGATTGTTCAATTGGTTTGGTGCCATTTTGCTTCGTTCTACTCTGTACTTACAACTTAACATCTCCCTGTCTTCATTCATGTTCTTTTTTTAGCCTTGTCTTTGTGAACCATGCCAGCTGAGGCAAACCACTAGCTAAACACCCAGCCCTCACAAACCTCACCCCGACCTATTCCTAACCCCGAGCACACAAGCGGAGCCACTCCTCGACCGCTTTACTCCGTGCATAACGCGCATTTCGCTATTTTAGAGCTATTGGAACCATTTGCCGACTCCTGCACACCTATCTTCGCGCTAGTTCAAATCCTTGCGAAGAATCCCTTTACCATGGCCACCACATACAGCAAAAAGACAAACTCCGATCTCATCGAGATGCTCAAGGCGCGAGGACTCCCTCACACCGGAAAGAAAGCTGACATGGTCGCGCGACTCGTCGAAGCAGATAAAGCTGAAGCAGAGAAGGCCAGTCTTGCCCCCGTCCCTGCTACAGCACCCGCGCCTGCACCACAGTCAGCCAAAGCCGATGCCGCCGACGATGTTATCGATTGGGATGACGACACGACTCCGATAGAGCCAGTGTCAGCGCAACCTACGACTTCAGCCGCGACCGCTGCCACGGCTGCTAATGGGGACGACGCTGAGACAACTGCGGCAGGCGGAAAGGGTGCGGCTACGAGCGCGATCGCAGTGCCGAATCAGAAAGTTGATATTGATCCGTCGACAACGCATGACCTGACCGTCACGAAACCGGAGGAAAAGAAAGCTGATCAGAAGGAAGTTGCTGCGGAAACCGAGACTGATAAGGGAGGTGCCCAGGAAACAGCTGCGGGAGAACAGGACGAAGCTGAAAAGAAGGCCGCAGAGAATTATAGCATGGGTCTTGCTACTACAAACCTCGATGCAGAGCTTGAGAAGCGTAGAAAAAGAGCCGAGAAGTTTGGCATTGCTGATGACTCGAGCACCAAAGAGGCTCAGAAGGCCATGGAGAGAGCGAAGAGGTTTGGGACCGCGAATGATGCATCGTCGGGTGTTAAAGGACTGGATGAAGCACTGCCAGAGCGCTCAAGAAAGAGAGGCCGTGGCGATGATGGCGATGGCTATCACCGCGGCGGAAAGCGCAGGAACTTTTCAGGACGCGGAAGAGGACGTGGTGGGTTCGATGGTCGGCGCCGTCAGAATGGTGGTTCGAACACTGGCAAAGCGAGTACTTTGAGCGAACAAGATCGTGTTGCGATGGAGAGGAGAAAGGCTCGTTTCGGATAAATCGGTTCCATATCTGTCTTACTACATGTTTCAATATTTCCGGCCCAAACCTATTTTCGTTCTCAACCTTTACTCCAACGTTTCATGTTTTATGCGCCGATTTGTGCTTCTATATGCTATGGTTTGCTGGCACTGGAGTTTATTGGAATTCAATTTATGTGGGGGAAAGGGTTGATCATCTAGTCAATGGAGAACTTCGACCTGATTGTCCAGCCGGATCGCCTTCTTATGGTCTTTAACTCGTGCATTCGTATATCTCTTACCTCCACTAAATTGGAGAGAATACGTTCGATGGGGATTAATGAATCAAAAATAAAACAGCTCACTTTACTGGACTGGATTTTCGCGGGATATGTATAGAATAGGAGTTCCAGGAGCACTCATATCCACTACTGAATCATAACTATTAGCTTTGACCAACATAGATAGAAATTGCCTTGAGGGCAGGCCATCTTAGGAGAGCATTTCTAATGAGAAATCCGGATTCCAAAATATATCCACACGCCCCTGAAGATCCCGTCATGTTACACATGCGGCTTTACTGCATCTCCATGAGTTCGATTCGAAATCACACCCTGTTTGTCGTACCGTAGCACATGCCAGCCTGCCAGGCTTTCTGAAGGCATCGAACAACGGATGCAAACAATTTCTAGAGAGAAATGTACTTTCAAGTTGCACATGTGCTATCGTCCATGCCGAATTGGAAGAAAGTGAGAAGCTGACGGGTAGTAAAAGCCACCTCTCCAGGCATCGCCAGCGTCGAGCCTGCCCGCAACGAGCTGGCCGCTGCTCCGTCTTTGTCATACCAGATAGATCCATATCCTATCTTGAGACGTCCGCAGGAGATTGTATGAAGATCTCAAATCTAGTCGATCGTGCTCCGACGGAAATACCGAAGCCCTGGGTATGGCGCGATTCAGGTCAGCTGGTTTTTGTATCACAGGCCAATGCCATTTCTGCTGTTAAGAGAAGAGCTTCAGATAATTCACACGAAGCATGCCTTTGCCCTGTTTATGTCCTTGTGCAGATCCAGGGCAGCTGAGACGTGCAGAATTGACGTGCTGTTCCTGCGATAAGGCTGCCTAGGCTGAAGGCAGCTCAGTCGCCATCATCAACACATATGCACTCCACATGAGCTTATCTATACACAACATGTCAATGAGGGGAGTAAGGTCCAGCACAGAGTACGGAGTAGACGATAGTTTGTATTTTCCTCATTAACTGGGCAGAAAGTGTATCTGGTTAGTTAGTTAAGTGACAGACAAAAATCATCGTTGTCAATGTTTAGGCAGTTAAGCTTTCACACCGAAAGAAGGGGGAAAATAAAAAATAAAAAGTGGATAAACATAATAAATTTCTTTTAATGTTAAGGAATCTCCAAGTTGGTTTGACAAAGCATCTCGGCTCACCAGTTCTGGCGACTCACATATACTGAGTACAGTCCATCAAATAACGGTGGCTTTCAATTTTCAAGTGATTCCTTGCATAGAATCGAAGCTCTGAAATTTGCCACATACGAAAACCATCACCCTTGTACTCCGTACGGAGTACGGAGTACGGAGTTCATATAAATCACAAACGCCTTGGCCAAAGGGTTCTGCGTTCCACCCTATATCTACGAATCACTGCCCTTTTCTCCTCTTCTGGAGTCTGAGTGGTTGAGACAAGATCCATTTGCATACTTACGAGCGCCCCACTATGGGCCTTTTGCAGTCCTCCTCTAAGTCTGTCACGCCAGCTTGAATATTGTTCGTGATGCCCCAAGTTTCCCGTGCTCGATTTGTAATGCTGTATGTCAACATTTCGGGCGTTCCATGGTTAACTTCGTCGGGTCGGCACGATGCGGAGAATTTCGTCCAAGTTAGGTTTAACTATAGACTGAAGAGTGGCCAGACTTCGGGCGTGCAGCTTTGTCAAAGTCTATAGGATTGAGCCGAAGCACCTTTGGTCGCGAAGTTCGTTCTTTGGCAAGCGGATTCTAGCCTATTGAAATGCCGAGTTTGAGGTGAGAGGACAAAAATCTGGAATGAGGGCAAGTACGGCAAGTTTGATGCGATGTGATCGCCACTCACATGACTTTCCAACGTCGGCGGTGTGTCGTTGGAAGTGAGAGTTGGACGTCACCTCTCCTGCTGTATGGTTTGATCCCTAATTTTCCAGAGCCGCGGGCATTGGGTGAAAGTGGTGGGCACCCTTGCTCAACCTCAAAGCCAGCGACCAATCCTGAGTCCGATGCTGGACGGCGGCAAACACAAGGCCCGGAGCCCTTTCCACGCTGCCGCTAATCGAGGGCCCAGCCCTCGCATTGAGGGCAGATTTTCAGCTCGCTCCGTTGAGCAACCTGCAGGCCCTACTCACCCACTCAAAAGACTCAAAGCACCATAGGTCTACACGACTGGGTCCTCCCCTGAAGATTTTCTCGTGACTCGGACTCAGAAACGGCAACTCATTCCCCTGCCGAATCCTTACGGCTCAAAGGCCGTTGACTAACCTGTTAGCGGCACCAATCCCCTAGTCCCTCATACTAACCATCGGTATACATCTACGAATGATTCGAGCAGTCCTCAGATCCTCCAGTCATTGCCTGTTCCTCTCCGTCCACTGAGAGCGCAGTCAAAGGCGCGACGGACGGGACGGATACCCACCCTATGCGTACCCCTTTAGCAAGCCGAGTCCGGAGAGACTCTAAAAAAGAGGACAAATGGCACTTGATTACTTCTTCATTCTACGTGCTCCCACTGTTGCCCGGCGCTGCACGAGGGATATCTACGCTGAGAATCTCTCGGGCTGCATGAGAAGGCCGTTGACGTGGCCGTATCGCTTTCTTCCGACAGATGCTAACGCCAGATAACCACCGCCACGGCCGGGTTTAGCCACACGCTCTCTGCCCAGCGCCCCGCCGTGTGGCGAAGTTCGCCTGTGCAAGCAGGTCACCGTCTGCAGCAGGCGGATTGCTTCTACGAATTTCGCACTTTTTCTTTTACTGTGCCGCAAGTTTGCTGGTTTTCTATGCTTTCTTTGACTACATATCCGTTTCACACCCCCTCTTTTTTTTGGTCTTTTTTATTATTGTTGAGGGTTGGCTTTGTGGTGTTGATCATCTTACTTCGAGAAGTTTACTATGTGACTCTGTTCAACCGTGCAGCTCCCCTCCAGCTTGCCTCCTGTCTCCATTTGCACATATCCGTTTGTATTCTTTTCCTGGCTGGTTACACAGGCTTATTTTATATTTAAAAAGAAAAGGGATTGATTTTTTTTTCTTTTAAAAAAAAAAAAAATAATATTTGTCTAGGGTAAGTGAGCAGGAGAAACGGGGCACAATTTCCGAAACCCTCATGATGAGCTCACACCTGTTTTGATTCCCTAGCCGGATGTCCCCTTTAGCCGGTCCTTTACTCTTCTGTCGTGATGTTTTCGAGTCTTTTTAATACTCTTGCTTCTCAAAAAGCCCTGAACGCAGAAAGCTCGCCGATGTCCTCGGAAAAGTTCACACCATGTCCTCCCGCATCTCCAGTCGAGTGGGCGCACACCCTGCGGCGGAGTTTTCAATCTCGCGGCTTTCGAGAATACCAACCGCATCTAATACTGGCACCGCAGCCCCGAGAACGCAGATTCCCAAAGCCGTGCCTTTAAACTCCAAGAGCGGGAGGGGTGTTAGTGCATCAGAAAGCGCAGAGTCCGGGCTTAATGCGCAATCTGTTGACCCGAAAATGCCTACCGGCCCGCCTCATACTTTAGTCCTAGATGTTCCGCCGCTACCGCGCACAGCATATTCATCATCAAATAACAAGGTGACGGTGCAATCTCAATTGGCTTCTCCGGCTTTGACTTCGTCGGTATCTCAGAAACCAACCCTATCAAGAAAGCCTCCGTCGATTGAACGGTATGTCGAGCGGAGTAAGTCACGATTGCCTTCTCTGAAACGTTTACCGGGTATCGAAAAAGGAAATACAGAGGGATTTTCGAAATCATCGACCAAGACACACATACAACAAGCACAAACGCAACCCCCGGTAACACCTGTTGAAACCCGAATCGATACCAATCCTCCTGTTATTCCTGAGTTTTCCGGTCTTTCAACGAGTATAGGGCCTTTACACCTTCCCCCTCCAACTTCCAACTTCACTAGCAGCCCTTCAACCAGATGTTCAGACTCACCGGGGCCTTGGAGTAGCAGGACATCCACCCCCACGTCATTATCCTCCTACTCACCTGGACTCACCCACCCCTCCAAGATTGGATCTCGTCTAAGACAACCCAGTCCATCGCTATTCCGTGTCCATCCCACTCCTTACCATGTGTCTGGCGCATCTTATCCGGGCGCGACGAAAGATGCCCCCTCTTTTCCAAAATCTCCTCAACGAGCCCAAACGGAACCAGCTCAAATAACAGGGTCGAAACTCCCAACAAAACACCATCTTCAACCGGCAAATAAGGTGAAAACTGAAGCACTGCGTTGCCCTTCGCCATCTCCGACGCCCGCCTCTAAGGGACCGGTACCGAAACCATATAGTAAGGTGGATGTTGCAACCTATAGACAAGAGAATATGAACGCTGAAGCGCGGAATAAATATCTTCAGAAGGTTAGCAAAGTCGAGGATGTTCGTATACCTCCATCCAAACCTCCAGCGAGACCTACACGCACAGGTACCGAGGGCCTAGGACTCCAATCCTCTCCGGTTATTCACAGCAACCTTTCCTCATCGAAGCTGGCTGGACACAAGCGCCAAGATTCTGCGGAGGGCGGTTTTCGATTTAAAGCAGTAGGAAACGCAGTGTCTCGAGATATGTCAACCGACTCCTTGCAACCAAAAACCTCGTCTCGGATCCCCCACCTTTCTCCTTCACCTAATACATTTGATAGGACTGATTCTCGTTCCCCTACTCCTAGGCATTCGAGCCGCTCGGTCTCAAGGAAAAGGTCAGTCCTTGTCAAAGAGCCCAAGGAAAAGGACGTCAAAGCGGAGGCCACTGATAGTGGAGGGAGACGTTTTGGTTTCTTTTCAAAGAAGTCGAGGGCGTCCCCTGAGCCATCTCGGTTAGAACAGGCGGACAGGCAAGCCCGCAGGGGACCTGCCGCTGGTACTGGACACGAAGGGTATGGGAGATATGCTCAGCGTGGACGAAGGACCAGCATAGGAAGCAATGCGAGCCGCGCCGGTTCTACAAGCACCAATGGCTCCTTGGGTATCGCCAGTCGAACACATGCTGATATTGACGACTTCCTGTTGGATCGCTTGGAACCGGTAATAATCACAGGTGGTGGAATGGATTGTGCGAACTTGACTCGAACCCGCAGTGAACAGAGCATTGGTGTATTAAGTGTCGCGTCAACTGCAAGTTCAAGCACACCTCGACAATCTACGAAGTTTTATGGTCAGTTTCCAGAGTCTCTCCTTTCCTCGACCGGACGCTTGGTCCATTCCCCGGAGCCCATGAGTGCTATATCGACCACATCTCTTTCTACGGCGCAAGGTGACTATAATTCGAAGTCGACCACCGAAAAACGCCTCTCATTTCGCAAACGTAGCTTTTTCAGTAAGGGTAATACTAATGAGCCTCTATCCATTCCTCCGGAAGTTTCGAGGTTAGCACCACCCATTGACGTTCCCAACGCTCATCGCTCGTCGATGTCACAACCTGATGTATCTGCTTTGGCAAAAGAAGACGAAGGGAAGGACATCAAGGTGCTGAAGAAACTGCAAAAGCCTGGAAAGTGGAATTTTTTCCAGAGAAGCCATCAGCTACGCCGAAAGGACCATTTTACTGAAACCGATCTTGCATCTATTACAAAAATTCCAGTGTCGGTGTCCAATATTCCCGCTTCACGGACAGTGCCTCATTATGCCCTTCTGGATAGTGACTCCGTCGAATCAGATGCTCTTGAGAATATTCTTAACCATATAGAAGAATCTCCGCAATCAGAGGAGGAATTTCATAATATTTCAGCTAAAATGGATCTCAAAAGGCAACAATCGGTCTTACTTCCTGCACCGCCTGTCGGCCTGACCGAATATACATCTGATAGACGTCCATCATCGCCCAGGGTATTTTTTGACAAGGATGTATCCACTGTTATGCCAGAAACAATGCCCAAATCGAGTGGGTCAACACGCCTCAAATCGGTGGGCAGAATACCTGCAGTGGTACCTAGAGGAAACAGGCAACATAAGCCTCCGCCGCAGTCGTTTTCTCGTCCGTTTAGTCGAGCCGATATGCCGTCGATCGCAGCAAGGTCAGATGTCAAGCCTAGTACGCCTCATCACAATATGTCATTCTCTTCTATGCCAGCCCCAGTTCCACAGCCAGCAGTGTGTGAAACATTAGACACTTCCAAGTTCTCTTCTCTTCCCGGCATCGGATATTCACAGGGCTTACCTACCACCTACCCTGAATTTTTGGTTCTCTCCCCGAGAAAAAATTCTGAAATTTCCGAAACTAGTACTGAAAGCCTCAAAAGCCTCAAGGCCATAACCGCCATCATGCCTATCCCGGGATCTAAGTTAACAGAAGATGAAGTCTGGGACGAATATGACGATTTCATCGATAAAGTTCTGATTTCTCCTCCGCAAGAGGTGAAAGGCATTTATTCCCCTCGAAATTCTTTCAGGATGGCCACACGAGCGAGTAAAGCACTTCAGGCAGGCTTGAACGCGGCCACAATGAATTCGAGGTTGTCATATCAGTCAGACTGTTCTTCAGCAAGCACACAAACCTCTGTGCACCTAAGCCGCTCCATGATACTCTCGGGATTGCACTCGTCCTCCATTGCTCCGTCCACCCCTGTTTCTCTCAGCGAATTGTATTCTGACTATGCTGAAAGCGATAAGAGCGTCATTGATTCGGCAATACTGGATGTTCCACCTCTCGGAGCTTCCAAATGTGTTCAAGCCTCGGGGGGCGATAAAGCGCAAACAAAAGAGCTTGATCGTCGGAAGAACGCTGCTCTCCTAGATCTCACGGAGCGTGAACGACTTGGTGCTCTTGCACAAGCAAACTTGCGTTCGGGATCCTTGATGACTAGTCGCTGGTTATCATTTGGTCGGGTGCTTTTCAGTCCTGCACAGAATCACGTCCGGACTGAGGACCAGTCTCGCATCCTTGTCATTGATGGCCTTGGTAACGATGATTGGTCTTTTTACTGTTCCTTAACTTACCCAAAAGCCACGGTTTACAATCTTAGTGTTCTGCCTTGTGGTCCAACCAGCAGCAATCCCGCTGCTTGGGATCCTCCGGCCAACCATCGCTCTGTTCACCACGCCAATTTTGAAAATCCGTTCCCTTTTCCTAAAGGATTTTTCACTGTTGCAATATTGCGCTTTCCGGGGGCGTGCTCGGAAGTTGGGTTGAAAAATGCAATTTTTGAGTGCAAGCGCGTTCTTCGCACTGGTGGTTACTTAGAGATGAGCATCCTAGACCTGGACATGGTCAATATGGGAAGTCGAACTCGAAAGGCAGTCCGAAATCTTAAGGAGCGTATGTTTTCCGCCGATTCTAGCGTCAGTCTCAAGCTAGCTAGTGACAATATTCAGCGGCTGCTTGGAAAACGAGGATTTCAGAACCTCAACCGTTGCACAGTTGTGGTTCCTGTTGCAGGTACAATAATGAAATCCTCGGATACATCGAATTCTAGCCGCTCAACAGCTCCTAACAGCATGGATACCCCTAACGACTCGCTTCCGCCTCGTTCAGCGTCTACAATATCGGAAAGTCAAAGCCGTATAAGACCTCCTTCAGACGATGTCAATGTCTCTCTTGGCGATCTTCTATCAGATCCATCGCCATCGGCTGCAAATGATGAAGATATCGCCAAGATGGTTGCCAAAGTTGGACGCTGGTGGTACACTCGCTGTTATGAGACGTCTGTACTGCCAGAGGGAAATCTCGATGGCAGCATTTGGGCAGATCATCGGCTTTTGCGTGAGTGTCAAAGACGTGGCACTGGATTCAAGTTATTGATTGCCTATGCCCAAAAGCCGAGCGAAGTGACACGACGGACAGTGAGTGTGTAAAACTGACCGCAACTATCGATTTCCCCTGACCAGCATCATTCTCTTTCATACGGAGTATTGGTTAAATGGGCTTTCATGCCGTATTACGATTTTCTACGACGTTTATGATTTGCATGACGTGAACGACGAAAGATTAACACCAGAATTTTCTTTATATAACGCCTTCTACTTGGGTCTTATGAAATTAAGACTATATCGAGTACCTAGATTGCACGTGCCATAGTGCCTGTGTTAGACACCATGGTTTTACTGTTGCTTTTTACTATGTTCCTCTTTTCCCTTTTTGTTTCTCTTCCCAAGGCTGGTCCGTTCAATTTGAAATAATTCTTCTCTTTTTTTAACATGCATCTTATCGTGTTAGCTATGATGGATTGGACTGGATTTGTTCTTTTTAGCATATGGGCGGCAAGCGGTTGAAATTTGGATTGTATCCTAGTTGGTTTCTCTTGTTCTTGTTGTACTTTTATCTTCCTTGGGGCTATAGCTGTACTCGGAGGGCTCTCCAAATCGCTAACTGTCAGGGTGCTATGTATGTTACTCGGCCCTACGCCGCATGATTTCGCTTCAGCGTATGCTTCCTAGTTGTTGGCAATAAACCAAGAATTTAGTTAATGCATAATTATTCTTTGGATTTATTCTCTCCTTGAGACTGGTGACCAGGTTACAAGTGGATCATTTACTATCCGCTAGTTACTCCAGATGCAGTTTTCTATTCATATCCGAGGAACTTTTCTCCGGGGCGCCCCTTTTCGCTTAACTTCTCGCCAGTGGTTTAATTAACAGTTATTAATAGATGGCACTAACTAGTTACAGAGTAGTGAGTTAACCACTTAACTAACAAGTTAATTGATGACCCTGGCTGGACCCCTGAAGGAACTTGTTAATTGATGTTAATTATGGATAATTAATTTCGAAAGCCGAAACTTAACTGCCCCACCTGAACCTTAATATGCCCACTAAAGCCAGGCAAAGAAGCTGTGGGGAAAAGTAAAACTATCTCCCTGGTCAAGCATGCAGGGAGTGGCATAATGCTCGTGATTTGCTCTGATTGAGCTTTTCAGGGAACGAGGGATAATTCCGGAGCTCGCAATATTGTGTAGAAAACAAGAGCTCAATGATGTTGAGAGAATAAGGAACGCGGGTGAAAGAGCAAGCTAAACTTTTGTGTCTTCGAGTAACTACTGCCTGATGGCAGGTAAAGGCATGATCCATGTATTTCCAAACATGCAGATATGTATGTACAAAGAAACCCAAGTATAAACTTCGAAACTATGTACCGAGTAGTAATTTCGCATTCTTAATCCCTCATAAAGAAATCAAACCTCCTAGTCTATTGTATTCCGTAAAGTTGCGATTGGCTAAAAGGCCTCACCCATACATCCAATATTGTGCGAGATATTTGACTTCGAAACGGCCAGGCATATTCCTGCAAGTGGCGGGTGCTTTTCCTGACGTAGTTTTCACACGATAGACAGTCTAGCATAACGTTAGTAAAGTGAATGTTGAGAAGCAGCCAGACAAATAAGCATCAACAGAAATTGTCTAGTTTTTTCTTTTCCTTGCCTTGAACGTACCTCAATCCCAGATCCATCCACGCGATCGAGCTTTAGCCAGTCGACATCAATGTTCCGTGGAGCAGGAACTTTCGCAGCCACTGAAACATAAGCGTAGTCCTGCTGGCCAACTTGGCGTAGATCGAACATGGGAACACTACCAGCAAAGTAGTGATGGCCCATCAGATCAATGTTGAGGTATTTGGATATCATATGATTGAGAATTTTCGTAGGAAGCCTGACGGCCAGACGTGCAAACATATCCAACAACAGCGAGTGCTTTGTAACGAGACAGGAAGCATCGTAAAGCGTAGCGACCGCGCCCACCAGTGATGGTGTCTCGAGATTTTCGCAAGTATAGTTCTGGGTCCCGACGCCGAGAGTTATGTATTTGAGCTCCAGTTTGGAGGCGGGGACGGGTAGTTCTGAGCCATTGCCGGTATCGGGCAACACTGTTTTGAATATATTGCAGCCCGAAGCTTGACCCTGGCGGCGGATGCTGTTTAAAACATTTCCGGCAGCTGATGCGGACATGGATAATCCGGAGTCGATTGGGGCGCACGCGACACCCAAGATGAGAAGCGAGTAAGGTAGGAGGCTAGAAAGATACATTGTGATTGAACTTGCTTGGAGAAAGTAAAAGTGACAAGAGGTACAAATTGTAGAACGTGATGGTAGATGAGGAAAACAGGACGGGGGCCTTGCGGATTAAGATAAAAGTCTGGCACGACTTCTCTCGCTGAAGTCAATCATTCTCTGAGGGCATAGCTCCGGACTGCTTGCAAGAATATATAACGGTTGGTTTTGGCATAGGAATTTGCCCAGACCTGCCTCGTCAAGACCTTCGAGATTCGGTGCATCGGTAGGGTCTTCTCTGTCCTGGTTCGTCAAGGGAGCGATTCTAAATTCAACCACAGTATGTGGAGCGATAAGAAAAGAAATCATAATAATAGAGTCTTTTTTTTCCTGCCAGCATTCATTCAACTTGCAGAATCCACTAGCAGGGGTAACTATATTTTAGCATGGGTGCGATATCCTTGCCTCCTGTTGGGCGGCTAGAGAGACCACCAGATAACATTGGCCACTCCACGAAATGCGGCGCTTAACGCCTTTTATTGAAGGATGAGTTGTCGAGTGTGAGGAGAGTCTCAATGAAATCAGCCAGGGCTCACTGATGACTTCACCTGACAACAGAATCAGGGAGCTGAGTCCGAGGCCGATAGTTCATCCCCGGAGTAGACATGTCAAAAACGCCTGGCTCCAACAGGATTGTTAACATAATGGCTCAATTATTAGGAGCTAATCTTGATAGCAAGGAAATAATGGGCGCATCAACAGTGAACCAACAATATCGAACCTTGAGGATCTCCATTGCAGGGAAAATCCACGGCAGCCATGCCATTCTCGAAACCTTCTCTTGCTGGCAGTGATTGTCGACTCCAGCCTTGTGTAGCTTCGGACAGATCCCAACTTATCGGTGCACGGGATGGATGATTGTCTGATTGGATGCGCCATCTCATTGAGGACCCTTATTGGTCCAGTAGCTGGCTGTGCAGGAGGAGACTGTTCAAATAACTATGCAGCGGTGATGGAGGTTTGAGAGAAGATATCTCTCAATATCTTCTGCCTCACCGACGGAAACTTTCGAGTGCGGAGTGTCACAGAGAGACTCTGAGACCAGAGCTACTCCGGCAGTTTGTTGACTAGTTAGTTAGCCCCATAGTTAACCCCTCTCCCTCGTTATATCCACAGCAAGTTTAGACGTTGCCAACTGAAAGCTGTCTGTGTGTACGGAGTACGGAGTATGGAGTACGGAAATTGTTTATTCGGCACGAATTATTCGGTTACTCGTACTGCAGTGAAAGAATTGTGTATTCCGCACGTTTGCAATCGTATTCCTTGAGTCCTCCTCTTGAGAAATTCGAACAACACTCCCGAAGAAACGCGATTGCGACGCCGCACACTGGCAACTCTCCTGCAGGCGGACGGGCACCGCCCGACGCCCCTTATCGCGGATCAGTTATTTTCCGTCGGGAACCGGAGCCACAAACTTCCGGTGCGAACTCTTCACGTGATAAAGAGGCTGGTTGATTAATAAGCAACCCATAAACTTTCCCCGTTGAACGTCAATCTCAAAATGCGACGAGCTGACAGATGCATTCAGCCTTTCATCCATCGAACATCAAGACAGAAAAGGGTACAGGCCAGCTTCCCATTGCCTGTAACGGATACTCTTTCTCATCTATGCCACCCACCTTTCTTTTGCCCTCGGTGAGCCCCAAAATACCCAGTCGCCACCATGTCAGACGGTACGCCTAATCAACTTATGGCCCCTTGCACCGCGCCACTGACATTGTCGCGTCTAGCTGAATTTGATGCCATCAAACGGCTGCAGGCTGAGCGCAATGCTGCAGCCGCGGCAAAGAAAGGTTCAAAGACTTTTGATCCGTCCAACCAGCGGACTGACTTTTCCACCAAGGCTTCTCTGACCGAATCCTTCGACACCACCCTCTATGATCGAAACGGAGCCGATAAATATGCCGGTTATAACACCTCTATCGCCGTTGATGGTGAGGATGATGAAATGCCAGATGCAGATGCCGACCAGAGCCGTAGGCTTATCGGTCAGTATACCGCAAGCAAAGACCAGCTGAATGAGTTCGCAAGTGGGAAGGGTGTTGAAGAAGAAGATATTCTATTGGGCCGTGAGAAGTCCGCCAGGGTATCCGAGCGAGAGAGTGAATATCAGAAACGACGCTTTAATCGTGCTCTCACTCCAACGCGGGCCGACCCATTTGCGGAAAATGCCAATGCAAATGTTGAGGCAGAAGGCCATACTTATCGCGACATCATGGCACTTCGAGAACTCGAGAAGGAAGAAGAACGCGTGAAGAAGATCATTGCTGAAAAACAAGTCAAGGGAGAAGATGGCATTGTGGAGCATGAGGCCACCTTAAAAATCGACGAGGGGGACAAAGAAAATCGAGAGTTAGGTTCTGTATCGGTTACGGCTGGTAGAAAGAGGAAACAGAGATGGGACGTAACATCTGAGTCTCCCGCTGCAACAGAAACTACTGAAGCTGCTGACGCCAAGCCCAAGCGCTCAAGATGGGACCAGACACCTGCCCCTGCCGCCCCTACAGAAGCCCCCAAACGAAGGTCGAGGTGGGATCAAGCTCCGTCACTTACAGCAGCTACGCCCATCGGCCATCAAGGTCTCTCGACACCCATGCACCCTTCACAGGCACCCGTTCCAATGACACCTATAACCTTTGGCTCCGATATAACTGGTCGAAATGCACCCCTATCGGACGAGGAACTAGATATGATGCTTCCCTCCGAGGGATATAAGATTCTCGAACCACCTCCTGGATATGCTCCGCTTCGAACTCCTGCCCGCAAGATGATGGCCACTCCAGCGCCTGTTGCTAGCGCAAGCGGGATCGGTGGTTTCATGATGCAAGAACCAGAAAACGCTCGCCTTATGAGCAAGCAATTACCCACCGATATCCCCGGAGTGGGCGACTTGCAGTTTTTCAAGGCTGAGGATATGCAATACTTCGGAAAACTTGTTGACGGAGCTGATGAGAATTCAATGTCCGTCGAGGAGCTCAAAGAGAGGAAGATTATGAGGCTATTGCTAAAAGTCAAAAATGGTACTCCGCCAATGCGGAAAACCGCTTTGCGTCAGCTTACAGATAACGCACGACAGTTCGGGGCAGGTCCTCTTTTCAACCAGATTCTGCCACTGCTGATGGAGAAAACACTGGAGGATCAGGAACGGCATTTGCTTGTCAAAGTCATTGATCGTGTGTTGTACAAGCTTGATGATCTTGTGCGACCGTATGTCCACAAAATCCTTGTCGTCATCGAACCGCTCCTCATCGACCAGGACTATTACGCCCGTGTCGAAGGTAGAGAAATTATCTCAAATCTCAGTAAAGCGGCAGGCCTTGCTCACATGATTAGTACCATGCGCCCCGATATCGACCACGTTGATGAGTATGTACGGAACACCACTGCACGAGCTTTCGCTGTGGTCGCATCCGCCCTCGGTATTCCAGCCTTACTTCCATTCCTAAGGGCCGTTTGTCGGAGCAAAAAATCGTGGCAAGCTAGGCACACTGGTGTCAAAATTGTACAGCAGATTCCCATTCTTATGGGCTGTGCTGTCTTGCCTCATTTGCAGGGCTTAGTAGACTGTATTGGGCCGAATCTCAGTGATGAACAGGCCAAGGTGCGGACGGTGACCAGTTTGGCAATTGCTGCACTTGCAGAAGCTGCCAATCCTTATGGTATTGAGAGTTTCCAGGACATTCTTGGGCCACTATGGATGGGTGCGCGTAAACAACGCGGCAAGGGCCTTGCCGGTTTCCTCAAGGCCGTTGGCTACATCATTCCTCTTATGGATGAAGAGGGTGCGAATTACTTTACTAGCCAGATCATGGAAATTATCCTTCGCGAGTTCTCTTCTCCAGATGAAGAGATGAAGAAGGTTGTTTTGAAAGTCGTATCTCAATGCGCCGGTACAGACGGTGTTACAGCAGCATATCTGAAAGAGCACGTACTCCAGGATTTCTTCAAATGCTTCTGGGTCAGACGTATGGCTCTTGACAGAAGGAATTTTCGCCAAGTTGTGGAAACCACTGTTGATCTCGGCCAGAAAGTGGGCGTTAGCGAGATTTTAGAAAAGATCGTCAACAACCTCAAGGACGAAAGCGAAGCATATCGAAAAATGACAATCGAAACGATTGAGAAGCTCATAGCTTCACTCGGAGCTGCAGATATCGGTGAACGATTAGAGGAAAGGCTGATCGACGGTGTCCTTTTCGCATTTCAAGAACAAAGTGTGGAAGATATTGTGATTTTGAATGGATTTGGAACCGTTGTAAATGCCCTTGGAACTCGCTGCAAACCTTACCTTCCTCAAATTGTTAGCACTATTCTATGGCGACTGAACAACAAGTCCGCAACTGTGCGACAGCAGGCAGCAGACCTTATCTCTCGCATCGCGATGGTCATGAAGCAATGCGGAGAGGATGCTTTGATGGGCAAACTTGGTACTTTCCTCTACGAATATCTTGGTGAAGAATATCCTGAGGTGCTTGGTTCCATCCTTGGCGCATTGCGTTCTATTGTCACTGTTGTTGGCATCAACCAGATGCAGCCTCCGATTCGAGACCTTCTGCCACGCCTTACACCTATCCTGCGAAATCGGCATGAAAAGGTTCAAGAAAACACAATTGATCTTGTTGGTCGTATTGCCGATAGAGGCCCCGAATCAGTCAACGCCCGTGAATGGATGCGTATTTGCTTCGAACTGCTTGATATGCTTAAAGCCCACAAGAAAGGCATTCGCCGGGCCGCCAACAACACATTTGGTTTTATTGCAAAAGCAATCGGGCCACAAGACGTTTTGGCTACGTTGCTCAACAACCTGCGGGTCCAAGAACGTCAGTCGCGCGTCTGCACAGCCGTTGCTATTGGTATAGTTGCCGAAACTTGCGCACCTTTTACAGTCTTGCCCGCTCTTATGAACGAGTATCGAGTGCCTGAACTGAATGTGCAAAATGGTGTGCTTAAAGCCATGTCATTCCTCTTCGAGTATATCGGCGAGATGGCGAAAGATTACGTCTACGCCGTCACACCGCTTCTTGAAGACGCTCTCATCGATCGTGACCAGGTTCATCGACAAACAGCAGCCAGTGTTGTTAAGCATATCGCACTTGGGGTCGTGGGCTTAGGGTGCGAAGACGCAATGGTTCATCTCCTCAACCTTCTCTATCCCAACCTTTTCGAGACCAGTCCGCACGTCATCGATCGTATCATCGAGGCTATTGAAGCAATTCGTATGGCGGTCGGTACGGGTATTGTGATGAACTATGTCTGGGCTGGACTATTCCACCCTGCACGTAAAGTGCGAACTCCATACTGGAGGCTGTACAATGATGCCTACGTTCAGGGCGCGGATTCTATGATTCCATATTATCCGCACCTACCAGATGAAGGCGTGCCGAGAGATGAATTAGCGATTGTACTTTGATTTTCTCCCGAGGAGGTTCATTATTTTTATTTTGACAATTATGTTCGAGTTTAACTTTTGGGATAAATACAGATCGTCGCGCATTCCTTCATACGCTTTGTTACTGCTCCGTCATGGCAGCTCGGCGTATCCACACATGTACCTATAATATGGATTGATTCATCTAAATCGCTTTTACACTTCGTATTCAAAGAATGGGCCGATATGCATTCGAGCACCACAGTCCAGTTGCATACTATATATATATGGAAACAGTGACGCAGTCATCTACAGTTATCTCGTAAAAATCGTACAAGGCCAACATATATTATGTTTCAGGACCCTAGAGCTCCAATTACACTCACTAACCATCAAGACCTCAAAGGGTATACTTAAAGTAAGGGTTCTTATCTCCCAGATCCTTACACTCAGCATCCAAATCCCTCCCCTCTCTCTCCGCCTGCTCCACCAGCGAAGCTTTCTGGGCATTCCATCTCCGAATACAGAATAACAGTGCCCATCCGCTCAAGAATGCACAGGCGGTAACTGAAAATAGCACCGAGTAGGCGGTCATATATTTTGGTTTCTCTTTAACCAGGAATATATTCGAACCCACGGTTCCGCCCACGAGATTTCCCAGGGTAAACTGGAGGGCCATTCCGACGGCGCGCTTCCATTGTCCCGCGAGGTTGTTGGAGGTCCATGCGACGGTGGTGGGGATACCGGAGAAGATACCACCGGCAACCAGGAAGAGGGCAAAGTAAATGACACCAGGAAGTTTGGTGGGATCGACGGCCATGCCGATAATAAGCCCTATCATTGTCATTCCCATGGGGGCGATGATGAAGGCGGCGCGGTGCTTGTAGCGATCTGACAGGACTGAGTTGAGGACGCAGATGATACAGCCAAAGGCGTAGACGGGAATGGTGAGAAGTTGAGCGTTGGCAGCGCTGTAGCCGAGGAGGTTAATCATGGTAGGGAGAGAGTATGAGAGCGCATATGTGCAGATGCAGATGGCTCCAAATATGATCTGAAAACTGGGTCAGCTCTGAGAATATTTGATGTGTAGAGACAAGTTCCACTGAGAGTATAAAAGTATATTAGACATACAGTTCCTATGTAGACCTTAGCATCAGTGAAACCTTGGATAAGATACTTCCATTCAAAGCCTCCCTCCTTGTAACCTTTGTCGTGGCCGTCAAACTGCAATCGTAGCTCCAAGAATCGTGCTTCTTCTGGCGAAAGCCACTTTGCCGAACCGGGTGAGTCTGGAATGAAGAAATAGCAAATGGAGGCAACAACACAAGTGGCAATGCCTTCAAGAATAAAAAGCCATCTAAGAAGTGAACATTAGCCAGAGTTGATCAAAGATTTCGTTAGGATATCAAAAACGGCTCGTACCTCCAGCCACTGTAGCCGCGAACGCCTGCCATGTTACCGATAGCAAAAGCAAGAAGCCCAGAAAAGGCACCAGAGAGTGATGCTGCAGAATAGAAAAGGGCGACACGATACTGGACCTCAAACCTCTTGTACCAGGCGGTAGTAATGAAAGTACAGCCTGGGAAGAGACCGGCTTCGAACACTCCAAGAAAGAAACGACATGCCAGGAGTGCAGAATAATTTTGGCAGAGCCTACCAATCCTTGTTAGAGACCACTAATTCCTGCCAAAAAGCAAATCTTCTCAAATGGGCCAAAGCTCACCCCATGACTGTCATGACAATACCCCATCCGAAGACAATGATTGTCAGCCAAATAGATGGGCGCAGCAACTTGAGCATGATATTGCTTGGAACCTCGAACAAAGCATAAGGGAAAAAGAAGATGGTCAAGCACCTATCGTCCATTAGTATAACGTGCGGAAAGCCCCCCCCAAAAAAAAAATGCTAGAAAATACAGTACCAGGCATATTGCTGAGGACTAAGATTTAGGTCTTTCTCTAAACCCTGAAGCCTTGCATTTCCAATGTTCGATCTATCGATGAAAGCAACAAGATACAAGATCGCCAAGGGGGGCATTAGGCGTATATCAACTCGACGCAGAAGCGACTTGACACGATTCTCGTCGAATTTAGCCTGGAGGTCATGGTACTCCTGAAGCTCTGGTAAAACAAACTCGTCACGTTTCTCGGTGACCTCGCCACCGATCCCGACTTCTGATGATTTGTCCATCTTCTCTGTTATCCAAGGCGCAGTCGCAGGTTGAAGCAAGATCGCTACCCCGTGGGGAAAAACTGGAGGGGCAGAGGCCACCCTATATTTTCCATATATCAGTGCATCCAAACGAGCATAAAGTCCATGGCGCCATCAAGAGCCAGAACTGTGCCCCCTGGCCAGATCGTGTGCATGTGCATGCGCCGCGGAGAGCAACCCTCCGCGACCCGACATCCCCACATTTTCCCCATAGATCCCCACATCGAGGCTGATTAGTAAGGGGGTAGACCCCACGACAGCGGCGAAATCCACAGTCGGAGCGGAGGTCCGTCAATTTGGTTCTTATCTCTTTCCCCGCGGCTAAGAATCACGGGGATCGTGGGGTTCTGCCTGGGCTCCGGGGGTTATCTCGCGAAGGCGCTCCTACATTGTAACTACATGCGAAATACGCCATTCGTAGTGAAGTCAGGAAAGGAGTGAGTCTGTCCGTCCATGAAACCGTAGAGCAGGTCCTCCTGAGCGTAATGGCTGCTGGGCATACTAAATCCCGAGCTGAAAGTATCTCCATGATTTAGATCTCCCGTGACCGGGGACCGCGAGGGAAACATGCGCAAGATAGCATCCAGATCCAGGGAAGAAGGAGAATGGATATCCACGCCCGGTGGATCTATTGAAACAATATTGGTTAAACTCCCTCTCCCTCCATCCAGCCTGGTGAATATGGGAATAACATACCTGACACTAACTGCAACCCATTCGCCGCCATAATCTTGCGAATGATCCTAGCAGGCTTGGAGACTCCAACATTCGGAAGAGAAAGCTCATCCAGGCTGTGCAAACTTGCCGATAGCAGCGACGAATTTTCTCCAGGATTATCTCTCTCAGTCGCAGCCGCGTTGCGGACGTGAATAGTGCATGCCACATAAACGGCATAGCTCATCAGATACGGCGCTCCCCGTAGCGTGTACGTGGCTTGATAAGCAAGAACTATGCTAGTGATGTTTCTAGCGGCTGTGGAACACCGCTTCCATGAACTCGCCGGCGGAACGGCGGACCGAAGGTGGCCATCGGAAATGAATGGCCGATGAAGAAGAATAACCAGCGAATAGTACAAAGCATTTAGAATCATCACGTTGGGGGCAGGTCGAGCCTGTGAGGTCGCAGGATTACCCGACCAAGGCTCAAATTTGAGGTCCCCGGGGAGACTGTCCTTCCACGAGATAAGGGCGTCGTCGATAGACTGAAGGCTCGCTCTTGCATTTGCTGCCGTGGCCCCAACAACGTAAAATCGGTTAATGATTTTGGTCATGATTCTTGATAAGAGGCACAGTTGTTGGAATGTAGATACCGAATGAATCGGGGTGGGAGTGAGCGGAATAGTTGACATATTGTCTGTGGGGAACATCGGGTCAACATATGGCGTCCACAACTCCTTTTCCTCCATCGTGTCCATGAAATTACGTGAAACATGGACATCTCTTAGATGGATTGTCATTGGCCGCCCCAAATACAAACTCTGCAGCTTGTCGCAAATGAAAGCGCCCCAGAACACCCGCCTGCGAATCTCGATATCTTCAGCGTTCGCGGTCGTAGCTTTGTAGTCCAGGTGAAGGCCCAGATCGTATACCATTCGGAGTGCATAGCCAGTGTAGAGCCACCCTTTCGAGGTATCACCACGTGCATTGTAAGTGGATCCCAGCAGAAGCAACCCTACTAGTGTCGCGATGCTTGACGAGTTCAGAAGAGATTGCTCCGCCAAAAGCTGGTCGCAACGCGCGAAAAACCGAAGACCAGACGTGGTAGAATCGACTGGGTTATCTCGGACTTCAATTCTCTGAGAATATTTACTGGAACATGCAAAAATGGCATTGATTAAGAATTCGGAGCAGTACGGCCCACTTTGCATCAAGTCTCTCATGATTGCCGGGCGATACGTAAGGAGAAACGTGTGATGCTGCCTGTTCCAATGCAGATCGAGCAGGTGCTTAGCCAGTTCCAGTGGAACACCAAAGACGTCCTGTCTGTAGCAAAGGTCATGTTCGCGTTGGCGCTGCAGGATTGCGTTTGCAATCAGCTGGTTTCGAACATGCTCGGCAACGGGCGACTCACTGGGAATAACAGGTCGCGTGGGGCCTTGGAGAGCGGATGAAGGGCCAAAGGTGTCTACCTTTCCACCTTCACCGACAGAAAGGAATGGAAGGACGTCGAGATCTTCGTCAGAGGAAATGCCAGCTCCATCGTCGTCAGACTGGTGTCTCTTCCCAGTTCTAGTGGCGCTTTTCGGCTCTTGCAGAACTGCTAGTGCCGGTGAAATTGTTTTCACAACCACATTTCCATCTACGATTGGAATGGATTCCAGAATACCAGCTACTTCGTCTGGCGACGCTCTTTTGAGCCGTAAAACGACATCTTCAAGGGCCCTCTTTTCACCTTGCAATGCATTGACAATAGCGGTGGACGGCCTGGCTCTTTGTCAGCGCAACCTTTTACGGGGAAAACCACACGAGAAAAGGTGGATGGAATGATCGGATTTACCTCCGCTTGGGAACTTCGAGAATATATACGCACTCCTTCTTCTGGTTGATGCATGAACTGCAACTTGGACGCTGAGTGTCGCATTTGATCTTTCTCGCCCGGCAGAACTGGCATGCACGCGCCAGTACCTTGGGCTGGCTAGGCTCTTGGGACTTGGCCATGGTTTGCGGTGGTAGGCATGTCGTCGCTTGCGCCTCGCGGGTTTGAAAGATGGAATGCCGTTCAACGCACGGGTCTGGCGCCCTAAGGTTGCGGTGTCTCATTAGTCACACGCGGGCCAACCGACTCGTTCTCTGGCTCACCAACCCACTCAGCCGGCCAGCGAATCAAAAGCGCAACTTCGTCAGCTTTTAACCAGCGGCCAACTTCGGGATGATCCCATTCCCGGCCGGCATTAGCTACGAGAATTGCAGGAGAAGATCTATGTTCTCCTTTTGTTTCTCCCTTGAAGTTGAACGTCTTAGAAAGTAGGCCCCGTATCGAAAAACACATACGAAGTATATTCAATGCGATTACGGAGCATATGCCATTAATAAAAGCGTATATAATTTTCATTCAATCATCACCGCCGGTTGGATGCTTGGGAAAAAAAAAAAAAAAAAAAAAAAATAATTGAGGAAAACATAGAAACCGAGGATATCCTCAGGCCCAACACCACCATCACAGCTAACAAAAAACGAAGCTATTTTAAACCGCCAATCTTCCACCATCCACAGGTAAATTAACTCCCGTGATAAATGAAGCCTCGTCGCTTGCTAGATAAACAGCTGCATTTGCAACATCCGTCGGCTCCGACATCCGCCTCAGCGGCACCGATTGTGCGAATCTTTCGCGCTCTTCCGGCGTATCGGGGACACCAGAGAACATCTCTAATAATCCAGTCTTTCCGCGAAGAGGGCAGATGGAGTTAAATCGAAGACCTTGGGGCCCATATTCTGCAGCGAGACCTTGTGTGACCTGTGCCATCCTGGACGTTAGCCAGCGTCTTTTACAGGGGGTGGGATGATTGGTGTCGGAAACGGGATCAGGTAGCCGGCATGGCGCAAGCTCAGCAGAAAGAGAGAAAACTCCATACCGTATTCAAAAAGCCCTTTGTGCCGCCATAAAATACCTGGCCAGGTCTTACTCGTGTGCCTGCGACCGACGATGTATTCAAAAACACACCAGACTTCCTCTCGACAAAGTACGGGACCACGGCAGCGACGCTGTGATAGATGCTCTTCACGTTCACGGCAATAATTTTATCAAACTCATCCTCTGTAACCTCAATGCTAGGCTTCTTCCGGTATGTCGTTCCAGCGTTGTTCACGACAATGTCCAGTTTACCGAACTTCTGCTTTGCCAACTCGAGAGCATCTTCCCACGCCTTGCGGCTTGTGCAGTTGAAGTCCACGAAAACTGCACTGCCTCGCGCGGCTCCGGATTTGGCCTCGATGTCCTTCACGACACGGTGGCCGTTCTCGACCGCGATATCTGCGACCAGGACGTGGGCGCCTTCGTCAACGAAGGCGTGCGCGATGGCTTCGCCAAACCCGGAACCCGCACCAGTCACAATAGCAACTTTCCCTTCAAGTCGGCCAACCATTTTGCCCAGTGAAGTAATGGAAGTGTAATGATCCAATGTCGCGGGGCGAATATGCTGAGGAGTAAGGACTTCGGGCCTTTTCTTTTTTTTTTTTTTTTTTTTAAAAAAAAAAAAGAAAAAGTGTCTAGAATTAGCTAGGAAAAGCACCCAAGCGATAGATCAGGAGGTCAGACCAGCCAGCCAGAGCGTTTCTTTTGAAAGCTCCGTTTGCCTTCTGCCTCTCGCCAGCGCTGCGGAACGAATGCATTCGCGATTCCCGCGATCGGGTGTGTTGACCCCGCATAGTGGGGGAACAGCCGTTGATTGCTTCGGCATATTTAGCAGACCCGAATCATCAAAAGAGCTTTGGTGGCAGGTTGCGCCCGTTTGTTTCTCGCTTCTTGGCTACCCGACGGCACATCCAGGGAAACGTGAAGCACAAAAGCGTTTCACGGACGGTGTCCTTGGCGATTCCGTTGCCTTTGCCCGCTACTCGACGGAGTGGAATGCTCCGCAACCTCCACGGCGCAACCTGCGCAACGGACATCTTCATCGCACCGATTGGTCTTAGGCCTCGGCGGAAGATCAAATTGCGATTCGTGCCGCCAGTATGGCCGTCATCGGGACCCCAGGACAGCGCTCTAGATCGCTCAAGGCTTCTCTTCTCGCGAGTAGACGGAACAAATGTTTCCCGGTCTCAGCCTGCCTCATCCAGGTGGAAGACAGACTCCGTACACAATTCCGCTCTCGCCGCCGGGCGAGCGGTGTATGGCCTGACCCAGCAGACTCCGTGACAGGTTTCCGTGCTCTTACCCAGGGCGCATATAACAGCTATTTGTCTTCTTAAAACCATCTCACGCTGGCAACCTGTCTTCAGTGACGGACTCCAAAGTTCACCAAGAATAGAACCATTGCTCTCGGCCTTTCTGCCTCGGTTGCGTGTCCCTCGGATACGGATTGAATCTTACCAATGTCCCTCCCAGTGGACTGCGACGTCCTGGTTGCCGGCAGCGGCAATGCTGGGTTTTCAGCCGCCATATCAGCAGCCGAATCAGGCGCTGGACGAGTTGTTCTGATCGAAAAATCCCCAGAAGAATGGTCTGGCGGCAATTCGTTCTTCACCGCAGGCGCATTCCGTACCGTCCACGGTGGACTCGACGATCTCCTCCCAATCGTGAACAATGTCGATAAAGACACGGCACAGATTACCGATATGGAACCTTACACCTCGAAGAATTTTACGGACGACCTTCTCCGCATGACAGCTAATCGGACAGACGCAGAGCTTAGCAAGATTCTTGTCCAAGATTCAAATTCAGCCGTCAAGTGGCTTGCACATCACGGTGTGAGATTTCAACTATCGTTCAATCGTCAAGCCTACAAAGTCGATGGCCGATACAAGTTTTGGGGAGGGATGTCGCTCAAAACTGAAGATGGTGGAAAGGGCCTTATTCAGGATCATCTGACGGCGGCCCGCCGTCTCGGAGTGACTGTGCTCTATTCAACCCCCTTGAAAGGCATAATCAAGGACCAGAATACTGGAGCCGTTACCGGTGCTCGCGTTGAGCACAACGGCCAGGAGCGAATCGTCAGAGCCAAAGCAGTGATTCTAGCAGCTGGTGGCTTTGAAGCTAACTCACGGATGAGAGCCCAGTATCTCGGCCCTGGGTGGGATCTTGCTCTTGTGCGCGGCACCCCTTTCAACGTCGGTGACTGCCTCGAAACTGCTATTCGTGATGTCTCCGCGAAGCAAGCTGGAAACTGGTCTGGCTGCCATTCTGTCGCCTGGGATGCCAATGCTCCCGCCAATTCTGGCGATCGCGAAATCTCCAATCAGTTCACCAAGTCCGGCTATCCTCTCGGCTTGATGCTCAACTCTGAAGGTGAACGTTTCGTCGATGAGGGCATCGACATGCGTAACTACACCTACGCCAAATTTGGCAGAGCAATCCTCGCACAGCCAGACAACATTGCCTTCCAAATATGGGACCAGCAGACGATCTCGTGGTTACGGCCGGAAGAGTACCGGCCGGAAATTGTTGAGCACATCACCGGCTCTACGATCGAAGAGCTGGCAGAAAAATGCGCCCAGCGCGGCCTACACAATAAGGAGAACTTTGTCAAGACCATTTCGGACTACAATGAAGCAGTCTATCAGAATCGCAGGCAGAATCCGAACGCGAAATGGAACCCTGCAGTCAAAGACAGACTATCTACACAGTCTCGTAACGGAGGACTTGCACTTGCGAAAACGAATTGGGCGCTGCCATTAGATAAGGGCCCTTTCCTTGCAGTCAAGGTGTCTTGCGGCATCACCTTCACTTTTGGTGGATTGGCGGTAAACCCACAAACGGCTGCTGTGATCTCTTCAGCGTCAAACAAGGAGATTCCTGGATTATATTGCGTTGGAGAGATGCTGGGAGGCTTGTTCTATGGCAACTATCCTGGTGGTAGCGGTTTAACTGCCGGTGCCGTGTTTGGCCGGAGAGCTGGAGCAGCTGCTGCTGCAAGAGTTAGTCGGCAGTCCGTGGTGGATAGAGCGAGGTTGTAATAAAAAGAACTGGTTAAATGTTTCAGACATGCTGGGTTTATAATTCTGTTTTAATTCGTTATGTATATAAACTTGCATGGAAGATGTCAGTTGCATATAGACAGAATTCGATCTGCTCTTGAGTTTCGAAAGTGATCCTTACATTTTTACTGGTAGTTTAGCAAACAGTGTGTGACAATGCACCCATGCTTTGAGAACCCCGCGGAGAAATTATTGTCAACAGGATGTATACATCGTGACTTGCAAGAAAAACGGAGAAGTAAATGAGAAACTAGAAGCGCTTTGTTTTTCGATCTGGTGCAGAGTATGTACTGTACATTTCATCAAATACCAACGGTCACACTCTTGATATTTAAATACTCGTCCAGCGCACCCTTTCCTCCTTCTCTTCCCATGCCACTATCCTTGATTCCCCCGAATGGTTGCTCGCATGCACTAATCAAACCCACTCTGCATCCTACCATACCGGATTCCAAGGCCTCACTGACGCGGTACATCCTGCTGATGTCCTCCGTATAAAAGTATGATGCGAGACCCGCATCTACATTATTCGCCATGGCAACGGCCTCTTCCTCGGTTTCAAAAGGAACTAAAAATGCAAGCGGGCCAAATGTCTCTTCCTTCATGAACAACATATCTTTATTGGCATTTGTGACAATGGTTGGCGGGTAGAAATTCGGACCATACTGGGCCTGGAGTTTAGCAGGATCCTCGCCGATAAGCTCACCACCACGTTCGAGAGCGTCTTTGGTTTGCCTGGTGAGCTTATCGAAGGCCTTCGGGGAATAAAGTGGGCCAAAGTTAACGTTACGATCCCAGACAGAGCCGTAGGTGAACGTCTCCCCGAGACGTGTGTGGAGACGGGAAGCAAATTGGGATATTATAGAGGAATGAACAAAGATCCTGTTTGCGCAAACACAAGTTTGACCCGAGGAACGGAATTTCGAAGATATTAGCCCTATACACGACGTTAGGTAAACTCTCACGAGAAATCCGCTGTTACGAGACCTATACTCACCATCGACAGCTTTATCGATATTTGCGTCCTCGAAGATGATGAAGGGTGCATTGCCTCCAAGTTCCATACTCGTTTTCTTAAAGGTCTTGGAACATTCGGTGTGCAGGTATCTACCAATCGCCGTTGACCCCGTAAAGCTAAGGTGACGAATGAGTTTATTAGAGCATAATTCCGCTCCGACAGCGGGAGTAGTCTCAGGACTACTGGTAATAATATTCAGCACGCCCGGTGGTCCACCCGCACGTTCAAAGAGCTTCGCAACTGCAATGGCACAGAGGGGTGTCTCGGGAGCTGGCTTGCAAATGACAGTATTACCGGCAGCAATAGCAGCACCGACCTTCCTCGTCACCATAGCAATGGGAGAGTTCCATGGCGTGATAGCGGCGACGACGCCCTGGGGTTGCTTGATGGTGAAAATTCGATTATTTCCCCTTGCAGCGGGAATTGTCTCTCCGTAGACTCGCTCGATTTCGCCCTCAAACCAGTCCAAGAAATCTGTGCCGTACTTTACTGTAACCAGGGATTCCGTAAATGGCTTCCCCAGCTCCAATGTACAGATGGCGGCAAGATCATCCTTGTTTTCCTTGATCAGGTCTGCCCATCGGCGCATGAGCCATCTCCGTTCGCGGTAGGGAGCGTTCTTGAAGGTCTTAAAGGCTTCGGAGGCGGCATCGATCGCAGCACACACATCGTCGATATCAAGATCGGTAACTTGGCAAACCTCCTTGTTGTCCTCGGGGTCTGCGATTAGCTTGATTAACATTATAACCTGGTTTTCTTCTCAATCGATGGGCACTAACCAAAGACTGGGAATGTTTTTCCGCTCCTAGCCTCGACCCATTTTCCTCCGATAAGGGACCGGGTATCGAGAAGGGAGGGATCTTTAAACTAAGGGTGAAAATACAACAGTCTCAGGTAAGATCTCTGAGCGCATTGAATGTCAGAGCATCGGCGGAACTCACAGTGTAGGGAATCTTCTTGAGCAAACGGTCAGCCATGACTATATCTAGAAAATCGGCAATAAACATGCAAAACACCAAAAGGATTGGACGCACATCTATCGGAAACCGCAGTTACACGCTCGGCAAATATATCTCGATATTCTCTGGAGGAATTATCTCCGGTTTCTCTCGAGCTCCCCGCAGTATCGACTCGAATGGTATTTGGATAAGACTAGAGTCTCGGCCCCGCATGGCGACCACCCTCAGCGAGGCCGGACGGGGGAAAAGGTTCCGCCTGCCGTGCGGTGAACCAACTGGATCTACTCCGTGGTCCGGGAGTGAACTCCTCCGCACCAACCAAACTGTGCGTCCGGCGACGGAGTTTAGGCCATCACCAAGGGATGGGCTAGAATGACCCTACGGCTCAAGGTTATCCAGACTATGTCACTGATTAGGGTTACCTCCAGTTGCGTCGTCTACAGGAAAATTGGCTCCCAAAAAAAAAAAAAAAAAAAAAAAGAAAAAGGGGATGCTCTTGACTTTCGCACACACATTGGATTTTCCGAGACCGCTACAGTGCTCATCTCTTTACCTGAGGTGACTGCGTTGTTTGCACGGTATTTAAGGGTTATTGAATGACAAGTTGAGCGACCCGGGGGCACTCCTCGTGTCATTGAAACAGCTCCCTTGGGGTTCCAAAACTACGGCCACGCCCTGTCGGAGTTGTCGTTAAGTGCGACGAGAACATTGCTGTCAAAGCCAACACGGGGAAACAAAGATTCCACAGAGTACACAAACGTGCAATTCCTTGCAGAGCAGGCGCCTGCGGTTCCTGCTCCAAGACCCCGTGGGTAACCATATTTGGCCCTTTTCGCGTAGTATTCATGTTATACATTCCAGGCATGGCATCGACTGGGACGTGGCCTAGCCTGTCGTGTGATGACAGTAGGATAATGGCAATGCACTTGGGGAAGTCTGTGAGGAAGGGTCAAGGAGCTTCGCCTTGATGCGTGCGGCCCGTTCAAAGGCATCACCACAGCCATGGAGTCCAGAGTGTGGCTCATAAGCAAAAGAATCAACAGAGGCGTACTTTATATGGAGTACGAACAATCCTCACCGCGAGCCTGAAAGTAGGTGCCTATATACAAGGAGTCGCAATTTTCACACCTAGCAGCCCTGGGAGATAAATCTTGCCGCTTGCCCGTTTTAAGCACGGGTCGGAAAGTGTAATTATGAAGAGGTTGATATCATAGGAAATAGTTGCCTCCTGACTACTCCGTATACTTGATAGTTTTCCATTCTAGACAGTCTCTGATTTCACGTTGAAGGGGAAATTTTCACTTTCCAGGTATAGGTGCAGCATGAGATGAATTCCCCAAAGTCGATCAAGCAGCCAATACACAGGAAATTGTAATGTCGAGATGATTTCCGGCAAATACAGCCGCCAGGCATAACGTACGTGTCAGAACAATGCATTCATCGTACTCGAGATAAAAGGTGCCAAGCTCCCAGTCAATAATCCCGATAACGGTATAGTGATCACTGACATTGTCCTGCTCACAATTTTGTCTGTCCTGACACCACCATAAGTGACACTGTTTCATGCAGCAAACCGGATTTATGATGTTCAAGAGGAGAGAGGAGAGCTTGGCGTATGTGATGCTGCTCTAATGACGGTTTGGAAATTGTAAGTCAGTGGGTTGGGTTGATAACTGTGAGCAGTGGGGATACAGAGGAGTTGACTAGCTTAACTCTTCTCCGTACCCCGACGGAGAATCACGGCCCGCCTACATCGACGTTGGATTCTCGTGCTTGGGACTGCTTTCTCTGTTGACCGAACTTAACTAATTGGTGTGATAGACTATGTATTTCGGACTGTAAGATGTTCTCCAAAGAAGGACGACTCCTTTCCTGTCCAACCTCAGCTTCGACGGATTGATACAATCCAAATATGGCGGGCTCATCGAATGCCAGCTTATCCTTACCAGCCCCGGTAGAAAACCAAGCAGTTGTCTCGCTTTCGCTGCTCTCCGGCGGCTACCTTCACCTCCCAGGAAATCTCTTCGTCGAGGGAGCCAGTGCAGAAGAAATTCTAGTATGCCCTTCCATGTCATGGCTGATAACGCACCGTCCAACAAACACCAAAATAATTTTCGACCTGGGTTTACGAAGGGACATTCAAAACTATACCCCAAGCGTCTATGAACGATTAAAAACCGTTATCCCGGTCGTTGTCAAGGAAGACGCATTCGACAGTCTCGCCAAAGCGGGTATCGACCCAGCCACCGACGTTGACATCGTGATGTTCTCCCATCTTCACTACGACCATATCGGTGACCCATCACGGTTCGGGCCTAAAACGAAATTCGTTATCGGCCCTGGGGCAGGAAACCTTCTCCGTGGTCCAAAATCCTATCCCGATGATCCACATTCGCATTTCGATTCGAGACTGTTTCCACCAGATCAGGTTGTTGAATTACCCTCTCCTTCTTCGACGGCGGGTGCAAGTAATCAGTTCTGGAAACCCCTAGGTCCATTCTCCGCGGCTAGGGACTACTTCGGTGACGCGTCCATGTTTATAGTCGACTCTCCAGGCCATCTGACCGGCCACATCAACCTCCTAGTTCGCGTTCAACCGGATAAATGGATGTATCTTGCCGGTGATACTGCTCACGATGTCCGCATTCTGGAGGGAACCCATAATTTTGCCGTATATCCCGACCCCTATACCGGACGTCCCAAATGCGCGCATGCAGATAAAGCTGCTGCTGGAGCGCATGTAGGACGGGTAAGGAAGCTCAAGCATATGGGAGATGTAGAAGTGGTTCTCGCCCATGATGCAGCTTGGTTTGACGAAAACAAGCACCGGTTCAGCGTGGCCGGGCCCTGATAGAATTGTTCCTAGTGATGAATTCATGTCTAAGCTCTTGTCTCTTGTCTCTTGTTTTGCTGTTCGCCCTCTTGTAGCTTGATGGACCATATATGTTGTATTATATAAGTGTTTTAAGAAGGCCCTGAGGCCGAAATCGGCTGAGAAGCAAACTCAGCAATAATGCTTCACATCATCTTCTTCTTCCTTTTTTTTTTTTTTTTTACAGCATCGCATTACGATCTATCGTACTTAAAACCATTATATGAGTATTTTTCAGTCATAGCATTTAAGCCCTAATTCCACAGCACTTGTTAGCCGGCTTTGCTATGAGGTTGTAAATCACGCATAGGTGCATATGATGTGTGAGCACACATGCCTGTCCTCTGTATATCTCGCAACTTCTTTCAAGTCACGACTACATGTGACGAGCGAATGACTGCGTGAACGTTGCCTGAGTGCCTGTTGTTGTGTGACTCTGATTCGACATTTGATCCCATCGTGCAAGATGGCGAAAACAACACAATCTTACGGCGAGGAGACTAGGGTGTGGCTGAAGCAAGTTGGATTTCCCTTTGGAGAATGTGGTCCAATCATGACCACCAGCCATGCCAGGGGTAGTTAACACATGACAGCAAGTCCCTTCGCATCGCAAGAAATTTGGCAGAAGCCTCCACACATTCTTGACAGTTTCCATTAATTCCCTGGCTAAGAGACAGAGAGTTTGCTGCAGTCAGCCAGCACCACACATAACTAATTTGTTTGACTGCTGTCACCCACACAAACAAAACCTCAAAACTCCGACTACCCCTGAACGAGGCTGAAAAAGCTATATGTGATTGCCACAAAGCTCCGAGGCTGTCTGTCGGAAATTTGTGCATAGTTATCATACGGCTGTGCTTTGCCTCAATGAAAAAATGGCAGACCCGAATAGAGCAGAAGTTAAAAGTCGATATCCCAGCAAACATTTGACGGCGAAAAGAAAGCTACCAATTGGGAATTTAGCCGAACTAGCAAGGCAGAAATCTATTGTCCCAGCTCATATTCCGGAGGCAGCAGTTGGCCGCATTCCGTTATTGAGAAGACCTGCGGACCATCCTAAATGCACTTGAAAGCCCCAGCCAACAGAATACGTCGGAGCAAGCAGGAGAACTAACACTTGATACCAATGACTTCTCTCCGCTGGGCTTAGATCTCTTTTTAACATCACCGTCAACATAATGCTTGAACCGGAGCCTCACGCTATTTCTCAAAGAGATATACCCGAGTGTTTTCTGATGATGTCCAACCTCGCGGCGCAGAACCGAGTCGCAAACTTGTCACATGGCTCTTAACCGGGGGTAAAGACACGCCCCATTAGCCACTGCGCATGAAAAACTCCTGCCTTGCGGGGGATTGAAGCATTTGCAATGTTCAGATGCTTATACGCTCCTAGAACACAGCGTCAGTTTTAGCATCCTCCTCCTAGCATAGTTGTTATCAATCAGGATCGATGGAATCAGCTTTGAAATTTCACCAATCCAAGGTCTAGCTGATGCCACTAAATACTGAATGATCCAAAGAGCAGAAACACCAATCACCACTCTTTCTGTGAGATGATCCTCCACAATGCGGCTATCTCAGCCAAACACCAGGGCATAGAAACAGCAGTGAGCTGGCAATCCGACTCTCTCAGTCTTTATGAAATGCCAAAACTGGCTGACAGTGCCGCAGTGGCACAACCCGGTCTCATGCTCTCGTCTGGGCTGTGCTAAAAGTCTCTGTGATGCCCTCAACGAAGTCCCAGGTATAAATACGCAGTTCCGGGATTGTGTGGATGTAATATGTCTTCACAACCCAAACAATACCGCGCTCTTGCCTCCAGAGCCATTCTTTTTGAAGCCTGGCAAGCTTTCAGACCATTCAGCCGTACTGTTGCAAGCACCACAAACATATCTATCCAACCAACCAACCAACCAACCAACCAACACCTCAAGGTAAGTGCACTTACTATTCTGGACGTGAAGGTTAACTGATGTTTGTATAGTTATCCACCATGTGTCTAATTGTCTTTGCGAGATGCTTCATTTGCAGGTGCAAGTATTGCACAGGCCAAATTCGACGTTGTTCCTTGTACTGGAGGGGCTGCACAATTTCTGGGGAGTACCTTGCACAATGGACTGGATTATGTGAAGATTGCTCCGGCAGGCGGAAGAGCTATTGATATTGTTGTCCTGCTAATCATGGGATCTAGTATGACCATGTGAAGCTTCCAACTTTCGGTGCCGTGTGAATGGTTTTATCATGTCGAAGGAGACAACTGAGAGGTAAATAGCGTTGTGGGAGTCAGATAATGAAGCAAGCCCCCATATGTGTATGCAGAGCCAACACAACTACTGTTCAACCTCTTTTTTTTTTTTTTTTTTTTTTTTTTTTGGCAATCTTGACCAATACACTTTCATATCAGTTAGCTATCTCTACATATTTGCACAACCAAAAAATTTCATTTCTCATCGACAACTTGTCAACTTGATTCGTGCTGGGTATTCTATGGATGGCATTTCCATCTCCTTTTGCGATGGCGGGTGTAGTTCAAGCTAACCTTGTTTTGGTTAGGCTGGATGACCTCCGAACAGAAATCGTTCCTGATTGGACGAAACCTCGATCGCGGGCTGAGTCAGCAACCCACACTCGCTAAGCCGGCGATCTTTTCAATTCCTCAACCTTCCTCCGGTCAGCTCCTTTCAACGAACGAAGCTCGTGGACCTCATCTTCTCGCCCAGCTAGCTTTCATCGACAGCTTCGACAAGCCAATATACAACTTATTCGAAATGGCCAAGGCAAAGAAGACCGGCGATACGTACGGAATATCGAGCAATCCCTGCGCAAATGGAACTTCGTGCTAACCGGTTCACAGCCTCGCCTCCCGTCTTGCCCTTGTTATGAAATCCGGCAAAGGTTAGTGGCCCTTTTTGGCGTCGAAAGAGACGCTCACGCGAAGAAAGAAATGCGGTGTTGACAGTTCAAATTTTTTTAGTCACTCTCGGAACTAAGAGCACCCTCAAGACCCTCCGCTCTGGCAAGGCTAAACTGATTCTCATCGCTGCCAACTGCCCTCCTCTCCGCAAGTCCGAGCTCGAATATGTACGTGGTTTATCTCTGACCCTACTCTGCGTATTTTCCTGCGATGGTTGCTAACATGAGTAAAGATGGCCATGCTTGCCAAGTGCCCCGTCCACCACTTCGGCGGAAACAATGTGAGTTACCCCGTCTCTGATATTTATGCTCCGAGAAGAAGTCGCGTGAAGTGACTTCGGAGAGCGAGGTCGCTCAACGAAGGCATCTTCTCTCGGGGGATGCTGGAGAGCAAGGTGAATTAACAACTCATACTGCAGATCGAACTTGGAACTGCTTGCGGTAAACTCTACCGTTGCTCCGTCTTGGTAAGTTCGAAAATTGCACTGATCCCCGTTACGTCGCCATACTTCTTGTGCAGCGATAGTTTCAAAAAAAAGCAAAAACAACGAAGGGCTAACTTTGAAACTTCACACATTAGACCATCCTCGATGCCGGTGACAGTGATATCTTGAGCCGTGAGGCATAAACTTGTCCATGAAAATTGTTGTATTCACAACTGCGAGAAGATGACTCCGATGGTCCTGATGCCTAATCAGAGCACCATGTTGTAAACAGCGTTGATCCCCGCGTGAAAAGCTCTGTCTTTTCTCCGGGCGCCACGAGAGTGGGCAGCCTCGTCGAGGGGCGACACGCAGTTTTGCAATGAGCTATTAGTTTATGTAGCAAACTTCCGTTCAAGCAATGAAGGCTACATATTCCATTGAAGTCCCTGTCCATTTATCTTTGTTGCGGCCACTGAACGCCGGCGTGGCTTATAATCTCTGAACGTTCCTGTTTACGGAATACAAATTCAAGTATCTGTCTGACGTAGCTGTTCACCACATACTCCGCACTCCATTACCCAACTCCTTAATCCAATTCCGACGGAGATAAGCGGGATTCCAAGCTCCCATTAAAGCAGTCATGACCCGTATTGTCCTTTTAGGCCGGACATCGGCGCAGTTCGCAATTGCCGTGTTCCGTCGTGCTCAAGTTTGTATTGCGCAAAAGTCAACAGAGTGCTCAGTAGACCGCGGGCTTTTTTTTTTTTTTTTTAATTCTTTTATTTCAGGGATCCCTTGGGCCGCGAAATTCTCTCCATGAAGGCCTCTTTGCACTCGCGGCGACGCAACGAGCCACCCCGAATGGTTTGCCCCGGAGCCCAATGCTGCCCGCGCTTTGAGAAACGATAATGTTGCGTAGAACCGAGCATGCGGCCTGCGGACGCGGCGTACAGTTTGGGAATGCAAAAGTCCCCCCGAAGGCATGTGCATACATTGAGCCTTACGAGCTAGATCCCGGACATCTCGGACCGAAGAGATCTTCCCTTGATGTAAGTATTGATATCCGTTTGGGAACAAGCTCCACATCAGCCACAGATAGAGCGTACATGTTAGGACCACCCGGCTGCATACAGGGAAGAGCAGTGTGATTGGGAGCCGAAGAGCCAGGTGACAGACTCCCGGAAATTTTCTCTCAGAATCCGCGAGGAAAATGCAAAAGGCGTAGAGCTTGGCAGCTGGTGTGGTCTGGACTTCAATCGGGGATAAACGACATGAGATGACCTGTCACATTTTCTCGACCTCTGAGATGCAGGCATCATACATCCTGTACTCCGTACATGCCCTGCCAAAGGGCTCGATCTCGTAGCTGCAATCTTAAGTCATGATTGTGCACTTTGTACCGGAATGCGATTCAAAACAATGTGAAAACCATATTACTCCGAAAGTAGTTAGTTGGTCTACACCATTATCCCGCACGGATGGAATAACTTTTTCTTTGGACGATGGGGTTCCTTTCATCTGCGCATGAGCCGGATGCACCCTGCTTCTGCTGGCCACCAGAAGAACGCCGTCCAACAAAGAACGACAAATGCGCTCATTGTATGTTGCATGGTCTCTTATCCCTGGGAACATTTGAGCCACCATAGCATCGGCGTGCATACATGGGATATGCGAATGCACCGTCACACCCGCTCTTGTTTTGTGTGGAGGCGATACGGCAAACGTCTTCCAGAAAAAGCAATTTTCAAGTATTTGGCCAGCCATATTGTCGAGTGGAGGCGTCTCTCCCTCGACATCATGGCCACAGCGAACATCGGTAAAGGGTGCCCTAAAACTCCAAGGAAAAACAACCAAGACATGGCGGATCGAGCCATAATGTCGGAAGCCAGATGGTTTGAATATGCTTCAGGATCAGACCTGTTTGCTTCTCATCCGCACACAATGTTTGAGATACCAAGTTTGGTGCTGGACCAATGGCAACACACCGCAAAATGCCTTACAATAGCTCAAACTAATTTTCGGACCAGCGGGAACATGACGAAAAAGGTCTGTGCTACCAACAAGTATCCTTCGCCACTTGGTATTTGTCGCTTCATCGAGAGGACCGTAATGGATGAAGACCATCACAAGCAAATTCGCTCGTCATTTTATAATGAAAGGTGCATAACATTCCAAAGGTGCAATAGAGGGTCCCAGCGGATGGCTTAGAGTTTTCCCGCGGTATGGTAGAGTCAAAACCCCCCCTTTTCTTTCTTTCTTATTTTGTTTAAGAACCAAAAAAAAAAAAAAAAAAAAAAAAAAAGGAAAAGAAAGAAAAAGGAAAAATCTTGCAGGGTGCTCGAGTCCCTGCAGCACGTTAAAACGAATTGTAACCTCATCCACTAGCAGACCCAGATGCACTGTCACCATCAACCTCCGACTGTTGCTTTCGAGAAATGCATAGCACGAGATAATTCCGTAAAATAAAATAACTGCACACAATCCAAATTAAGAAAAATCCAGTGTCACAGGCCCTCGAACGACGCCTAGCCCATAGAGTCCCGGTTACTTCGGAGATAAGGCGAAGCCGCTTTCAGTCCCTATGTAATAGTTATTGAAGTTGAGAAAAGAGATGGGAATGCCAATGCAAGCAGGAGTGGGATCCAATTCAGGCAGGTTCCGTTGCACCATCTCCCGAGGAATCGCGCGGATGGATGCATCTTTATCGTGGCCAGAGGAGGACTCTGTCGGTTTTTGTCATTTGAAAATATAACAATACTGGAGGCTTAGACCTCGGGTCGGTCTGCGCAACGTTGAAACTTGAATCCCCACACTCAACGTGGGAGAAACCTGGATTGCTCGATTCGGCGACTCAGTTTGTTCCTGTGGTTGTTATTGTGACCTCGGAGGTGGTAGGCAGGAAAAGGATCCGAATGTCTTTTTTGGAAAACCTCGTATCTGAAGACTTTCGATGCCGAGAGCGGCGAGAACCCGCTGGCCTGACAGGGATCTCTATCAAGCACGCGGAATGCAAACAATAGCATTCGACGCCGGAATCAGAAAATTTGCGACAGCTCTTCCGGATTCTATGAAAGCTCCTCATTTTTAAATTTGTTCTTTTTTGTGTTAGTTCTTTTTGGTTTTTTTCCCTGACGGAGTGAGTTTGGTTGGTTGGATGGAGTCGCACAGGATGTGCCGCATGCATGGTCGCCATGCATAAAACACCAGCGGCGACTGGAGAGCAGTCGAGGGCCAGAAAAGAAAGCGACAACAAATGGAACCGAGAGGAAGAAATGGGACAGAGGGGATTGTGAGATGCAGATGGAGGGGGGAAATCGAGTGCGTTCTGGGATTGGTGATGCACGTGAATGCAAGGGGCGGGTTGAAATTCCCGTCCCTCGGCGAGCAGTTGCTGCTGAACATGCTGTTCCCACCGCGAGGGGCAGAGAGGCTTACGAAGGCATTGTTTCTGCCCATGCAAAAACACGTCACTGGGCAGGCCTGGGGGGAGAAGGTACGGAGTAGGGTGTTACGAATCTTGAAAAAATATGCCCCTTCCCCTCTCTCCTTTCCAGATTCCCATACAAACAGAAGCCCGCCCCGCGCTTCTAAATATAACCCGCTGATGCAGCTCATTTCTTTTTCTCTCGAAGCTTCTTCATTCGCTTCCAGAACGGTTCTTGTCTCTAGTGGATATTCTTTTTTTTTTTTTTTTTTTTTTTAGTACGGAGTACGGAATACTCCGTAGTTGCGACGGATATGGATTGGGGGAGAAAGCGCGGTTGGGAAGGAAAAAAGGAGCAAGTATGGAGAAAAGGAGGGAAGGAGAGAGGGAGTGCTTGACGTCACTGGCCAGCAGGCGGCATGTGGGCCGCGCTTGAGACGACGACGGCGTGTTTCAGCTTGAGGGTTGGCCCCGTTTGAGGTTCCCTGGGCGCCGGCAAGGGGGGCGGTCTCCACACCCACAAACCCACAAACCCACAACACTCCCACACGCACACACACTCACGCTCACGCTCACGCTCAACTCAACCCTCGCACGCACCCACCTCAAGGGGTTGGATGTCATGGGAGTCGCCCTCTCTAGGGACCCAAGCACTTTGCGCCCGCCCCCTCCCCCCGGGGTACCGCACTTTTGCCACCGGTCTCAGAGTGTAGGAGGAAAATACGTCGACACCATCGGTGGCTGGTCTTTGGGCAAAAGGACAACACAAGGTCTCTCTCTCCCCTATCCTCTTTTGTTGGCCCCCCGGGAAAGGGGAAAAAAGAAATAAAAATAAAAAATAAAAAATCACCAACCAAAAAGCTGGTTCACCGATGAACACTGAGCATCCGCTGGAAACATTGCGCGTCCAGGGGCCAGCTTGGTGGAGATGCTCGTCTTGGCTGTGTGATCGTATCTGGCTCTCAGGCCCGTTGAAACTCAGCCCCCGGGGCCGTCTTCTGATTGGAAAATTCTCTTTTTAAACTCTCCCATACTCCGTACTCCGTACGGAGTACTTTTGCCCTGTCATCAAGCGGCAACCATTTTCAACACGGAATAATCATGCCCCTGGCCTTTGGGGAAAGTGTATACTCCGGAGGATGTTAGGCATTGCATATGTAACCCTCACCTCTTTTTTTCTTTTTTTTTCTTTTTTTTCTTTCCCTTTCGTCTGTGGAGGGCAAGGATGGTGGATAGCCTGCCGAGCCGTGGGGAGAGACAGCCTTAAAAGCCCTATAATCGACAACGTACGTAGAAGAGCATCGTTCGGCAGTCGCGTTTGCAAAGTGCCAAATGTTAAAAAATGTGTGCATGCTCCGGCCAAAGCACATATCATCACGCACGTCCTTCATAGCATTTGTCATGATCTCTCTGATTTGGCCTTTTTTCCTTTTTTTTTTTTTTTTTTTTTTTTTTTTTTTGGGAGGGGGAGGAAGGGGCCCAGGTCTAACTGTGGGTGGATTAGGCTGTAAGCCCTAAGGCGGGATTGGGGAAGGCAAAGGCATGTCCAAAAGCGGTAAAATCGCATGCCTCTGATTCGGCGAAGTGGAAAATTACAGTGAGGAAATGCTACATGTTGTATCCGTTAAAGCGCGCAGATCGCGGGTCTTCAGTATAATCTCGACGGAATATTCTCCGATTCCGGAGTACCGGCCCCCCAGCGTGATCAGGCTGGCTCCGTCAGCAATATTTGGATTCTATGGGTTCTTGGCCCTGGGTTTCTGGGGAACCTAAAACAGATGTTTCCTGGATTTCACCGCGCTGGGTTGATGATGCTCCAAAGGTCAAGGGGATCCACCGCCAGCGAACGTCCTTACATACATATACAGGTATGGACCATGTAAACCTTAGCGCGGCGTCTCGACAAGCCGTAACTTTCTTTGTTGGGTGCAATGGTATTACCATGGATTGTAAGTAACAAAATATAAAATACAATTCCAACCCAGATTTCCAGCAAGGGAAAAAAAAAAAGGAGAA